GTCCCCAGGCATGCTGGACATTGCCCGCAAGGCGGGTGTCTACCGCCACCTGGACACCGCCGACCTCTCGACGCAGCTGGCGCACAAGGACAACACCTACGACGCCATCTGCTGCGTCGGCACCCTCACGCAGGGCCACGTCGGCCCCGTCGCCCTCGACGAGTTTGTCCGCATCACCAGGCCCAACGGCTTCGTCGTGTCCACCATCCTGGGCAGCATCTACGAGTCGGGCGGCTACGAGGCCAAGATTGAGAGCCTCGTCAACCAGGGCCGCGTACAGCTCATCAGCAAGGAGCTCGAGGACTACCGTCGCAAGGAGAATGTCAAGGCCCGCATGGTCGTGCTCAAGGTTCTCTCGTGATGCGCGTTCGTGACGACGATGATGATGATGATTGATGGTGATGTTCCCCGTGTGAACAAGCATGAGTGACACACGACTTGGTTGCGCGAGAGGTAAGGCAGCGATTTTTCTGGGAACCAAGCCCACGCTTCATGAATGAGTGTCCTGCCTCTCCTCTCCGGCACCCTTCCCATTGGCCTATCCCGGTGCTAGGGTACGCCATGGGTGTCCATGCGTGCGATCTTTTGCGCGGTGCATTGGTTGTGTTTTTCCTTGCCTCAACTGCGCGCGGTGCCGCCACACTCCTCGCACACGGGCAGCGACGATGATGGGTGCTTCTGGGATATGATATGATGATATACAATGACAATTGAAACTTGTGATGTGAACTTGACACTTTGGCCTCTGGTCGTTTTCGCGTAGCTCGATTTACTTAGGTATTTGGGTGGAACTTGGAATGCCTCACTTTGGTGTCGTAGTCGATAGCGGTTCTGGTGCTAGTTGTTATCCATAGCCATTTCAGCGGTGCAAACTTGGAAACTTATAATCATGCGGGTTTGACGTGCATAGTCGAGTGGTACTTCGTCGTCTCTTGGGGGGTGAGTTGGAGAAGACTTCACGTGACGGGTAAGATCTGTGCCTAGTTGCAACGTGCCTACAGCGTTCCTGACTAGTCTCGAAGGTTCACACCTCCAAGCATCTGATTATAAGGCCGTGCATGAACAATTCATCACAACTTGCCCAGGTTGTCTCCTAGTCAGCGATGCAATGCGTGTCATGTAGGGTAGGTCGAGGTCGAGGTCTGATCCAGTCGCCTGCAAGGCCAGGATTCTAGTCTCGGACCAGAAGACTGTAAATTCATCAAAAAATTCCGCAGCAGTTTGCAGCAAAATATGATAGTTGCAGGTTGCACAAACACAAGCAACGCCAACGTCACTGCAGAAGTCCAGACAGCGACGGAGAGAGGTGATGAATTCATCGAGGGGCATGGAGATGCTGGAGTGTCACGTGTAGGTTAGTAATCAGTGGCGGGCCAATCAATAGCAGCCATCGTGCGCCAGCCAGAACCGGAACCGCTGTGAGCAAATTCCCCAGAGCCGTTGACGGATGAAAGAGATCTCGTTACGACACCGCGTCCGAGATCAGCATCGTATCGAATCATCCCACCAGCACCGGCAGCTCCTCTCGAACTTTGCCCTAGCGCCGATTAGGCGGCTATCGCACCCTATCGCACCCTATCGCACCCTTGCTCCAGTCGGAAGAACGAAGCGGAAACAGAGCTATCAGGACTTGCTCCCAATCGGCTCATACTTCCTCCACCGTCGGCGGCGGCACAATGATAGATTTGAGCCAAACATCCTTTTTAGCAGAAAAATCATCCATCTAGTGGTAAGTCGCGTTCATGGAATTTCGAGCCTCTGCTTAACTCCATCTCTGGAGGAACGAGCCAGACTGCCCTGGATAAAGGGCGCCTGCCGTTGGATGCAGCGCAAGAGCTCTCTCTGCCAACGAGGGGGAGCTCTTTAGCGTCATCGTCGAGCCCCACTGCAGATTGCCCTGCAGTCCTGATCCCTCCACCAGGCCTGCCACACGTCGCTTCTCCAGACGTGGACCAAATCTGCAACGGAACGTAGCTGACAAGCCCAGTACAATAGCTACCAGTTTTATTCAACCCGTACACACCATGTCTTTCTTCGGCTTCGACACCAGCGGCCATGACAAGGCCCAGCCAGGCTTTTCCCAGGCCCACGATCCCTTTGCTGGCCTGTCCGGCCGGAACGCTGACGTCGACGACGCCCTCGAGTTTGAAGATACATACGACGGCCTCGGCGACCAGCTCGACGACGCTGACGATGCCTTCAACGACGACACCTTCGGCGGAGGGTTTGGAGCTGCGCCTGCCCCCAGCCATGGCGGAGCCCCTTCGGCGGGCAAGGTGGGAAAAGACTTTGACTTCTTCGGTCATACGGCCAAGGTCTCCGGTGCCATTGAGGAGGAGCACATGCGGTTCGATCGCCAGCAGCCCACTGCGCGTCCCGTCCAGCAACAGTCTCAGAACCAATATCACCAGCCGCCGCAGTCCCAGGCTGCCTACTATGCCAGCCAACCGGTACAGCAAGCGTATCAGCCTGCGAGGACGGGCTATGAGAAGTACAGGGAGCCCGAGGCTATGCCTGACCTGAACGTCGATCGGAGCATCTGGGGCATTGGGCCTTCCAAGGCCGCCGCGCAACACGCCGCTCCCTCGCTGCAGGCCCATTATGCGCCCCAGCATGCGCCTCAGCCACCAGCTCAACCCCCGGCGAGCCGGAAGATTATGAGCTTGGAGGAGGTGGAGGCAGCTATGCGACAGCCCAAGCCCGCATCTCAGGCGCCGCCTCAGGAATATCGTCATACACCCCCCCCGCCTGGCTTCCAGCAGCAGCAACATCAGCAACAGCTCTACCAGCAACAGCAGCAGCAGCAGTATCCTCCCCAGAACCTGCAGCAACTCCAGCAACAGGTTACTACGCCTCAGCAAGGCCAAGCGCAACCAGTGACGATCCTTCAGCGGCCTCAGAGCGGCCGGCCCAACAAGGCTACGCCTCCGGCTCAGCAGCAAGCTCCTCCCGCTCAGCCTACCCAGATTCTTCAGAACCCGAACCGACTGTCTGGGGATGCCGGACGCAGCGCGATGGGCCACCAGCCTCATCCGTCCCAGGGATCCCTCCCCAAGATGGGCCAGTTGCAGCAGCACCCCCAGTTCAACCAAATGTCCGAGGAGGAGAAGGCCGCCTTTCTTGATCAGGAGACGAAGAGAGCCAAGCGCAACCACAAGATCTGGCTGCTGTCCAAGGACAATGGCCTGATGACACCTCAAGACAAGAACTTCATCACCCGCATTCAACTCCAGCAGCTTGTGTCCGCCACCGGCAACCCAGCTGAGCGCGATACGGACACATCCATTGCCGAAGACTTTTACTACCAGGTGTACAGCCACATTCGCGCTGGGCAACGTCAGAACCCGACGCAGCCCCTCAGCAACTTTGCCCAGACCTATTTGTTCCAGACTGGCGGCCGTCACGGTGGCCTTAGGAGGCACGGCCGCCCCGCGGAGAACCACTTTCAGCGCATGGAGCAGCAGGTGCAAAGAGCCGTAGAGGCAGCTAAGAACAAGCCCAAGAACCCCCAGCTGGTGATCGCCGGCAGCCTGGGCAAGATCTCGTTCAGCAACGCGAAGACACCAAAGCCCCTCCTGAACATCAAGCGAAACGACAGCGAGACGCAGCGTCCGAGCAGCGCCAAGAAACCTACCCACACCGGTCTCAACCGTAGAGCCGTGCTGAGGGCCGTTGAGAAGGTGTACAACACGCTGATGAAGATTGAGGACCATGTGCGCATGATCCCGCCGCCCATGGACGAGGCGGCCGACGACGCCCTCCGCACGCAGCATGCCGAGTGGAAGATCCAGCTCGACACTTTTATCGCCCAGCTTTGGGACGAGCTGCAAGTGCACGCGCCGGTCGACGAGATTGTCCCTCACCCCTTCATCGCTTTCCTGTCCTGCGCCAAGGGCAAGAAGGCCATTCCTCGAATCTTCCCTCATCTCGACTTTGAGAAGCGTACGACCATTCTGACCCTCATTATCTACCACCTCGACCAGCTCGACGTTGTCCAGGAGGCCGTGGTCAGCGCGGACACGACGCTCAACGCACGCACACGCGAGAACGTCGAGCTATTCATCTCCACGGTCATGCCCTCGCTCATGGGGTACTTTAACGAGACCGGCCTCGACATTGTCGATGGCGTCCTTAACCTGGTCGCCATGAAGCTGCCCATTGATACGATTGCCAAGACGAGGATCGGTGTCTCGATGCTCACCCTTATTCTGAGTCGCGCTGTGTTGCTCAAGCAGACGGGCGCCGGCAACCCAGAGCAGTGGGAGAAGTGGTAAGTTGACTGCAGCGAATGTACTTATTGAAACTGTACTGACACATCTGACCAGGGATCGCACTTTCGAGACCTTGTTCAACAAACTCGAGCCGTCGCTGCCCTACATTTTCCCCGGCAGCGTCAACACCGGCGAAGACGTTTACGTCTGGCAACTCCTCGCTGCGATGGGCGTCACGGCAACCCACGACCAGCAGACACGCCTCGTGCTGGCTGTCAAAGACCGCGTCCTTGACACGGTCCAGCTGTCCAAGACACTGCCGCCCGCCATGGCGAGCGACCGTCTCGGCAGTGTGAACCTATTCATGCGGTCCATTGGCTTGGATGTGGAGCTGCTGCAGTAGCCGAGTATACTTAGTGCATGACCTTTTGCGACAACTACATGGTTTGATTGGGTGATGGGCATTTCACGAGGGGGTTTTATGAGGAGATTTGACAGATGCCATGAAAAGCGTGTGGAAGGGTTGGGCTCCAACCGCCGTGGGCCTGGATTGAAGAAACAAGGCTCAAATGGCAACAACAACAAAATCACGGTGTAGGATATGGATTCAACTCATGAGAAGCGATATGCTCGTGCAGTCAGCGCACGACCTAGCAGTCAGTCTTCATAGGCTGTCTCTTTTTTTTTATGATTTCCGAAAATGTCTTCCCTGTTCTTTCCCCCAAACCTGCGCCGTGCAATGCTCGTTGATGGATATAAATATATATACAGGTCACGTCTCGCCGCTTTTCACGCCCGCCCACCGCGTCTCGCGCCAGCCACGGCAGCGCCGCCTCGTGTCCGCGTCGCTTTTGGCCTGGCCGGTTCCGCCGCGGGTTCAGGGGCTTTGGGCACCACAGGCTTCTTGGCCTCTGACTTGACAAATTCCACGGGCTCGTCCGGTTCCTGCTTCTTGATGCCGCTGATGGCTTCGAGCAGCTCCTTGTCGCCCCATTTGGTGGAAAAGTGCGGGACGTGCTCAGCCAACTTGGGTTCCTCGGGGACGGCGGCCTTCTTGGCCTCAACCTCGTCCTCCTCGGAGGCGCTCTCCTTCTTCTTGCCCTTGTCGACGGCCTCCGCCTCTTGCCCGTCTGCTGGAGACTCGCCGCTAGCCGGGTTCTGCAAGAAGAGCGACTCGTTGTACACGTCCCAAGCCGCCTCTTCGTTTTCGTCCGTGTAGCGCAGTTTGCGCCACGGCTCACTCTGCACGGCGCGCAGTCGATCTGCCATTGTCTCCGTGGTCGCCACCTCGCCATCCGTCGTCGTTTTTATCGTCATGTGGATGGCCTTTGCGCCGCCCGCAGCACCAGCAGCGCCAGCCCCGGCACCGCCTGCTCCGGCGGTCCCACTGGCCTCTCCCGCCGCCCTCTTCTCCAGATGCGTCGTCGCGTCAATGTGGTGCAGCTGCGGCCGTAGGTGGACGAGCGACGAGACGGGTGTGATGTGCAGATTCTGGCCCTGAAACACGCCCACCATGTACTGAACCTCGTTCGTGTCCGGGTACTGGCCGCCGAGGGTCTGTGTGGTCAGCGCCTTGCCCTGGCGCACCGCCTCGTTCCAGTCCATCATGAGCTCGTTGTCATCTTCTTCCTGCTTCTTCCGACCGCCTTGTTTCTGCTGGACGGCGCCAAAGCCAAAGCCGCCCGCGAGCCCGTGACTGCCACCGCTCTTCATCTGCGTGGACTGGTGCAGGCTGCGACCCCAGCGCTGGCCCTTTTCTCGATCGTACACGACGGGGTCGCTCGAGAGGGGGACGTCGACCTCGACCATGCCCGCGTGGGACTTGAGGCGCAGCTCGGTGGGCGGCGCGCGCGGGTGCTGCGAGTCGGTGCGGTTGGGCTGCTGGAGGACGAGTAGGCGGCGGCCGGCGGGGAGGGCTGGGTTGAGGAAGACTGAGTAGGTGGCGGTGATGGGGTCGTCTTCGTCTTGAGGCGGATCAACGTCCATCTTGGCGAAATCGACGGGTTTCGCCATGGCGAGGATTGGGTTGCAATGGATGTCTGTTGGTGATCGACGTATGTATAATCGACATGTGGTGGGAGAGCTTTCTACACGTCTGGTGGGGTCGCGCATGACAGCAAAATTGTCTTATCTTATCTTATCTTATCTTATCTTATCTAGCCTATCTTATCGCCCCTGCTCTGGCTGCGACGCTCTGGCTTACACAGCTGAGACACGTCAAAATTGACATTGTCTATGCCACTTCCTGCAAACTCGCTCTTCCTAAATCATGGATTCCTCAAGCTGATTGACAATTCGTCGCCGCCAGATTGTGCTGGGGTGTGCAGTTACCGTCGATCGATTCTCTTTCCCCCCGGGCCACAATTGGCAACGGACCCCGGCTTTGTTTTGCAATGCCAAGTCCAGTACGCTCGCCTTGAGAGGTCATTTGTCCCCCGCCAAGGGCTCGGCATCTGCCGTGCAGAACGCCGGAGCGTCGGAGGCGCAGATGTTTGCTGGCGTCTGATTTTTGAGGCTGGAAGTTCGAATCGGGGAGACCCAATAGTGTTGATATGCACTATTATTGGCACATCTGCCGGCGAGTGCACCAAATCCCTCCTCTCTAAAGCTACGTAGCCTTGCCACTCGCTCGCGGTGGCGCGGCACTGGGCAGTGTTAACATTTCAAGGCTGAGTCTTGTGCCAAGGACGACAACATATTCGCCGAGAGACAGTGTGAAGATGCCCACCTTCAAAGCCTCAAACTACATGTGTAATCAGTTGAAAGTTGGAACATGTCACTGCGGCCAGGGAAATTGCCAGTCGGAGCAAACAATCCGTCATCCAGCACCCCGGACGCATCGGCCTCTCCTATGATCTTATCCATCCAAGCCTCCAACTCCCGGGCAAGCGCCTGGCTACTTTTCGATCCGTGGGACCTGCCAAGATCATAGCCAAGCAACTAATTACGCGTTGGCACCTCACGCTGCCCCCCCCAGCATGACTGGTTCAGATTTGAAAAGACCATCTCTGGGCAGCACATTTTGGTACGGGACGTGCCCACAATGTCTTGGAAGTTGGAACCGCTGTAGATACTTGTTATTCATGGTCGCCCGCGAGCTCAGTTTTCCATCCAACAGAGATGCACCGTACTTAGTATTCACCTTGTCGTCTGTCCCTGATTTCGCTGTTCTTTTTTGGCGCGGCCTTCCAGTCGCTCTCTCGTACGGATAGCGATTCGACAGCACCATGGGCCTACCCATGCGCGCTCCGCGCCGGTCAATGACCGTAGCGACAGCAGCCTTGGTTTTCTTCGTCACAATTTTCGCCTTGATCAGCTCGGTAAATCTTTTGCGCGCTGCTAAGCTTCTCAAACAGTGGGCTAATATGACAAACAGCCAGCACGAAACAGTAAAGTGCTCCGACCATGGGCCACGGACGCGGGCATCATCCACAGCGGCGCAAAGCCAACATCATCAAAGGCGGCGTGGAAGGACCCTCCCAAGCGAAACATGCACATCCTGCTCCCGGCCACGCAGAGTAATGTCAACTTCTGCAAGACATTGCTGAGCATGACCATTCTCGGCTATCCCAACCCAACCATACTGGCTTGGGGCGACGATGACGAAAGCGGCGGTCTGCTGGGAGGCGGCTCCCACTTCGCCAAGATCACGCGCGTCTTGGAGTACATCAATAACGAGGAGCGGAGAAAAGATCCTGCCTTTGAAGACGAGCTTGTGTTCATGCTGGACAGCTTTGATATCTGGTTCCAGCTCCCTGTCCACCAGCTCCTAGATCGGTACGACACCTTGCTCGAGCAAGAGAATGCGCGCGTGAAGCACCGCTTGGGAAAGGCCTACGAAAAAGAGGGCATCAGGTCGCAGATTGTTTTTGGCGCAGGCAAACGCTGCGCGCCCAATATCCTCCACAGCGTCGCGTGCTACCCGACCCCGGAGTCGCCTCTCCCCATGGATCTCAGAGGTGCGGCCACCGACACCGTCTTGGGCTACAGCCCCTGGTCCAACTACAGGACGCGCTATCTCAACTCGGGATACATCATCGGGCCAGTCCGCGAGCTGCGGCCGCTGCTAGAGCGCGCTGCCGAGAAACTCGCGGCGTGTGCGAACCAGGGCGACCTGCCCATCGACAATGGCTATGGCTCCCACGAGTGCTTCCGCGGGAGCGACCAGAGTATCTTCATTGAGATCTTTGGCGAACAGGAGTTTCACCGCGAGACGATGCGGCGCCACCACCGCAACAAGATGGACGACTGGCTTGACGCCATTGTCGCCAATAGGCCTGCTTCGAAACCGCCTGCCACGCATATCCAGGGGGCGCCCATCAACGACATGCTGAACCCAGAGTTCGACCACGAGCTTCGCAGCGCGCAATGGGTGCCGGATAAGCCGTGGGAGTTTGGGATCGCACTGGACTACTGGTCCACCCTGGGCCACCAGACCTCCAACGCAGCCCACGACTACCGCTACCTGCGTCACGACCAGCCGATCGAGGAGCAGATAGGCAACAAGGGGTGGTTCGACTGTCCCGGCAAGGGTTCTGACCTTGCCGACTTGCCAGAGGGCAAGATCCCCATTCTCGCGGGCCAAGAGCCCAGTAGCTGGAAGGCTCTCCCGCTGTACACGGAGATCTGCCTCGGTGTCGTGCCCGTCATGATCCACCACAACTCTGTCAACAAGGGCCATCGCGAGAAGGAGTGGGACCAGGTCTGGTGGCACGGTCGTGCGAGGGAGCTCCTCGAGTGGCGGCGGACGCAGGGCGCACCACAGCTGGTCAAGGGCATCCCAGCCGAGAATGGTCCCGTGCTGAAGTGGGAGGAGTTGTGTCCAGCGGACATCGAGCCTGAGCTGTTCAGGGATGGGAATCAGGACTGATGATTGATGCATGTTTTTGACGGTCGACTTCATATTCTCGTAGATTTTTTTCATGATACCACACGCAGGCCAACCAGGCTTTCAATGATGCTACTTTTCTTTCATTTAGAGTTCTACTACCGCCCTCGTCCCCGATCCAACGTCTTGACCCTCTTGTTGAATCTCTCTCCAATCTCGCCGCTGCCCCGTGGCCCATCGACAGTCTCCGGGCCACGCTTCCTGCTCTTCTCCAGCATGGCTTTCACGCCAGCACCCTTGCCTCCACGCGCTCGGCCCGTCAACTTGTCGATCCTCTCCACACCCGCACCCAGGTCGTGCCACTCCTCGCCACCAAACTCCATCTTGTTGCTCCGTCCCTGCTTGGCCTTTTGCCGCTTGTCCTTTTTGCTCTCCTTGGGCAGACGTGTGTAGTTGGTCTCCTCGTACGTCTGCCTCTCGGCCTCTTCCGCACGCTGGCCTGCTGTCTTCATGGACCGGCCACCGTTCACAATCGTCGTGCCGATGGACGGCTCAGCCTGTGGGCCAGAGGCCAGCTCCGAGGCAATGAACTCGTCCATGGTGTGGGACTTGAGGGCACGACGGTCGCGGCGGCCAGAGGCGCCATCCATGACGTGACGCTCACGACGGGGAGGGCGGTAAACGGAGCCTGCGCCGTCGGCAGCGGAGCCAGACTTGGCGGGAGTAGCAATGGTTGGGTCGTCGTTCAGGGAGGCGAGTTGGGGCGCGCCCGTGCGTTTGGTCTTGAGCATCTTTGGCTTGGATCTGGGGGCCTCGGCGACGGAGCCAGCGTCCGAAACGTCGTCCTCGTCTTCCGCTTCCTCGTCCGATGCAGACTCATCCGATGATCCAGAGTCGTTCTTATTCGTGCCATTGGTAGTGGGCTTGGCTTGTGCGTCTCTAGCCTGCGACAGGAACCTCTCAATCGAGAAACGCAGCTTCTCCTCCAGCGGCCTGGCGCCCTTCTCGAGGAACAAGCGCAGCTCGACCAACTTCGCCCTTACGGCCTCGTCGATTTCGGGGTCTTGCTGTCCATCCTGGTTGTTTCTCAGCTTCAAGAGGATGAGGAAGACGAGGTTCTGGAGGTAGGTGAGCAGCAGGTCGTTCTTGACGTCGAGGAGCGATATGCCGTCGCTCGAGTGTGGGATGGCGGCAATCTTGGGCGTGACTTCTTGCGCGGACAGTAGAGAGTCTGTCAGCGACGTCAAGAGCGCCGAGAGAGTCGTAGGCACGGCCATTGTGGGAGTATGTTTGAGGCCAGAGATGGTCGAAGAATCTGAAGTCTTGGACAGCAGTCGGAAATTCTGCTGCGCGCCTTGGCCGACCAAAACTTTTTGGTGGGGCTGCCATGAGTAGCGGCGCCGTCAGGCAACGTGGGGAATCTATCCGATCAACAAGTATTAAGGACCAAGCTGGATTATCACTTTCTCGATCCTGAGGATGCGCAACATTTACTTCATGCAAGACTCGCTCGTGAATCAGACTCCTATTCTACACCTGAGCAATCCTTACAGCACCTGTTCTCTTACAAGGACCAAGTTGTGACGCAGTGTGATTACTAAGCATTCTCACCACCACACCCAGCCAAGACATACCAACCCGGTGGCTGACGAGACAGCTGTCAGAAACCAGGATCAGGAGCTCCCTCGCCCAGCTCCTCGTATCTTTTCCTAGGACATCCATAATTAGACCTTCGACAATCACACCGATCGAGGTTGCCGCCGTTCAGTCTCTACCATTGGCACATCTTTGATATTCTCTAATTAGTCCATCGATACCTACCGACAGCCGCGCGTCATCGCAGCGACGCGCAGCTCGCCTTTGTTATCAGGCCTGCCGTCTGCGACTCTGGCGTCTGACATGAACGACCCCGAATAACGTCTACCAAAGATGCAACTGAAGAATCTCGCGCCTCGCGCGCTTCTGTCGCTCCTCGCGATCACGCCGCATCTCGCCTCCGCATTCTACCTCCCTGGTGTAGCTCCGACCTCCTACAAGCCTGGCGACCAGGTCCCTCTCAACGTCAACAGCATCAAGCCCATCGCCTCGCCGTCTGATTCCCAACTCCATTCGGTCGTCTCGTACGACTACTATCACCCGGCCTTCCAATTCTGCAAGCCGGAGGGCGGCCCCGAATATGTGTCGGAGAGCTTGGGCAGTATTCTCTTTGGAGACCGCATCATGACCTCGCCGTTCGACCTGCGCATGGCGCAGAACGAGACATGCAAGTCTCTCTGCAAAGTGGAATATCCAGAAAAGGGGCTGCAGTTCATGAAGAAGCGTATCACGCAGGGATACAGCATGAATTGGCTCGTCGACGGCCTGCCAGCTGGGCAGCAGATTGTCGATCAGCTCACTGGCACCACTTTCTACAGCCCTGGCTTCCTCCTGGGCCAGCGCGACGAGCAGGACAACATCCTCCTTAATAATCACTATGAGATTTGGGTCGAGTACCACTTGGTGAACAAGGACCCCAACCAGCTGCGCGTTGTCGGCGTGGTCGTTCAACCCAGCTCGAAGAAGTACGATGGCGAACCCGACTGCAAGGACAACCATGGCGGAATCGTCCTTGCCGACAGCGGCTCGCAGGAGGTCAAGTTCACGTATAGCGTGTACTGGCGCAAGTCCCCGACGGCCTGGGCCACCCGCTGGGACAAGTACCTCCACGTCTTCGACCCCAAGATCCACTGGTTCTGGCTGGTGGACACGGCCATCATCGTGGTGATCCTCATCCTCACGGTCATGTCCATTCTGGTGCGCGCTCTGAAGCGCGACATTGCACGTTACAACCGTCTCGATTCGATCAACCTGGACGACCTGAATGGAACGTCTGCTCTCGAGGAGGATGGCGTGCAGGAAGACTCGGGCTGGAAATTGGTTCACGGCGATGTCTTTCGCACGCCGGCCCGACCCTTGCTTCTCTCCGTGCTTCTGGGCAACGGCGTGCAACTTTTTGTTATGACCGGCTGCACAATTCTGTTTGCTCTACTTGGTTTCCTCTCGCCCTCGAACCGTGGCTCTCTGGGCACCATTATGATTATCATGTACACGCTGCTCAGCTTCGTAGGCGGATACGCGTCGGCGCGCACCTACAAGTCGTGGCAGGGCGAGCAGTGGAAGGTGAACATAGTTTTGACGCCCCTGCTTGTACCTGGCATCGTCTTCTCGTCCTTCTTCTTCCTCGATCTCTTCCTCTGGGCCAAGCAGTCGTCTGGCGCGGTGCCCTTTACGACCATGCTCGTTATCATCGGTATCTGGTTCGTCATCTCCATACCGCTGTCTTTTGCCGGATCCTGGCTCGGTTTCCGCGGTCCTGCCGTTGAGCCTCCTGTGCGCACAAACCAAATTCCCCGGCAGATCCCCCCGGCGCAGAGCTGGCTGAAGCCTGTCCCCAGCGTGCTCATCGTTGGCCTGCTGCCGTTTGGCGCCATCTTTGTGGAGCTGTACTTTATCATGAGCTCCATCTGGTTCAGCAGGATCTACTACATGTTTGGTTTCCTGTTCCTCTGCTACGGTCTCATGATTGCTGTCGCGGCATCGGTTACCATCCTGATGACTTACTTCCTTCTCTGCGCGGAGAACTACCACTGGCAGTGGAGGTCGTTCATCGGGGCTGGAATGAGCGGCGGATACATTTTCCTCAACTGCTTGCTATACCTGATCACCAAGGTGAAGCTCGGTGGACTGGCAGGCATCGTTCTATACATCGGATACAGCGCGCTCATCTCGATGCTCTTCTTCATCCTCACCGGCATGTCTCGAAGCAATTCTCTCCTCCTCCACATGGCTGACTGTTACAGGCTCTATCGGCTACTTTGCGAGCTGGTGGTTCGTCCACCGCATCTACCGGTCAATCAAGATCGACTAGGCTGCAACCGACCGCAGTTCGCTGAACACTGTACCATATTGTATGATGGGCCGGCGTTTAAAGCAAAAAGCAACCCTAACGAGTTGGGGACTAATAGATGGCAAGGAATTCTGAATAGACATGAACCTTATTTTCTTTTGCCCCATGGTCACCCATGTCTACTCCTCGTCGTCATCATCGTCATCGTCCAAACTAGCAAACTGGAACTGCTTCGGTTCCTGCCTCGCAGGCGCAGCCGCGGCCACCCCCGTGCCATTCTCCCTGCTCGCATCCGCCGCTGCCCGGCGTTCGCGCTCCTCTCTCCACTGCCGCTCCCTCTGCTCGCGGATCTTGCGCTCGCGTTCCTCGAGAGCGAGCTTCTCTTCCTCTTCCTTCTGTTTGCGACTTTCTTCCTCCCGTTTTTTCCGTTCCTCTTCCTCGGCCGGATCGTAGCCCCTAGGTTCGATGCCTTTCTCGGCGAGGATCTGGTTCGCCGCCAGGGAGCCGTTGCGGATGGCGTTCTCGGTCGGCCAGGGAATAAAGGGCTGTCCAGATAGCGGATTCAAATACTGCGTGACAATCTCGGGCAGGGACGTGTTGGCATTGGCGGGGGCGCTCGGCGGTGCGAAGGGCGTGGACACGCTCCTGCCGTTCATTGTGGCCGCTGGAGACTGCGTACCACTCGGTGTCGGCGCGATGCTGGTTTCCTGGGCAGGCTTAATCACGTCTTGTTTTGCCATGCCAGCGGGCGGCATGGTGGTCTTGGATATCCGTCGCGCATAGTTGAGTAGTTCGGCGTAGGAGACGGGGTAGTTTGGTGTCGAGGGGAACGTCGTTGTCTGCGTGGTGGTAATGTCCTTGCGCGTGGACGCCAGGGACTGCAGGGTGGTCTTGATCTGGGTATCGAGAGTCGACGAGGTCTGGCGAAGCGTCTCTAGACGCAGGTGGTTACTCTGGTGAGCTTGCACTGGGATGTGTGTTAGTCGCATTGGTGATTGTGCTGGGGACACTGGGAGCCGTACGTTGCTCTAAACCGTGGCCTAGTTCCTGATCGGCGGCATCGAGATCTTTCGCAAGGGCTGTTGATGGATGATACTGGTGGATAGAGTTTATGAGACTTGTCAGGGCCTTCTCCAAGCGGTCGAAGCGCGCATCGATGAGTTCGTTCATCTCGTTGACGTGATTAAAAGTGGTTGGCAACAACTAGAATCACGATGCTGTTGATATTCAGTACAATGGGAAAGTAGCTTGCACGCCGCTCACGAATTAAAGATGTGTGGGTCATCAAACACGCCGTCATTGGCTGGCCTCGCGAGCCCGAGTTTTGCCGACGGCGAGCAGTGCAAACTCGCGCAGGCATTCGGACTTCCTGATCTTGACTGACTGACGACGACGAAAGCAATTGACCACGTTCATCCACATCAACGCCGCCAAGATGGTTTCTCAGGTACGTTCTTCCGACTCACGCTTTCTTCGGGGGCTGTCCAGGCGATACTGACCCGCGCAGACTCCTTTCCGCGCTGCCGAGTTCCGCAGTGCCCACGGCCCCAAGTACGTTGCGATCACACCTTTCGTTCGACCTGCACGAAGAGCCATCCGCCCGGACGACCTCGACCGAAAGCGAAGCTCACAGATCACTGCGAAGCAGTCGAAAGGGGTTTTTAGGGGATTGAACTTGAGACTGACGTAGGGATAGCTACCACTACCAGCCCAACTTCCAGGGCATGACCAGCCGCATGGCTGCCCGCACGTAAGTGCCGACTTTCTGTACTGTTATTTTGGGTCTGCTTGGAATACTAGGGCTCTTCTGTGGCTCGGGAAAAGAGCACGGCGCGTCGTACGCACGGTGTTATCGCCTGTACGAGCCAAGTACGGCGATTCCAGGGTGTATACGGCGCCGGTGTCGGGAGGAGAATGCTGTATTGGAAATCCTGACGCGTGGAGAGACGAATCTGTGAAGGAAACATTGGCTGATGACATTGACAGTGGTGCCAAGACCGCTGCGTTCGGTGGTGCCCTCGGCTTCGCTGCCCTCTTCTTCGCCTCGGGCATTCCCCGTGTCAAGACCGACATCCTCCAGGTACGTATTCTGCCGACTGATATCCTGGATCGGCGCATACTGACCTGCAAAAAGGGTCTTCCCCTGATCGGTGGTTACTTCATCAAGGAGGTCCACCCTGCCGACAACGTGAGTCTACTTCTCGATACACCCGCATAAGCACCCGGAGCTGACCTATGTAGCCCTTCTAAATCTTCTCGCCTAGATTGTGGGATGTTCGAAGCAGTGTAGCAGAGCGAATGCTTGTATAAGAGACTTACAATAGACCTTCCCTATGTTCACCACGTCAAGCTCCTGTGACTAAGTTGCGCGTCCTCCAGAATGCGTTTATGAACCCACATATGATGCAAGTGAACTTTAACCGCCCATCATTGTGATTGCGTACCACTTGTGATACGAATAAGTCGCCCAAACGGGGCTTGAGGCGGCCACTCCTTGTGACACACAGTCCTAGTCGCACTGTGCACTTCTATGCGCCGCAAATGAACTTCACAATCTTCTCAGCAACTCACCGCCGCGTCCTCCTGCCCACATCATTTCATGGCGATGCTTCACACTGAGCCGGCGGTCCTTGACGCCCTCATTAAGGTCGCGCGATGGGCCACACTTGTTGTGCTGTTGATCGCAGGACGTGGCTGGTATAAGGGCAAAATTGAATGGCTGTACCTCATCTGCGCCATCGTGGTCTGCGCGGCGACTTTGTGGGCTTATATTGCCTCCTCTTACGTCCCGGAACCATACCTCGTGAGTGTGACGAGTCTTGCCGTATGCTGACCTAGCTAACAGCCCCAGGATGAGGTTTTTCACATTCCTCAGGCGCAGAAATATTGTGAAGGCAAATGGAGCGAATGGGACGACAAGATCACTACACCACCTGGACTGTGAGCGGACTCCGTTGGCCAGCTCGAGCATGTGACTGACATTACCCTAGATACCTCTTGACCACAAGTTTCTCCGCGACTGGATGGTGGAGCAAGATCATTCTTGCACCTGGCTGCGGCGTGTTGTCGTTGCGCACTGCGAACGCCATCGTCTTAGCCCCCCTGACTGCCGCCGCACTAGGATGCAGACAAGCCATCGAATCGCTGGGTAATGGACACGGTTCGGCAATACGTCTAGCCCCGTCAAGCTATGCCGTTCACACAGCTTTGAACATTGCGCTTTTCCCACTCTTGTTCTTCTTCTCCGGACTGTACTACACGGACGTAGTGTCGACGTTCGTCGTCCTCGTTGCTTTTCAAAACTCTCTGCGACGCATGGGACCTGGTCAGCCTACGACGGCACGAGACATCGCTTCGGTGACTCTTGGTTTGATGGCTCTTTTTATGAGGCAGACCAACGTGTTCTGGGTTGTTGTCTTTAACGGCGGGCTGGAGGCTGTCCACGCCGTCAAGACGCTGCACCCAGGAAAAGCAAGCGCCCCAAGGGGGTTGACGCTCTGGGGGAAGCTCAAGTTCTCTTTGGGAAGATGGATGCACGGAGACCTGCACGACCCGCCCCTGAATATGGCCTGGGAAGATGGTAAGTTCTTCGCCCTCGGGCGAGTACGATGCGACATCTGACGCGCCGCAGACATGCTGTTTTCCGCACTGAGCCTTCTCGTCGCCGGCGTGTACAATCCACTCCGTGTTGTTCGACAAATATGGCCACACATCACTGTCCTAGGCGTATTTGTGGCCTTTGTCGTCTGGAACGAGGGTGTGGTACTGGGCGACAAGTCCAACCACATTGCAACTGTGCACCTGGCACAAATGCTCTACATCTGGCCCTTTTTCGCATTTTTCTCACTCCCACTGCTCCTGGCCTATGCCTGGAACTTGGTCTCATCAGCAAAGAACGTCAAGATTTGGACCGCGCGGGCGGCGCTCCTCAGGTCTGCCTACGTCTTGGCCACAACTTTACTATCCTGCGGGATCGTCAAGTTCAACACGATTGTGCATCCGTTCACACTTGCCGACAACAGGCATTACATGTTCTACGTTTTTCGATACACCATCCGGCGGTCGGGTGCCATCAGGCAGTTTCTCGTCTTGCCTTATACCATCTGCCGCTGGCTAGTCTGGAACACATTGGCCGGCCCTGAGAACAACGGGGCAATCGGTAGGATCTACAGCAGTCATCCCTTCAAGGCGATCAATGCGAGATTGCTCGAGGCTGCGAATCCCTACCTACACTCCAACGACAAGCCAACACCTGATCAGGATCGCCCGGCGGAGAGCACAGTTCCCGTAGCCACGACGCCTGCCCCCACATCGACTGCGCTCATCTTCCTGGTGACAACCTCTCTGTCTCTCATCACGGCACCACTCGTCGAACCAAGATACTTCATAATCCCATGGGTAACATGGCGCCTCCTGGTTCCAGCATGGCACCCGCCACAACCCAGACAGCAGCCATCTACAGGCTCGATGGCCAAGTTCCAAGCCTGGACAGCAATGTACGATGTCCGGCTCGTGCTCGAGACCGTCTGGTTCATCCTTATCAACGTTGTCACCATTGCCATCTTCCTCTACAAACCATATGTATGGCGAGCAGAGGACGGGACAGTGCTGGACGGAGGGCGCATGCAGCGATTCATGTGGTAGATCAATCAATCAGTCGATCATGTCTTCGTTTCAGAGTATGCCTGAATGTATCCCAAACAACCAGTCCCGCAACGCCGAGTGTGCCATAGTCACCAGCCGGTTGGTGACCCCTTGATCCCCCCCATCCCATCCAATGATCCATATGTGCTTTGCCCGACGTATTGTACCGTATAGAAACAATGACCCCACTCGATCCTCTCTTGTCTTAGAGACTAAGTCTGTCGAGACTCAGCCCGTCGTTGCTCCTGACCCTCTTGATGACACCCATTTTAAAGAACTTTTCCTCCCCGCCCGCGGTCTTGCCGCCAATGTACCACTTGTCGGCCCCTAGTGCATCTCTGAAACCCTCGCTACTCGAGTCGCTGCCACGTCGGCGACTCGGTTGCTGCTGGATGGGTAGAGGTCGCGAGGGCTGTTGCTGGTTGTGGTGCGTGGTGGTGGAATACGACCGCGCCGCCGGCGATGACGCAGGTGTGTTCGCGTGCGACGCTGCGGCGGCGGTCGTCGTCGTGTGTTTTGTCGGTTGTTGCGAGGATGTGGATGCGGCTGTGGACTGTAGTGAGGGGCCTTGGGGACGGAAGGCCGCGATGAAGGAGGAGAGGAAGAAAGGTCGCTGGGAGGAGGGCATGGCGAAGGTGATTGTAGTGTGCGTGGGATTGGGAGTTGCTCGCCTGGTCGTCCAGCGCCAGTTCGGTATATTTGGATGCGCTGCGTCTTGTTTGTTGGTCGTCCAAAGTAGCGCGGACGCGAAGCACGAGGTACGTTGCTTAATGGATGCTGCTTGTCGACGGTGCTGGGGGCTCAAAACGACGGATGGTCAGTCAGTCGGACGAGCGGTTCGGTTCATGCACAGGCTCGATCCTGACGTCGGCCGCGCGATCGAGTGATAGGTCGGGTTATGCCGGAGTTGGTTCAACAAGTCACCAGTGATCAGTCACTCCACTGCGGGATGCGACTCGACTCCAGTCGGCGGATGGCTAATGGCGGGGTTCTCACTGGACCAACTGCGAGCCAGACCCCTCCACCCTTTCACATGAGCGTCTGTCGGACTATCCGTCCTCGCTTGGATGGCTTTCAGTCTTCCCCGGATCCTGTGAGTTGCATGGATTCTTTCATGTCCCCAGATAAACGTAAGCATTGCTGACTGACGTTCCAGGCATAAAATATGAGCCAGATAGCCTACCAATAGAGATTGCTAGCACTGGATACGGCGGCTGCAGAGTTCGAGTCAAGCCTGGAGTCACGTACGCTAACTCTTTCGTCTCCTTCGGCTGGCATGCGCAGTCTCCCGGCTTGGCCTATCATTCTAGGCAGTGCGCATTCTTATCAGGACGCTTGATTTGGGACAGTACAGCCACGGGCGTCTCCAGAGGCCGCATATCCCACACTTCCATCGCGGATCGTTCATGTCGAGTGCGATCGTCAAAATGGCCCCGCCCATTATGAGCACCATCCCGGACACCATGTCGCCCTTCCAAGACTCTTGCTACTCTCTAGACTCTGGGGATGAGCATGAATGGAACAGTATATTCTGACGATGAGGCAAACACTAACCAAAAAATGGATGGGGAGCCTCTGCGAAACATCTCCACTCAGCATCACTTCCATGTAATACATTTTGAGCATCCTTGGTTTCTGAACTCTACACCTGACAACACAAGATGATTCATGCGCGAAAGCCACGAGAAGTGAGAGGAAGCGCGGGTTGGATGCTATGCAAGGGGGTGAAGCAAGCTCTATGATTCTGATCTAGGCTACGTTGACACCATGGTCCAACAAAGCGGGAAATGAGAGCCTACTGCTCATCGAACATCGATCAATACCGTTTGTCTCTCAACTCCAATTCGAAGCCAAAAGAAATCGACAATGCTCAACTCTCCTGGCGTTACTGATTCTGGCCGACAAGATGTCCTTGGAGGTTTGGTACTCATGCTTACCCGGGGAGTGAGTGGCTTGAGCTGAATAAGATGTCCATGGTGTCACCGCACACAATCCAACTACAAAGCAGTAGCTTATAGGATCCATGCGATTTGAGAGGCCAAGGCTGTCAAGACATAATGGTCTCGAAGAGTTGGTATACCGCGCCAATCCGCAAAGTTCGTGTCGCAGTCAGTGACTCAGTGTACGAAGCAACCTACCGGTTAGAAGGTCGGAGCCTAAGCATGGGAAGGATTTGAATCATCTTCCTGGACGGACTCACGATACCCTGATGTGTGATATACAGGGGCTTTCTATTTGGTCACTTGCTGACTCACGTGTGTGAGCCTACCCTGTGACCCTGGCCACCTGTAATCACCCTTTGAGGCAGCTTCTAAACAACTTCAGTCTCCTTTCGTACTGAGTTCCGATTTCGATTCATCAATAGCCTTGTTCATTACCTTCTCATATAACCTTTCGCGGACCGTAATGTTCACAAATAGAATTTTCTTCAAGGCCAAGATCTTGCATGTCGACAACTTGAGACCCACGTTTTTGTAGATGTCCTTTGTAGCCCAGATCTAAGAGTTGCCTCGGAGAACAATATCACATTCGCATGCAAGAACTTGCAAATGTTCCCATATTGTTGAGACAAGTTCGGAGAAGAGAGGCGCATTGAGAGTCACCCTGTTGTTTACCAGGAGTACTTGTTATTCACCCATCGCTGGTTGCAGGAGTGACCAATCAATCAATCAACCCCGCGGTACGTACCTTCCTGATCGCTCGTGGGGCCAACAAGAGTCATTGCAGCGGCGCCGACCGCGGGGCACTATCGAGGGGCACTCGTCGATTTTTTCTCCCTTTCACTAATTGGTATTTATTGCAACGGATCAATCACGTTGGCGACCGGCGCAAGGCCATATTCAATCAATACTCGATCAGTCGCAAAATACTGAACCATGGCCGACACCAATCCTGCCGACCAGGCTGCCGACGGCGTCGCCAAGCTCTACCTCGACGAGGTCACTGGCGAGCACGTCTCCAAGACCGAGCTCAAGAAGCGCACTAAGACTCGTGAGCGCGATGCCGCAAAGAAGGAGAAGGCTGCTGCCAAGGGACCTGCTCCCACCTCACAGAAGAGCGCCGAGTCCGCTGAGAAGGACCTCACCCCCAACCAGGTCCGGCTCAGCAATCCATAAGCTCCTGCCTTGCTCGTACTAACCGGTCCACAGTACTTCGAGATCCGTTCACGAATCGTCAGCGACTTGCACACACAAGGCAAGGCTTATCCTCACAAGGTGAGTCGCTAGCACGGATTTCTTCACGCAGTACTAACACAGGTTCTAGTTCGAGGTCACCTACGACATCCGCAACTTCGCAGACGAGTTCAAGCACCTGAAGAATGGCGAGTCGGCCAAGGAGAAGACAATCCAGCTGGGTGGACGTGTCTTTGTTCGCCGATCTGCTGGCAGCAAGCTCTTTTTCTACGATCTCCGCTCCGACAACGCCAGGTTGCAGATCCTCGCCCAGGCGGACAACGCCGACCCCAACGCCCCCAGCTTCGAGGAGCAGCACGTCAACCTGCGCCGTGGTGACATCGTCGGTGTCCGTGGTTACCCCACCCGGACAAACCCTCAGAAGAAGCAAGGCGAGGGCGAGTACTCTGGCGAGCTGTCTATCGCTGCTACAGAGGTCATCCTGTTGTCCCCATGCTTGCACCAGATCCCCGACGATCACTATGGATTCAAGAACCCCGAGCAGCGCTTCCGACAGCGTTACTTGGATTTGATGATCAACGAGAAGGCGCGCAATGTCCTGATTACCCGTTCCAAGATCGACTCTTATATCCGCCGCTACTTCGACGACCGCGGCTTCATCCACGTTCAGACCCCCATGCTGAACACCATCGCCGGAGGTGCCACAGCCAAGCCTTTCATGACGCACCACAACGAGCTCAACATGGACATGTATCTGCGTGTGGCGCCTGAGCTGTACCTGAAGCAGCTGGTCGTTGGTGGGCTGAACCGCGTGTACGAGCTTGGCCGTCAGTTCCGTAACGAAGGTATGGATCTCACCCACAACCCTGAATTCACCACGTGTGAGTTCTATATGGCATACGCCGATATGTATGACATTATGAACATGACCGAGGAGCTGGTCTCGGGTCTTGTCAAGGCCATCACCGGCGGATACGTGACCACTTACCACACTGCCAAGGGCGAGAAGCGCGAGATCAACTGGGAGGCGCCATGGCGACGCATTGAGATGATCCCCTCCCTCGAGGAACTCACGGGTGAGAAGTTCCCGCCGTCCGAGGAGTTGCACACAGCCGAGACTGGCGAATTCTTGAAGAAGGTGCTGGCCAAGACTGGTGTTGAGTGCCCTCCTCCATTGACCAACCCGCGCATGTTGGATGCCCTCGTCGGCCACTTTCTCGAGGACCAGTGCATCAACCCCACGTTCATCCACGGTCACCCCCAGATGATGTCGCCGCTCGCTAAGTCGGACCGCAACAAGCCCGGTCTCTGCGAGCGTTTCGAGGCGTTCGTCTCGCAGAAGGAGATTTGCAATGCGTAAGTCTTTCAGTCTCTACCCTAGGAAACTGCTAACAGCCTTAGATACACCGAGTTGAACGTCGCTTCTGAGCAGCGCCTGCGTTTCGAGGAGCAGGCTCGCCAGAAGGACCAGGGTGACGATGAAGCACAGCTGATTGACGAGACCTTCTGCCGTGCTCTTGAACACGCGCTACCACCCACTGGCGGTTGGGGAATGGGCATTGACCGCATGGTCATGTTCCTCACCGACAACTGGAGTATCAGGGAGGTCCTGGCGTTCCCCACGATGAAGCCCGAGTCGCACGGGCCCGCGGCGGTAGCGGAGTAGACCAGAACTTAGAAAGAAAGAAAGCAAGAACATGACAATGTCGTGTCATTCAATCATCCCATTGAAAGGGTATCATCCATACGTGCTAGATCGACTATCCGGAACGCCGTGCCATGTAACCACCAGACCCCCCTCCGCCCTCTAGACTAGAACAGATGCTTTCGCTTGCGACCAGTGTACTTGGACGTAGACTTGACCACCTTTCCTTTTCTCTCCATCTGTTCCTTTTTCTTCACGATCCACGCCTTGCTGCCCTTCTTCACAGTGCCGTTCTCCGCCTTGATCTTCTTGCGCGCATCCATGACATCCACGCCGTCCATGCCGTCTACCACCTTGGTGATGTCGCTGCCCTGCGTACCACCGACCGTCAGCACAAGGTAGAGCTTGTGGTTCTTGGTGTCGGGGTCGTCCTCGAGCAGACCGGCGCCAAAACCAGCCTTGACTGCCGCCTCGGTGATCATCTTCTTCTGCTGGTCGTTCTTGGGGTAGAACTGGCACACCGCCCGGCCGCCCCTCTTCAGGCTCGCGTACAGGCCGTTGAAGAAACGGGTCAGTCGCCCCGCGGGACTCGACTCGCTGTCGACGGCGCTGCAAAGCCATTGAATGGCAGAGATACTAATCGCCGCGTCAAAGGTACCGGCCCGGAAGGGTACGCCCTGCCCAATGTCGGCCAGCATCAGGTCACCCTCCACATCCCTCTGGAGGGCAATGTCCAGCATGCTGGGACTAACGTCCATGCCGACCCAGACGTGTGACCCGCCCTCTTCGGAGGAGAGGATCTCGCCGGAGAGACCGCTACCGCAACCAATGTCGAGGATAAAAGAGGGGTGGGATAGGTCGAGGAGCTCGAGCGCTCGATGTGTCATGGACGCCTGGATGTTCTGGATACGGGAGGATGTTGTGTATTTGCGGGCTTCGACATCGTCGTAGTGGATGTCTGCGGCGCTGGAAGCAGTGTTAGAGCAGGCTCGGAGGGGTTGATGAGGGGCGTGCGCGTGGGAACTCACAGATCATCCTCAGGACGCGACATGATTGCGGACAATTGAGGATATATGTCAAGACCGTATTGGTATTCTAAAATAGAGGCGCAAGGGGGCTTCAAGCGTCCTGTACAGCAGTTCTGGCAAGCTACAGACTCAGCTGCTTCGGTAGTGGGATAAATGGGTGAGTGTCCCAGAGTCGCGAACTTTTTTGTGGCTTATCGATTAGAAAGCATCGATTAGATAAAAGGAAGACCCTGCCGGCGCCAAGACAGCCGCCCACGAGAACCGGGGGACCAGCTCAGCTTTAAAAGCCTCGAAACTCTCTTCTATCCGCCTCTTAGTTTCGTTGCGACTTTCATTTGCCTCACCATGACTTGGCTTCCAATGTTTGGATAGCTACCAGTTCTCAATAGCAATGGCCACTGCCGTGCATCACCTGAACGGGCCGGAACAAGCCCCGCGCCGAGGCGACTCTGGCCCCTGAGGGCTAAGATTGCTGCAGGACGTGTCTTTTGTCTTTTGCCCCCATCGGTTCCGACGCGTGCCAACTCCTGTCCATCCCACCATGCTTCACCACCATTCCCCCTGAGTACAGCCACATCAACACAAGCAACTAGCACGATGTGGATTCTACCGCTCATCGGGTACATTGGTGCCGTCCTCGGCTTCTGTTTTCTTACTATGGCCATCGCGTCGGGCCTGTACTACATGTCGGAGCTCGTCGAGGAAAACACGGTCATCGCGAAGCGACTCTTGACGAAGCTGATCTACGGCATCATCGTTGCTCACGTGTTCCTGTGGCTGGTGGACGGCCTGCCCTTCCTGGGAACACTGTTTGGCATATTCTGCCACGTGGTGTACCTGGGAAACATGCGCAAGTTTCCGTTTGTGAAGCTTACAGATCCCCTGTTCATCCTGACATGTGGTGAGTTGCGGTTGACGTGGGTCTAGTCCGGCGTGACGCTAACAAAACAGTGCTGGTCTTAGCTGATCATTATATCTGGTTCCGACACTTCTCACACGCGCAGGCGCGCTCCTATTCCCGCTCTGGGTACTACGACGACGTCGACATTCCGAGCTTCACCCAGATCGCCTCGTACTTTGGTCTCTGCGTCTGGCTCGTGCCCTTCTCGCTTTTTGTCAGTCTCTCGGCGGGCGACAACGTGCTGCCTACGATGGGCACTTCAGAGCCCACGCGGGACATGGACGGCAAGGTGAAGCACCAAGGCATGTTCAAGTACCTTGTCGATTCGATCCGTGGGGCGATCGGACAGGGCTTCCAAGGCTTAGACAGACCGTGAGCGATGTCAACAATGGTCACACGACCCGTCAGTTAATCCCCACGTTCCGGCAACAACACGGTACGTTCTTCAAGTTGATCTATGCCTTCTGCCGACACCCATATTTGCATGATGAACAAACTTTCCGCTAGATTGTATTTGACAGGCTTCGCGCCCGACTGATTTTCAAAAAAAAGTTCATAATTTCCTGATCAAAGCTCCACTCTACTGCTACTTTTCCGACGACGTTCTGCAAGCTCGAGCTTACAATTTCTTAGGCAAGCAGTCGCGCCGCACGCATAGCGCGCGCAGTGTAATACAGGGAAAATAAAGGACAATATTCGTTGCATCGATTCGCCTACCCGTCCAAGAGTGTCGCCCGCGATGCTGACATCGCGCAATGCGCTGCGCTGCCTAACCAGAAACACCCTTTTTGTCCTGGGCTCCTCCAGTCCAGAACTTCTTGTCCACTTTGTCCTCCGGCGCCGGGCTGCTGGTATCATGCTTGGCCTCAAAGTCCTTATTGTGCTCCTCGACCTCTTTTTGCTGCTCTGGGCTCATGTGCTTGGCGCTGTTGTGCCCTGGCACGCTGTGGTTGGAGATCTTGGGCGGCGTGGCGCCATAGGGTGCAGACGAGTCGAGGGGCTCACCGCCGCCTGTACGACCCTTGACTGGATTGTTGGCCAGATCATCAGGGACGGCGCCTGGGTTGCTTGCGAGCAACGCGCGAGGTGTTGTATGAAGAAGGCGACTTGAGGTCGAGACGGAGACGTGAGGAACGGTGGCGACTACTCTGCGAGAAAACATCTTTGAGAGTAATTTGTCTTTCCCAGAATATTGATTGAAAATTCGATGGATTTGGGATCAGTAAGTTGTTGTTGCATGGAACAAATGCTGTAGCTACAGCTCAATTGGAGTTTGAGCCTGGGTGATCTAATGTGTTTGCAGGGTCCAGTGATGTCACTCGCTGTGATGTCACCAGTAGCAGTGTAGCACGCAATTGCCATCTCGATGCTCGTACGGTCGTACTTTCCTTATTACCTTATTGTTGGCAGCTTCGCCCCTTCCCTGTCGATCTTTGGCTCTTTACTTTCATTTTGGACTCAGAAGCCAATCAATTTGAGCTCCTCATGGCAGGCTATTTGGCGACAAAAGGGTGGGTGTGCGGGTGCCGCCAACTGTCAAAACCATATTCGCCGCATGCTAGGGCCCTTCAGTCATCACAATCGGGAACATATGAGAATTTCTTCCGAGCCAGCTCTCGCGTGAGTAGAATCGCATGCCGCGCTTTAGTGTCATGAGCGACGTGAGCTCACGTGCGATAAAGACGCACCTTGATGGTCACAAATCACGACTCCTCACGCTCAGGGCCCGTGTTTGAGGAGACCGGCCATCAAGGTGCCTTGAGATGCCGCAGGAAGGCACAAACAAGTGGAATGTGCCTATGAAGGACCTCACGCTATCTCTGTTCCAGCATGATCTGAATTGCGAAAATGGCCCATCAAGGTGTCGTGACTTCCACCATGGCGTGTCTCCATGTCTGCCAGATGTGGGAAGTACACAGACCGGGGGCTCCTGCTGTCCAGGACTACCTATCTAAAGGGCATTGGGCTTCCCTGAGTCTTAATCTTGTAGATATTGTTGCGCAATCTGAACGAACAAATACATTGCCGATATTCTCTGCAACGACACAGAACGATGACTGAGATGATGAGCACGGATAGCTCCACGCAGACTGATGTCCATGGGCAACCAGGAGATATCTTGCTACAGCCAGGCACGAACGAGGCAATTTCGAGAACCATGGCGGACGATACAAGAGAGGGCAACATGAGTCCCTCGCAGGCGGACGCTGCACCTACCGAATCATCCTTTGCACAAGAAGACATGCCAAACAAGCCGTCGCCGATAGCAAACTCCCCTTCATTACAAGATGCAGCACAATCCAGGGTAATCGAGGAGGAGGTTCTTGACGTACTGATTGTCGGGTCCGGACCTTGTGGGCTTGCCATCTCCGCTCGCCTCTGCGAGCGAGCACCAGCAGCAACACACACAGACGAAGAGCACCGTCGCTGGCGATGGCTGAAACAGTACGGCTCAAAGGTGGCGCTCAAGCAAACAAAGTCGGGCAAAGAAAAGCCGGCCAAGAACACACCTCGGGCGGACTATAAGATGATGGTGATTGACGCAGAGGGGGATACGTGGCTGAACCGATGGAAGAGGCTCTTTAGCGCATATGACATCAAGCACCTCCGGAGTCCCATGTTGTGGCATGTCGACCCCTTGGACCGGGACGCCATGCTGGGTCACGCATACCGGACGGGAATGGACAAGGATCTGGTAGAGATCAAGAACTGCGTCGGCGCGGAGGTGAGCAAGCACCAGAAAAAGAAGAAGGGAACTGGCGACTGGAGGTACGACTCGAACAAGAGCGGGCGCGCGGCCATCAACCTACGGGACCAGAACGATTACTACACTCCGTCCCAAAAGCTGTTTTGTGAGCATTGCGATGATGTGGTGGATCGGTACAACCTTGGAGGGGGTCTGATTCGACAGGAACGTCTGGAAGATATCGATTACGGTGTGGTTCGAGATGTCTCTATTGACGACGAGAAGCTATTTACGGTGACGACGAGCAAGACGATCAAGTATGCCAAAGCGGTTGTCATGGCCGTCGGACCGGCGAACAAGGCGTCGATACCTCGAACTCCCTCAATGCCGCAGGAAGGCCCTGTACCACAAGCCACGCACACATTCGGTATTGGCGAAGTCCCAAGCCCGATTGTAAAGGAACGCGTCGAGGCCGGTGGCACTACCAACGTCCTTGTGATTGGAGGTGGCCTCACCTCTGCTCAGATTGCCGACCTGGCCGTTCGATCAGGCGTCACGAAAGTGTGGCACCTGCTACGGGGAAAGCTCGTGCTCAAACACTTTGATGTGACGCTGGAATGGATGGGCAAATATAAGAACACTATGCAAACTGAGTTCTGGACAAGCGACACGGACGAGGAGCGGCTGGAGATGCTCCAAAAGGCACGTGGTGGCGGCAGCATCACGCCTCGTTTCTACAAAGAAGTGGTGAAGAAGAACATTGCTTCGAAGAAACTGTGCTTCATGGAATGCACGAAGCTCACTGACGCAAAGCTCGAGGAGGTGGACGGATTAACCAAGTGGGTTTGCCAGACTGAGCCGGCGATATCTGGGCTGCCCGCCATGGATTATATATACTTTGCCACTGGCATTCAGACGGACTTTGCGACGTTGCCGTACTTCCAGACAATGTGCGAAAAGTACCCGATTCAGGGCGTTGGCGGCTTGCCGTGTCTGACGGAGGAGCTCATGTGGAGGAAGGATGTACCACTCTTTGTCAGTGGCAAGCTGGCCGGACTGCGGATCGGGCCTTCAGCGCCGAACATTGGCGGTGCTCGTTTCGCGGCCGACTGGATCGCCCTGGCCCTTGACAATCTGATTGAGCCTGCAGGGGGCGAGGGGCGGAGGGAAGCGAATGCACGCCTTGGTCTGCAAGACTATGCTGCTGGAGAGGGGAACATGTACAGTGCCTTAGGTCATCTTGGAGTTGAAGATGAAGAGAATACGGATGAAGAAGAGACTGAGGATTCGGGGACGATGTATGGATCCGAATCTGCTGAGGTCTCCGATGAGACCGCTGGTACAGATGTGTCTGATGCTGGTGCAGATGAGGACCAGAAATGACTATGGAGTTGGGGGCGTTGCACTCGATAAGAGGAGCCTCATCGACACAGCTGAACGTCAATGAAAATCATATTATTGTTCAGGATTAGTTCGAGAAAGAATCTAACGCGGACCTGGATCTCGGAATATCGCCGCAGGTGCATTAGAGCACTGGTAGACATCTGGTCTGGGGCTAGAAATCCAATGGGCCTATGGGGATGATGAGGCATTGTTCACTCGAAGTTTAATTTAGGGGAGGGTAAAGCTTATTTTAGCTCGGTGGCTCACTTTGGAAATTACAGCATCTTTTTGCGTTGTACTGCATAACCTGCGCCTGTAGGTGGCTGGAGCCTCCTCTCTCGTCAACAGAACCTTTCCATATACACCAACATTGCACTTTTTGTATCTTAGACAAGCTGCTGGGTCTCTACACCAACAGGTCCAGGCCCTTCTTGAGACCTCCCCCGCCCCTGCTCTCACGCCCACGACAGCCATTGCTTCCGATCTGACGCTCCGCTACAAACTACTTGTCCTCCTCTCTGATTTTCTAAACTTCACCAAAGATCCTGCGGCAGAGCGCCGCATTAACTCCACGACCGATGAGCACTATATCAGCCTACCCTATTTTAGCCAAGAGGAAGCTGGCATGGTGATGCCAGGCCTTGCGGGCCTCATCATTTAGCTCCTCTTTATGCAACTTTGTTTGGGCTCGATCTGAAGGAAACCCAAGACGAAAAGTTTTTGGGGCGGCTGCGAACGGCTGGGATTTAGCGAGTAGTCTGAACGAAATCTGGAAAAGTCACTTACTTATGCAATTCGCACGTTATCATGAAAATACATGCAGAAAAAGGCAGAAGACAATAATCAGCCTAAGAATACGGGCACTACCCGCTCGCTTTCGTGAAGAGTACGAGGTAGACACAGTAAGCTATTGCTCCACATTTTGCTTTCCTTTTTTAGGAAGAGCATGAGCGCTGATTGGCTGCGTGTCCGGATCAGCGAACTTCGCAAGCCTGAGCTCTAGCTACAGAGCTCAAAGTTTTACAGGTGCTAGCTACTATTTGAAGGCAGAGGAGCCCGGATTAAGCCAGCCTCTAAGATTATATGTAGAGAGCAACGACATTGCCTGAAAACGAGCGTAATACTACGTCTAGACGTTAGCAGAAATATGCTAGTGTTTCTAAACTAATAGTGAAAAGCAGTAATCGATAGTTGTGCAAAGCCTCGTCAACGATAAGAAGAGAGCCAAAATAGGGAACTGTGCGGTCGTACAGAAAATCCTTGGCACACTAATCTACCGAAGAGTCGTGGGTGTTTGGGAAAGACCCTTTGGGATAGGACATGTGAAGAAAGGTACGGATAGTGTAGAGACTCCTCGTCGGAGCCTTCTCTGAGATGGAGGCAAGTCATGGAACATTGAAGGCGACAGAGCTGCAGCACAGTCATGCCTGGCAGAAAGAATGATGGCTAAATCACGTCGGTCGCCACTTGTGCCTGGCGGTCGACTTCCGCGTCTAGATCTTAGACCAGCGCAGGAGCACCGCGGCAGCAATGACCGGCAGCACGCTGACCAACTCTCCCAGCCCGGCAAACTCGGGAGGAATCCGCGCGTTGACAAAGGCGCCGGCAGCAAGGAGAACCGCAAACGTGTTGTAGACAAAGCTCCATCCAAAGTTGAACCAGATGCGATGGACGGACTTGCGGCTGGCGTTGATCATGGTCAGGACGCCACTCAGGCTGGGACGCATGAGAACGACATCCGCGGCGGATTGCGCCACGTCCGTGCCCTCGTTCATGTGGACGCCAATGGTAGCCTGCGCCAGAGCGACGGCGTCGTTCGTGCCGTCGCCGCAGAAGACGACAACTGGCTGCTTGCGACCCGTGACAGTGCCGAGGAGCGTCTGGATATAGTCCTTCTTGTTGGCAGGCGAGCTTCGAGAGCGGACGTTCTCTGCGGGAATGCGCAGCTTGGACGCCAGGGTCCGGACGGCTCCGTCGTCGTCGCCCGATACCACATGTACCGAGACGCCACGCTCCTGCAGGGTCTCAACCGTTTTTGCAGCGTCAGGTCGAAGTTCATCCTTCAGTCCGTAGACCGCCTTTACTTCATTGTCAATCGCAAAGCAAAGCACAGTGCAACCTTGGGTAAGCAATGGCTGGACGAGCTCGTTATCCGACTGGCCCAACCACCGGGAGTTACCAGCTTGCAGCTTCCGACCGCTGAGGGTGCTTTCGATGCCCTTTCCAGTCAAACTCTTGGGCTCAGGGACGGTGACACGCGTGACTCCAGTGCCCCTGAGGTGGGCAGCTACTGCAACCGAAACCGGGTGTCGACTATTCTCCACCAGACCAAGGAGAAGAGGAAGTGCTTCGTCGTCAATGCACTCGTTCCCAACGACGGCGAGATTGCCTCTGGTCAGAGTACCCGTCTTGTCAAATACGACATGCGACGTCTTGTGGGCGACTTCGATGGCCGTCGCGGATTTGAAGATGATGCCCCGTTCCGCCGCGACTCCGCTGGCGATCACGATGACCATCGGGACAGCAAGTCCAATCGCGCACGGGCACGACACGATGAGAACGGTGATGGCGTACGTGATGGCCTCGACGATCGCTTTCGCTGCGCCCTGGCCTCGGACGGCCACGCCCACTGCGATCCAGATGACAAACGTGATAATCGTCAATGCCACGACCACGGGAACAAAGTAGGATGCTACCTGGTCTGCCAGATCCTGCAGCTTCGGCTTGGAGAGCTTGGCCTCGTCCACCATGGCGGCGATGGCGTGGATGGTGTTGTCACCGGGGAGACGGGTCAGCCGCACGGTCATCACGCCCGGTCCATTGATCGATCCAGCAATGACCACCGATTTGGGATACTTCTCCACGGGCCTGGACTCGCCCGTGAGCATGGATTCGTCAATCTCGGAAGAACCGATGAGAACGGTGCCATCGGTCGGAACCCTGGTGTCCGGGAGGACCTTGAACGTGTCCCCATATTGAAGGAGTCGGGCGTCGATCTCACGTTCCCCTCCACGTTCCTTGTCGAAAATGATGGCTGTCGGTCCCTGAAGTGAGCGAATAGATATCGACTCGATAGCTTTCTGACGAGCGAGCGCTGCAACCCATCGGCCGACCATGATCAGGGTGACCAAGAGGGTGCTCGTCTCGAAGAACTGTCCTGTCGAAAGCGGGTTCCCCGCGACAAAGTATCCAAAGGAGATAACGGAGAAAATGTAGGCAGCGCTAGTACTCAGAACTATCAAGAGGTCCATCTCAATGACTCGGGAAAAGACGAGCGCCTTTAGTGCCTTAGGGTAGAATGGACCTGCGATGACCACTTGGACAATGGTTGCCAACGCGAGGGAGGCCGCGGAATAGGCCAGCTCCCGCCTGGCGGGAAGAGGAGCCCAAGCCAGTACGAGGACAGGAATTGTTAAGATAGCGGAGACGAGCGTCATGTATCCAACGTGGCGGACATGCTTGCTTCCCGCCTCCAGCGCCGTGTCACCGCGAGGCGGAGCGAGTTCAACTGGCGGACCCCAGATCTTCTCGACGAGGTGTCGGGCGCCCACAGTCTTGGCGTCGAACGCAACGCGGACGGTCTGCCTGCCCACGAGTGCCATGTCAATGACACCCTCGGGCCACGTCTGACTCATAAAGTACGCTGGATCGCCGGGGACAATGAGGTCCAGGCTCGCTCCCTGGCTCCGAATCCTCTCGCACTTGAATTCCGTCGTGCGCTCCAGATGCTTCACGACCTCTTCCACAGATCCGAGGCGAAGATCAATGTCGAACTCGGCCCGCGAGAGAACCAGGCTCGTCTTCAGGTCGCGCACGGCGGGGACCGTGGCGAGGGTCCGATTGAGCTTTGTCTCGCAGCCGGTGCAGGTCATGCCGGACACGCTAAGGACGACATGCTCCTTGCCGGCACCCTGTTTTTCCACGTCGCTGATGGTCTGGGTCGGAAGCTTGTCGACAACAGGCGCAGCAGTGGCAGAAGAGGAGCAGCAGGCATCAGCGCAAGAAACCTGACAGCCGTCTTCCTTGACGGATGGAGCATTAAAGGGCTTATCCTTGGGGCAACAGGACCCTGCGCAGGCATCCGCGGATGGCTTGGTGGCTGACGCGACTCTCTGGCCACACGTCTTGCGCAGGCGCAGGCGGTTCTGCGCAGCCTGACTTGGGGTGGCGGGACCAGTGCTGCAGTAAGAATCGGGGTGGTTGCGAGCAAGGGAGCGAGAGGATTGCTTCTCAATGCTGGGGGAGGATATCGCACTGCTCAGCGAGTGACGCTCGCGGATCTCACAGCACGTTTCCTGACCGAGAGCGATAAGGGAACGACAGAGGCAGCCCAGGGCCTGGAGCGTGGCGCCATAGCGGTCGAGGGCCGAGGTGAGATGGCGGTTACAGGCCTTGCCGTCGGCAGGTCCTTCGAAAGCTATTGCCTGGGCGTCCTCTTTGGGTGGAAGGTGCTCGCTCATGCTGCATTCCCGCAAGGCCAGACGGTCAAGGCACGACGTGTCGCAACATGGGGCAGTCGTGTCGGGGCAGCAATCAGGCACGTCGCTCTCCTCTTCGGAGTCGTCGTCCGCGCACTTGCCAGAGGAGCAGCAGTTGTCATCGAGAGGCACAGCTGCCTGGCCTGGCTCGCTGGTCTCGAGAGGCGCGGCGTCGCCGTCGTTGCCATCGCAGCAGGCGTCCTGGCAGCTACTCGTCGCGTCGCTCGAGGCGGCGGTGGGGGCAGCAGGCGGCTCGGTGACTGGAGCTGGCGGCGATCCGCAACAACCCGAACCCATTGTGTTGGAGCTATTTTGATTTCCTTTGTCGGTTTCTGGTTTGATATGGACGAGGGGAGGTGAGGTTGCAAGGTGACCTTGGGTCTGTGCACAAATTGGAAATACGGAATGCGGAGACCCTAGAGCCTGGCGACTACGGCGACAGCCCCCCAGGCGACAGGTAGTTTACTGGATTCACGACTCACAATGGCGACACCGTAGGCGCTAAGGACCTAGAAGGCTTCAGCCGGCTGCCTGCCATGGCCTATAGTGGCCTTGGCGCCAAGGTCCCTGCATGAGACTTGAGTGAGGGTCGTCAAATACGACTGAACTCACTCACTCACCCTCATTCTCACCTCATCACATCAACCACAATTCGTCGTTTTGCTCGTATGTATGCTAATTTTGGTACGTATTTTATGAATGCGCTTAGCGCATAGTGAAGTTGATGAAGCTCGCGAATTCGAGCCCTTGTTTGAGGTGAAAGCCTTGAGATATCGCGTTGTTCGTTGTAACGATGGAAAATAACATTAATAAAGCAGCATCGTAATAACGACCTATCTAGACAGGGCGCTAAGAGCGTGAAATGACAAAGAGTGCAAGCTTCTTGCCGGTCACTGTATGTATAAGAAGGTCCGTCTTTTCCGCCATTATTTCCAGATCATTATCAACCTCGCCCATAACTTCATGTTACCAGTCTTCACATTCTTGCCAGCTGGTCTACAATATCTCACTACAATAGCGCTATCTACGCTCGCAGCTCTCGGTCTCGCGGACCTGACCTTCGCATTTTCTGATGAGACTCTCACAGTGATGGACACATGACCTGGGAGACTGATTGTTTGATTAGATCCATGTTTCCCAGTCACCGAGTTAATAGGCCGCATATCTGGTAGCACAGCCTATCGTTGCACTATCACGGCTCAAAGCACCCTGAACATGGCATCTTCCGATCCAGCTAGAGACGGACATAGCTTCCTCTGAAAGTAGACGTGGAGTTTATATTGTGGATGTTGCGTGTGTGACGCTAGTTCCTCTGTTTAAGCGTTTGTGGGTTCCCGGCAGTAGAGGTTGCTAGGCGCATAATCGCGCTTTGCATGGCACTGATGCTGAATGGGTCGGTGTCTTGGCTTCCATCCCCTTCCGCCAATGATTCCCTCGCACACCAATCTTTTGTTCTGTCTCTCATCGCCCTGTCGTTTGATCCTGGACATTATTCCTCTACGAAATGCTTCGCGCCACATATCACCCTGTACGCAAGCCGCTTTTGGCTCGCAGACGTTGTCCCGGACTCCACCACGCACTTCGGCAAATACATCGACGAGTACTTGTCGAACAGTAAATGAAGGCAATATGGGGTTTGACCAAGGACGATATCCAGCCGACGGGCCTTCAAGGCGACACCTTACATCTGCTAGCACAGACGGAGACGTGACAAGTCAAGACTCAGAGCCCTAGCAGACTAGCTCGGTACCCGAAGGAACAGTGCCCCTAGAGATGGAGACTTCGGAAGTGAGAACCTCTCGAGCAGACTCGGAGGACATGGCAGAACCGTCCGTGAGCTCTTCAGCCGGCACAACGGCCGTTTCCACACCAGTCTTCCAGTCAAGCATAGGAGATGGCTCGTCTCATACCGTACAGGCGGAAAGATTATCCACAAGGTCGTCAAAGATAGGAAGACAGCCTCCGGGGAGAAGGGTGGGGGGAGGGAAGGAACAAATACCGCCAGAAAATAGTGGAAATGAAAAAATTCAAGGACTTTTAATGCAGAAGTTTATAAAAGAGTCAAACAGCACAAAGAAATACTGGAAGAGGCCGGGTTCAATGAAATCTAGGTGTATTCTCAAACTTGGTTATCTCCTAGCACTCTATTTGGCCATACTTACTCACGCACTACGCCTTTAGATTCCCCACGCTCCTCGTCTGGACATTCAGATACAATTACTAATAGTAAGTCTTAGTAGCTACAGAGTGCTGCCTGCACTAAGAATCTATACTACCTAATCGAACGTAGTGTAGACAGAGCCCGAAACTCTTATAGAAATTATCTAGATATTAGGTGCAGTCTCTCCTGTATGCCGGCGCAATATGCTTATACTTATATAGACATACTATACTTGATTCTTTAGGAATCGGGTTAGGATACTCTTCGCCTTACCCTAGGGCCTGTGTCGTTGAAGCTTGGCTTCGAGCCGGATCGTCTCTTTATTCCCGGAAATACTTGGCCATAATGTGCTCGTGGTGGAGGTGCGGCTGCGCCGACTGCCGCTCCGGCGGGACGTTATCCTTCGAAGTAACGATCTAGTTATTTTGCTTAATAAGAGAGAGGGAGAGGCCGGAGATTAATGTGTTATTATAGGTTCTTTACTCTAGAGCAACCTATTTCTGACAATAACGTCCTGGCTTTTGCCCATATAACACGGGGATCGAATGCGACTGGGGTGCGCGGGCAGCCCGAGGCACATTTTCCTCGTCTTTCCCTAGACTTTATTATTTGGCCTAACTTATCATAATATTCGTGGAGTTTCCTAATCTAGGGAAGGTTTAGGGCGAATCAATCTGGCAAGATGCATGCGCTCCAATCGCAAAGCCCTAATAGCCAGTCTTCGAGCGGACAGACAGACGCTAAACCAGGCCGAGTCAAAATTCCGGTCGCACGTTCTCGGTTAGCATTGTGCGTCGGTGTTCGGTCTAGAATGCACCGTGGGGTCGGGGCACTAGGCACGGCAACTCCCTACGAGACAGATAAAGCTAGAGTTAGTACAGCGTTGAAATTACATATCTAACAAATCTAACAAGTGATGACGAAGAGGATACTAAGACATATACACAATCTCGGAAGCTGTCTATAGGCCTAGGTTCAATTAGTATCTAGAGCTCGATGTACGATTTACGCTGTCACGAAGCTACATATACGCTTGCGTAATTGATTTATTAGCGCCGGTGCCCCGTGGGGTCCAGCCTACATATGCCGCCGATACAGGCGGGGGAAGCCACATGTCAGGTGCATCCGTGTCAACCCCCGCACATACACGATAGGCCCTAGGTTACTTGATCTAGTTTCCCTTGTTAGCTCAGTCTAAGTATCGCTGAGCATCGGCTTCGTGGTGCTTAGTTCTTGATTGACTAAGGTCACATGATATAGAACACACTTGTGGGGTGTTTTGCCTTGTATAGTTCCACGTATAGTCGGAGTTCGTAAGAACCCTAATCCGTTCTTCCTAACCTCGTATCCTGTGTGACCATCCACCGAGACTAGCATAGGCAATACAATAAGCGCTTGCAAACACACGCAATAGAGAAAATTATACTAGGAAAACGTGCGATTCAGAAGAGCCACATACCTTCGCAGTACTGATCGGAAACTACAAAAAGTCCCTCTTGCTCACCGCCATGTATCCAAGGAGCACGCCTCTCAGCAAGGCGCGACACCTCGGTGAGACCCATCTTTCTGTCTCTGTCTGTCTCTCTGTCTCTCTGTCTCTCTGACTGACTCCAAGCTAGCAATTATTTCCGCCCACAAACCCTGTCAAAGTTCAGATCAACTACTTACGGTAGCTCGGAGGACGCCATTCCATGGATTATGGGGTTGGAACGCCTTTGGCTCTGCATCGCAATTATTCTACTGGTGCGCATCAAACCCGCCAAGAGGCGCGCATTTGCCGGCGAGTTCTGGCCCCAGCAGGGCGGACGGATAGGTCAGGAGTGAGTATAAAAAGATATCTCTAGAAGGACGACTTCGAATAATTTACTTAATAGAAGCGACAGCAGAAGAATCTCGTCCCGGTTCACAATCACCTATTATTAGCCAAGATGGTTTCCTTGCGCAACCTCGCCATCGGCGCCATTCTGGCCGTCGCCGGCATGGCCCAAAACGTCGCCCCGGGCCGAGTGACAGGCGACACCTTCACCCACGACCCGACGGTCGTCAAGAAGCCGGACGGTTCGTATATCATGGCCTTCACCGCCGATAACGTGGGACTCAAGACTTCGACCGACCGCACCAACTGGCGTGACGTGGGCGCCGCGTTCCCCAACGGCGCCCCTTGGACGACGCCCTATACTGGCGGCATCCTCAACCTCTGGGCCCCCGACATCTCCTACCATAATAACCAATACTACCTATACTACTCGGCTTCGAGCTTCGGCAGCCGCCGCTCAGCCATCTTCCTTGCCACGAGCCCCACTGGCGCGCCCGGCTCGTGGACCAACCAAGGTGTCGTCGTCGAGACGTTCGAGAGCGATAGCTATAATGCCATTGACCCGAACCTCATTGTCGACGCCGAGGGCGATTGGTGGCTTAGTTTCGGCTCGTTCTGGGGTGGCATCAAGATGATTGCCGTGGACTCGTCCACCGGGAAGCGCTCCGGTAACCAGCTGATCTCCCTCGCCGCCCGCCCCAGCGTCCCCGACGGTCCCGTCGAGGCACCTTATATTACTCGTCACGGCGACTACTACTATCTTTGGGTATCTTTTGATAAGTGCTGCCAAGGTGCTGACAGCACCTACCGCATTATGGTTGGCCGCTCTACCAGCGTCACCGGACCCTACGTCGACAAGTGCGGCAAGCAGATGATGCAGGGCGGCGGCACCAAGGTCATGTCGAGCCACGGCTCTATCAACGGGCCCGGCCATAACGCTGTCTTCACCGACAACGACGGTGACGTCCTCGTATACCACTACTACAGGGACGACGGCGTTGCGCAGATGGGTATCAACTTGATCCGCTACACCAACGGCTGGCCTGTCATCTACTAGTAGAGCATGCGTACGGCATATCGTATGGAACACGGTCGGAAAGCGCCCCAATTACAGCGTGCGGCGACGGTCAAGGGTGTTAAGCAGAGGGAGGAGGATGTCAGGTACTGTTGTGCACGTTGGATACTTGCAGGGGTCCCAATTACGAGTCGACACGCTAGCTAGTTTTGAGCTGCTTCCAAACATGTTTTCCGCCACTCGCAACCGCCACTGGCGCCCACACTACCCACCCGTAATTGTGAAGATGAACTCCATGGGATGAAAACCTACTAGCTCCGACTAGCGTAGCATCAACGCGGGGAGCGCCTGGTCATGGACCCAGGGCGGCGGGTGGTGGACATGAGAAAGGATACCCATAGAAATATCGCTCCCACACAACAGCGCACAGCGTCCAATGCTACAGCTCATTTACTACCATAATAGGACGAGTAGAGCTATTATTGCCAACTAATGTAGTTCCTTACCTTGCAAGGACATCGTTTCAATCCAACTATTAGTTGCTGGCTGCCGCAAATGCCCCCAGCCTTCAATAACTAGGTCTCGAAGGGTCCTAATGCGGGTATTAACGCATATATTCTTTTGCCACCAGCCAGCCATTCTCACTAACTTCTCAACCTCTAAATATTCAAAAGAGCCTTGGACTTTGGTCTTATTAAGCGTATCAGGATGCCTAGGCATTGGGTTGTGTGGTGTGGAGAGGTGTTGTTGTGTGGGTGGGTGCGGATTTTTACGTGTATTATTCTTACGAGCTCGTGGCCACCCACTGCGGGTTTACGCGTGCCACACCAGTGACGGCTGCAACCCCGCATGGAGCAATCAGACTGGCCTGAACCTGTGTGCCAATCACAGCAGGGCCGAGAACGCCTGGGCGATGGATGTTCCAAGTGATTCTCCGCCAAGCGCGTCCATGGCCTCGTGATGGTTGCCCTCTTTGCCGGCTGTCATTAGTGCGCATTGTTTGTCGTCGTAGGCACAACCCACCTTCCGTGGCCCCCATTATGTGCAGAAAATAGATAATATGCCTGATCTCACGGTCGCTCATGGAACCAAAGGATGGAATTGGATTTTGAATAACTGCTTGTATTTCGCCGCGGTATCCGCGGAGGAAACCTGGTAGTTCATGATGTTGGGTGTAATTTACGGGGGCAGGAACACAAGGACGTCACCGTCAGCTGCTGTGCGGTCCTCTGCAGACTTGGAAAGTTGGATTATTCCGCTCTTCAAGGAGGAGATTTCACCCGTGGATGAGACCCTCATCATGCGCCCGGAGTCTCACCAATAGAAATGCGTCCCTTCAGCCTGCTCAGGTCGCTTGTCGGCTACCTCGGCCTCGCTGGCTCTGCCATTGTCTTCAGCAACCCCATCCGCGCCCCTGGCGGTGCTGACCCTCATGGTACTACTTGGTAGCCACAGAGTGGACAATCCTCCAAACCACCCGGGCCCGCTCCATTGAAGGGCTCAAGACCGCCACAGCGCGCGTCATCTACACGGACAGCAACCCGTCGCGCTGCCGCAACGTCTGGGCTCCGGAGCTCCATCATCTCAGTGGTCGCTGGTACTTCGACGGCACTAATGTGCGCTTCAACGGCCTCGGTAACTACTTCTTCTACTCGGGTATAACCGGTGTGCCCCACCAGTCCGCTTGCGTCCACCGCCTCGGCACCGACAGCATGTCCCTCATGGAACCCCGTAGCATTATTCGCATAGCTCTGGGAGTGCAGCGAGGTCCCCGTGCGGGAGGGTCAGGACGCTCCCTACATTGGCGGTAAGACGTACGTGGCCTACTCGGCTAACTGTTACTAGACGGACGACTACGTTCCATACCACAAGTAATCCCAATGGCGCGTGCGACGATGTTCGCTATGCCATGGTCTAGCCTTTCACTGCGAATGCTGATGGCTCCCTTAACTTTCGTTGCGTGCAGGTTCCGAATTACCAGTGGGGCGAGCCTCGCAGCTGACGCCCTTGTATACCATGCTGTTGCCACTCCATATTTCTCTTGAATATCTGATGCAACTCAACAGATGCAGATTTTGGAAAATGAACTGTCTCTATAGCGTGTGTTGATATATTTTCGGACGACAACTTGTTAACTTAGTTTGCTCAACGTTAGTGTTGGTAGTAGATGTAAATTTGCTTGCTAGTGGCTGAGTGAGAGCAATGCAGGGTTGTTGGGTTGGTGTAGTTTAGTCTACTTTTATTTCTGGATCGCTGCGTCAGGTGCAGGGAGAACCAATCGTGTGACGTGGCCTGCCAGGCAACGGCATCGGCGTAACTCTGCACTACCGTTATTGGCTCGAGACGGCGGCAGCTCCTGGCATTCCGCGCCACCAAGGTGCGGTGCGATAATTGCTGGTAGCGTACCGAGTAGACATGCTAGAAATGATGGAAGCGTTCTGGCTTTGACTTAGTCTACTGCAGTCTGCACGCCGGTGCCGGATAAAATGTGGGCTTCGACTGTGGTGATTCCCTGTCGCGTTCCCACGTTCTGGAAGAGTTTTGTTCGCGGAATTCGCATTTGCACAATGCCTAGTATCTCGTGGCCCGCATCCAAAGCGCCGATGACGGCCGCGGTGCCGACATTGCCTGTGGATCTCCACGACAAGAACGGTTTCTATGGCTCGTGACGTCGTTCGTGTCCAGATGAATGTAGTGCAACTCCACAGTCTATTGTGTGTTTTTCACGCAGGTTGCCGAGGGTGTTTTATATGACAATATCCAAACGCGAACTAAATCGCTACAATACAATGGCAAATTCAATCAGTGCGTCTACCGCTATGGCCTCTATAATGCCAATGCTGAAGAATGTGAGGCGCCTCTTTGCTGCGTACCAGCAAATCGTCTCTTCGATTTTCTGTCTCGCGCGACAGCACCACCACGGAGCCGATCGTGACGGAGTGCGAGAGGTTTTTAGGTGGTACTTAGAGCGACCAGGAAATAGTGAATACAGTTGCTAGCCTTAACGTCCCAGCCTTCCTGTTCATTCTGACTGCCTCTCCATCAATACACATGCCTTGTGGATGTAACCCCCTATTTCTCCACTTCTTTATCCAGGAGACTTGTGCTCGGCGGTTAAGATCACTAAGTGTCCATTGGGTGGAGGGCTATTCGTAGTCAAAACTCGTCTTTTCGACTTTCTCCGGAATTGTGTACGCCATTGTGTGTGGCCAAGGTACTCGGAAGAAATTCTGCCTACATGGCAGGGATCAATACAGGGCGACGAGGGAACGCCGTAGCCTCTGAATGTGTTCGTCATACCACAGTCAAGTGCACGTTCAATGTCAGCACAAGAACCAAGCCACTACCACACAAAAGCAAAGATACAAATATACGGCCATGCTGTCATCTGGACCAAAGCCTCTCAGTCGTGCTGACGGGTCCGCTATTCAGTTATTCTGGCCGTGGCGGGGCCACGTTCGAGGCCCAGTGGAACGAAAATCCATATGCCTTCTTCGCCACGCATGTCGAGCACTTCCATAGCTACGGCCTCATCAACGGGCCAAACCCACCCATCTCGCACGGCTCGGTCCTCATGCACATGTCCTTTACCGCTGACATTCGTGTTACTACAGTCAAGCATAACCTCCCGGGGTCTTGAGGTACGGAGGAGGAAGAATCCCCTCCAGCTCAGCCTTGATCTGCAGAGCCAGCGTCTGTGAGTGGAAGCGATGCAACTGAGTATAGCCACCTGCGATCCAATAATTCACACCTTCAAGGCGCGGATGACGCTTCCACATACCCCTGATCTCGCCTTCTGCGTCAATTCCCCAGGTCGTGTCAAGACGAGAGGCTAGCTCCTTAGGTCCTAACTGGCCATCTTCGACCTTGACATTCTCGCCACCTAGCATGTCGGTCACGTTCTTCTTGACGTCCATGTCATCAAATCCGGTGCACCAGATAACAGCGTCTGCGTCCAAAGCACTTCCGTCCGAGAACTCGAGACCGGTCTTGGTGAACGCCTTCGGCTCTACCAATGTCTTCAGCGAGACCTTCTTGTCGGCAATGAGCTGTGTAACTCCCACGTCCATGTAATGCTTTCCGCAGTTCTCAATAAGGTTCGACATGAGTGCGCACTGGGGATCAAGTGCTGTGAGGACGGGGAACCCAGCATCAGCCAACGGCTTGTAGCGGTTGGGCTCTTGAGAGGCCATCATTGCGAGGAGTCCCTTGGCAAGAGCACCATCGACAGGAGAGGGAAGTGAAAGGAAAAGACGATCGGCAGCTGAGACGCCGAGGTCGTACGCTCCAAGGCTGCGCTGGTCAAGAACGTATTCGGTTGGGCAGATGAAGGTTGGAGAACGGACGACCATGGTGACCTGCAAACCGGCCGAGTAGCAGTCATCTAAGACATCGAAAGCTGTGTTGGCAGATCCGACCACAATCGCGGACTATCCGACTTCCATTAGCTGACGACATGTACAGGCATTTGCAAAGGCCTCACTTTGACACCATCAGCAGCAAGAGCTTTACCGTTGCGGAAGCTTTGCGAGTGCATAGATTTGCCCTGGTATCCTCGGTCTGCAATTTGAGGCAGGTAAGGCTTTTGAGACCCAACACCCGTAGCCTGCACGAAATGCTTGGCCTTGACTGCCCGGGGCCCAGCCAAAGTGTCAAAGGTAGCCTGCCAAGTCCTAGTTTTTTTGTCCCACACCGCAGAGATCAAATTTGCAGACGTGATTACATTGAGATGGAAGGCTTCAACGTATCTGATGACTTGCTCAGCAAGGTCGTTCTTGGATAGTAGATGTGGGGACTTGAGTTCGTCTCGATAGTCTGTACCGTATCAGCATCCGACGCGTCATCATGAAGGAGGACATGCATACTAAGATAAGGCATCTCGCAGAATGACGTTGGGACGTGAAACTTGAGATTGTCATATCGGAGTGCCCAGTTGTCTCCAATCTTGGCATTCTTTTCTGCTAGTACGTGGGACACCCCAAGTGCTTTGAGGCGGGCAGCAAGGGAAATCGCTGCATTTCCAGCGCCCAAAATCAACACATCTGTCTCGAGGTCGCCAGCGCCATCAATAGGCTGGGCAGGGGCATGGAGCAGTCCCTCATCCTCTGGATGGAGGTTGAGACTTCCAAGTCGGGTGTTGAGAACCCAAATCTTCCACTCAACAGAGTCATCGGCCGTCTTAGATGGTAGAAGGACAATCTTGCCGGTGCATGTAGCGCCAGGAGTCGACGTGCGGAAGTTAATTGAACAGTCGATAAATTGCTGTCACCAGAGTCATGAGCCTTTGACGTGCACAGCAAAACAGATATTGTGACTTACGAGAAATGGGGTTGCTGGGATGAAGACTGCTTCTCCTTCGGCAGAAAACTTTCCGCAGCCTCGAAGATCTACTACCTCCAGAAGAGCTTCTGCTATGACCTTAGGTGACACGAACGTCCTTAGGTGATAAGTCAAGGCAAGGCTATCCTTCCACCAGGCTTGAGTATCGTGGAAACAGGCAGTAATTGCATTGGCGTCTTTCGCAGCAATGCCAGCATTGAGACGATCTAACACGGCTTGTGCTTGGACAGTTGGTGCCTTGTCAACCGTAGACTCCGGAGACACTGTGCTAAAGGGAATAGTGGGCAAGGGATACTCCTTCATAAGCGTTTTCAAGTCCGCACGAGGAGGCGTTTCCTCGCCAGTGCCGTTGGTGTCTACCCATGGTATCCCCAGCTGTCAGCAAACCCTTGCAAGGTGATGATCCCTCGGCAACCCGAAGTACCCGGTAATGGTCACCACCAATCGACCTGTACCTAGACCTGGGTAGCACTCACAGGAAGACATCTTGCGGACTTGGGCAAAAAAGCGTCCGGATTACGTATATCCTCTTCGTTTCGTTACTTCTGCAATGCAACCTTGGCTGAAATGCAATCTCGCTTGCTTGTGAAGAGATGTGCAGAGAACAAAAGTTACACAGCATGGGACATCGCACAATACGCGAGTACATACGTAATATAATCGTAAGACGGCACTGGGTCATGTTGGACCCTCGTTTCTGCAGGATCCTGCGCAAGGAGGCAAGAGGGTACGTGCCTCATCATGGACATGGGTTGGGGGGGACTCACCCTGGCTGAAGACTCACTTCAGAACCCCTGTACACACCACGGTTCCTACGCACCACTGCCTGGAACTCCATGGGGATCAGCTCAAGGAATCCCTCGTAAGGCAAGGCTCACTGGAAGATGGCTGGGGCCCAGAGGTGGATGCTGTCACTTTGAGTTGCGGACATGAAACCAGGCCTGAGCGATCCCTGCGTCTCGCCGACAGTGTAGCGAAGCTCTGGTAAGCAGCTCGCCGCTCGACCGCACACAGCCGTAACTGATCTCGCCAGTAATACAGTGCACCCAGACTTCAAGTCCAAACGAACATTGCTTCTGCTAACGGCAACATTGAGTGTGCATAGAGGCGGCGTTGACCCCGCGGCCTACCCCACTTGAATTGATCTGTCACCTTATCCGTCTTTGGCGTCTGTGCCCTGCCTAACAAAAGGGACCAAAGATATTGCAGATCGCGGCCACTCGTGGGTCGGGCGTTGTTGAAACCACGGCCGCTATCGCCGCGGGCCAGGGATTCGTGACCGTTAGTCCAAACGGCCGGGGGTCTGCCGTGTGATGACACCCAGCTTCATCCAATCAACGGTAAGAAGCTCGCGCTCGGCGGTGTCGTAAATACAGCCCGGCGGGGCTCAACTGCTGAGACGGTGGCTATTGGTCTCTCCCCTTCTCTGAGAATGGCGTCTAGCCCTCAGACTGGCGTCGAGTGTCAGCGCTAGCGGTGAGCCCGGTGTGTGTAGGGTTATGAAGACGGCGCGGAGGGCGGCTCAGGCTTCAGCTTGATTCCGCAAAGGAGTTACCGAGCTGTCTTGACAAGTTCGCTAGCGCTGGGGTGCAAAATCTAACCACCTATGGTTTAGCGTTTTGCAGTCGAGGCGTGCAAAAGTACGGATCTCTTGAGACCCTGTGCGACCAGGCGTTGCTAGATGTAAAGTGGTGCTCAAATTGACAAATTGACACCATACTTAGCACGAAATTGAACAGCCAAGACAGATCAGCCGTAGAGAATTTGTCGGGAGAGTGCGGTAGTCATGGTTGCGTTCCATGGCTAGGGGATATTCATTCACTGTCAGTGGCAAACGCGGACCAACGATTTGAGATAGGTTGGGTATATGTTCGCGAAGGAGTAAATACGCACCGTGGCGAGATAACACGTTGGATGTACCCCGTATAACGGTTTTAGTAACGGTTGATGAAGTTGACCAGGTGCCCTGACTCTTTGCGTCCATCCACCCCTGACTTGTCGTCTCACCGTCAGCATTTGAGAGATCATTGAGCTGTGTCGCATGGGGGTTAAATGTAGGAGCCATAAAATGCCGACATTTGTTACGTATTGCTTTTGCTATTGAAGGATAGTATTTGTATCCTCCCTTCGGCGTTCGGACAGTGAAAGCTGTTTCTGAGGCCGTCTTCTTTTCTCGTGCAGCATGTTTTCTTTTCCTTGACTAGCCTCTCAAGAGTACAAACCTTCACCATGGCGATGGCGAAGGAAGAGCTCGACAGCCTTCTGGCTGCTCCTGCAATGGAGCCCCCCGAAGACGTCACTCCTGACTTTGAAAACCATCCCAACCGCAACGGGCTTGCGTTGGCCGTCACTACATTGTGTCTTGCAGTTTCTATACTCTGCGTGATTCTGCGAACGTACGCAAGGGTTTACAAAATCCGGGCAATCCACATGGAGGAGAGTAAGAAACTATACGTTCTTGATTTGTACATTCTTTTAATGGTTACTGACCATGCTACCCGTTATAGTCTGCATGTTTATTGCATTGGGAGCTCTCGGTGGTACAGCTTATGCTGGCTACGAGATGGTCGAGACACCTGGGTACTACGTTCACCAGTGGAACTTGGTCAACGGAGACCTTGTTCGACCTCTTTATGTACGTTTGTCCAAATTATTGGTTGGGAACCTTGCTGACCACCACACACAGCTCATTCTCGTCTATGGATGTTGCTACAGTGTAGTTTTGCCCCTGATCAAGACCGCTATCCTGCTTGACTGGTGCCGCGTCTTCGTACCAACCGACAAGTATCGAAACCCATTTTGGTGGGGATGCGTTACCCTCAGTACCTTTCAATGCGTCTGGGGCGTCATGTGCATCATTCTCCTCAACATGCAATGCAGACCGCATAACGCCATCTGGGAATTTTATGTCCCGTCTAAATGCTACGGACTTCCCTCCGTCATGCTTGGATCAGCGTCCGTTCAGGTCATCACGGACATCTGCATGGTTCTGTTACCTCAGCGTGAGATCTGGAGACTGCACATGAACTGGCAGAGGAAGGCTGGTATTGCCCTCATGTTCGGCGTTGGCATGATGTAAGTTGTCTGAAGACTTGTGTTGAAATGGGCAAAGCTAAATCGGTAACTCCAGTGCCTGCATCGCTGCTTGCTTCCGCCTGTCTCACACTATCACTTTCTCGAAGGAGCTCGACCGAATGTACTTCATTGGTCCCTTACTGTTCTGGGCATGGGCAGAGATGACGGCTGGCTTCTTCATCTTCAGCTTCCCTTGCTTGCCGAGAATTCTGGCCGAGTCTCCACTGCCTCAGACCGTGAAGTCGCTGTTCGGTATCAGTGCAGGCTCTAGACCCAGTGCAAGTGGAAACTCCAACCCCATTGTCACAATCGGTGGAAGCGGCGCGAAGGCAAAGACGAAGGGTGGTCACGTGGAGATTCCCGATGATGGTATGCCAATGGATGATCAAAGCCCGAACGACTCTCAAGAGGCCCTCTACCGTGGCAAGGCTCCTGAAGAGGAACAACAGAAGGAGAATGGAGAGGTGAGACGGACGGTTCAAGTCTCGGTAACATCAGATGCGCGATCGAACTCTCCTGTCCCGGACAATGGCATGCCGTGGAGCACCGTGGGCCGGCGCTACTAAGCGGCCGATGCAAGATACATTACTAAAGAGCCATGGAATCTCAGACAAAGTCGTAGGATTTGCCATTTTCCGAAACAGTGCGTCTCTTTCTATAATTACCTTTCCCTAAGTCCGATTATCAGGACCCATCATCAGGCATCGACGAGGTCGCGAGGCGTATCTACGGCAGCTGTATCCCTATCTAGAAAGGCTTTCTTGAAACCCGAACTACTTCACGGAAAAAGTAATCGATCTAGTTCGAGGGTCTGTTTTATGGTAAGACCAGATTCCATCACTAAGAGCAAGGTGTAAAGAGACATAACGCATCTAATCTCTCGTGAGACTCCTCCGAGTCCTGCCCGGGAAAAGTGACTCATTTACCGTCCATGCATGTCTCAAATTCTGAAGGACCAACTTTTGTCTGTTGCAAATCTTGTACTTATTAGTACGAAAATGCACTGCCAAGCCGAACACAATTGAAAAGCATACAGCCTTAGGATACAGGTTGCGCAGCGAGAGAAAAGGGCTCAGCTAAGTTGAGATAAGGTGACGGCCTCTCAAATGGCGAGCGTATGCAACGTAATGTCAAAAAGATACGTTATCCACGTGAGAGTTTTAGACATGAACAACTCAAGGAGGTTTCTTCAATTCTGGTGCAAAGTCTTGGGTGTTCAGACTCCTTGAGTGTCTTGTGACCAAGGAGGAGCACATCCCATGCCTTTGTAGATTCCCCCTGAAGCTCTTTGACAATATCAAGGCAATCTTCCACTAGTGGCGAAGCACCACTAGTCTCGTCTATAAATGTAGACTTGCTGCAGAAATCCTTGCCACTTAGGATCTGATAGGGATAGCTCTCATGGTTCTTTTCTTCCTCGTCGGCGTCGTCCCACGTTCGGTACGCGCGCTCAGGGGAGCAGACTGGAAGTCGGATCAAGCCAGCTTTTCGAACATCGTTTAAGAATGCGAGACTGTTAATGAAGTCATTGTCGAGCTTGTGGCGTCGTGGAGCACCATTTCCTCTATTCTTATTATATATATTGACCGGTCTAATAAGGTTAGTATGCTTATCTACGCCGGTTTTTCGGAGCAGGAGGATAAGAATGGTACGAACTTACCCCTTAACGAGATCCTCTATAGTAATGCCTCCATAGAGATTGTTATCCACCTTGATCGTTTTTAGACCGGGTGGCAGTGAAAACTGGCCCGGGTGGCTGATATGACTAGGATTCCCGTTGCCGTCCGCTACGAAATACCTTTTTCCGTTATAGCAGACCCCGGCATATTCGCTCACCTCATCGTTAATATAATCCGACAGGTTATTATTATCGTCGCAGCTCAAACCTAAGTCAAGGATAAATCCGTGCGTTCTAGATAATCTCTAGATTTCGGGAATAGCGAGGCTGAAAAAGGTTCGAGTAATACTCTCCCTCTAATAATCGTCCACGTCTTGTCCCGCCGTCGAACCCGTACTACCGTAGCTCCTGCCGTTGCTATCGATAAAGGTGCCCTCTTCTATTAGACTATATAGCCTGTCGATAGACTTGTTACTACCGTCGAATAGTGCGGCGAGGTTGTCTATAGTGATCTATGACCAAGAGTCGACCACTGTTGATATAAACGCCTTAAAATCACCCTGTGAATCCTTATCCTAGGAGTCCCTTCCAATCTATATTAGAAAGGCCTCTGAAGAGTAAACGTGTTGCTTACGGGGTTATGCTCGCTAAATCTTTCGCTAGCGTCGTCCCTTGCTGCACAGCAAGGATAGAAGTATCCTCTAGGTTAGCTGCAGTCGTCGATCCGGTTTTGGCGAGCTTGGGTAATGTAGAAATGACTAGAAGTCTAAAGATTATTAGTATCGCGAGGTTCTAAGATAGTATAACGGAGCTTAGGGCTAACTTAGTGTTACGGTTCTACCAGTTGCTGGCGGCTGGGTACAAGACCCAGCCCAGTTCACCTAGGCACGTGACGCGTGCCCGCGAGGACGCACAGACCTCGCAGGGTTTTCACAGGAAAGGGGGACCGTAAATTCCCTCTTCTCTCTCTTTTCCTACCTAATCGTTAGATAGACTCAATCTGAGCTACCAAGTTGTTCCAACAGGGCTTAGCCCACAACAATAACTAGACGCTTATGCCTCTCGTCCGTGCGCACCGCGTATAGACCCTAGCCAAGGGACGTTCTTTTTAAGATATCACCGATCATATAACACTTAATTACGAATAACTCAGGATAGGGCGAGGAGGGAAGGGAATACGACAGACCTCGGCAGCGTACCGATGGGTGAGCAAAGGAGCACGACCCGTGGTAGCATGAGATGATCTACTGGCTTATCCGATGTACCTTATACATACGACCATACCTAGTGGAAAATACGGGATCCCGTCCGCTCTCCCATCGTCAAGCCGCTGAGGGGCTGATTAGTAGTTGGGTCGGTGACGACCAGCGAATACCGGCTGTTGTATGTATTTTTGGTTCTTTTTTATATGGCGCCTGAGATTGATAAAAGTAGCCGAGTAACTCCGAGACCACTGTCGTACTCAGTGAGCTCAGGCCGGATCGTGAGTTAAACGACTTAGTAGCTGAACTAGACTCGCAGACTATAATAGAGCAGCAGAATCTGATTTTACGCTCTTGATAGCACTCTAATTTCTTAAGGTAGCCCGTATCCATCGGGTGAGTAGTGGAAAACCTATGGTCGCTGAGATCCTGAGGCGATATACGGCTAGTGCGACTAACGACTTCGATCTCGATTGTCTCTATACCCTTATGGAAACCTCGACCGACTGAGTAGATAACTTAACTATATAGAACTAAGCCAAGGGTGCTGTTTCTAAAGCTACTCCGCCCCTTGAAGAAAGCTATGATATGCATGGAAATGGCTGCAGTGCTTACTTGGAAGCCCAAAGAGCGCCAGCGGTGGCTTTGTCTAGCGTTCGGTGAACTTCGAGAGCCGTCTCGAGCGTGGCGTATTCGCTCTCCCTCCCCTCGGCAAAAGCAGCATAAACTCTGGCGATGCTCTTGGTCCAGCCATCAACTGCTGCAACAGCATCGGAATATCCCGTATCCCAGTCAACTTCTTTCGATGCCTCCTCACCACGCTTCCTCAGCCTGATGACTGCGCCATCTAGGCCTGTCTGGAAGAAGCCCGGCTTGGTGACCAGCTCGGCTTCACCAGCGGTACCGGAAATGATCCATCTGAAGCCGCAATCATCAACTGGCGCGGCCGTTACGCGGAAATGGATGCTCGCAAGAGCGCCGGACCTTAAAACGCCCTGAATGCCGACGTGGTCGGGGCTGGTGACGGGATAGTTGGTTTTGACGGGCTGGAATTTGTCATCAAGCAGGGTAGTGGTCGGCGACTGAGTCTTGTACACCGCTTGAAGGTCCTCAAACTGTCCAACGACGCTGCTAAACCCACCAAGAACTATATCTGATCAGCTTCCAATCCCGGACAATGCCCGTCAAACGGGTACTTACCATGACCATTCACGATCCGGATACGACTGGCGTAGCCATCCACAGACAAGAACGTGGCAGCGCTCGCAGGCCAGCCGGCACTGCTGTCTATCGGAGAAGTACCGACGAGGACGGTTGAAACAATCTTGCCAATCTCGTTCTCCACCAGATACCTGAGCTTCGCAAGGGCGGGGTCCGAGTGCGCCTGCGTGCCAGCAATCGACTTAACGCCGACATCTTTTGCTAACTGGGTGAGTTGCTCGCATTCTTTCAAATTCGGGGCCAGTGGAAACTCGACATAAACGTCCTTGCCAGCTTCAATGACTGGTTGGGCAAGCTGAACGTGCTTGCTGGCGTCTACGGCCACGACGACCAGGTCGACCTGAGGATCGGCCGCGAGGTCTGCAACTGAGCCGTAGGCTCGGACCTTGTTAGCATCGAGCTGGTGGAAGGCGATTGATCTGCTGGCGGATTCGACGGTTGAGTTGCAAATGGCAGTGAGCTCGTACCGAGTGTTGGCCAGGACTGCACGGAGATGGTGGACACCCCATTCCCCGGGCGTGTACTGGGCGGAGGACTGTCCGGCCACGCCGATAATGCCGACGCGAATAGGACCCATTGCGTCTAACTGCTTGACGAGGTATGGTCCAGAGTGAGTCGTGAGCTGTGAGCTGTGGGAGATTTGCGCTGTAGCGCAGATATGAAGATAGGAATTGGAGTTGATGAAGATGATGCAATGTCACTAGGAGGCTAACCGCTATATACTTATAGTTGATTCCTATGTATGAAGAAAGCATAATGACAGTCGATCCTCATTTGTGATATCAAAAGCCGAAGTACTATTAGGTAGTCCTCCGGAACGGAAGGTCCAACACTCTTGCCGCCTCAGCGCCGGCGACCAATGAACACGCCGGATAGCGAGAGCTCCACCTAAACTCCGAGTGAGACTCCACGTGAACCCCGGGGTCCGAACTCCGGACTCCGGACCCATCAAGCCCCTGAAGGAGCTGCCGATCACTAATGATCCTCCTCCACTCAACTCCGAAATTCACTCTCGACTCGAATCTTGCACGAATACGTTGTCGTGCAGTTGCGCGCTCAAGTTCCCAGAGATCTTTTCCTTGCGGTACTCCGTCCCGCTTCGGAGTACCGGCCGCCGCAATGCCCCTATCCCGCAAGAAGTCGTGTGTACCCTGCCGCCGATCCAAAGCACGGTGCGACCAGAGATTGACCTGCTCGCGATGCATCGCTCGCCACGTCGACTGCGTATACGAGGGCGAGGCACGTGTCTCTCCCTACCCATGGCCACCCGTCGCGAACGGGGTTGAGATGGATCCCTGGATGCCCCGTGAATTCTCGATTGCGACGATGACGGCTGAGGCAACCCAGCCCCTGCTTGATGACCTCGATTGGCTTCAAAACCCGTCTGATATGGATTTCGCGGACAGTATGAAGCTTCTGGCACCTCAGTCGCTTCCAGTCGCAGAGCTGGAGACCTCTGTATCATTTCAAGACGCCAGATCAGGCGCCACCCCGAAGTCTGACTCTGCACCACCAAGGGACCTCTCACCGCCGTTGTCGGGAGTATTTCCCACCACAAGCCCCGAAACCCAACTCGTCTCAGAAACCCGCGGGCCCTTGCAAAGACGTTTCTTCTGGCGCCACTGCGTCCTCTCGAATATTATTGTCGGTCAGATGACCAGCTACCCCAAGCTTATGATCGAGGGCGACACATTGCCACCCTTCATCACACCTCCCTGCTTTATCCGTGAGGACCTAGCTCCGGAGTGCGGCGAAGCCGGACGCCATTGCTGTCTTCCCGATGATCTCTCCGTCTGCGCCAGCTTGGTCCGAATGTTCTACGAGCGGTCCGCGAGTAGTCGGGCTTATGCGTGGAAGAGCATATATGCCGAGGCGGAGAAGCTGCACAGCAATGTATGCACGTTGCTATCAAGAACATCTCATCACCTTGAGCTAATACGCGACGTAGTACTTGCTATATGACATCAACCGGCAACTCACCGTCCTCCAAGCCCTAGTGGTCTACACCCTCCTCCAGGCCGGTGACCCAGCGACAGCAGAGGAGAACGGAGCAGGCCGTCTCCTAACTCAAGTCCAAGTTAGTACCTCTAGCCCCTTGCCCAACCGTCCTCCTCGTCCCCCTCTAGCAGCATTAACAAACTTTATCACAGAACGTCGCAGGCCACCTCTCAGGCACCATCATCTGGAACGGCGAAATCTCCCGCATCCGCCCACAGCGCACCGAGTGGGTCTACGTCGAGTCCCTCATCCGCGTAGTGACCACCCTCGGCATCCTCGACATTCTCCTCGAGGGTATCCGCACACAGTCGTCAGAGGACATCCACCACGGCGTCTGTGCGTTTCCCCTTCCGAGCCACCGCGAACTCTGGTCCGCGCGCAGCAACCGCGCCTGGCGGGCGGCGTTTGATCGGTACGTGACGGCCCGCAAGGGGAACAGGATCATTACGGCGACTGATCTCGTGGATTACGATGCTATGGGGTTCTTGACGGACACAAAGGTCAGTGCGATGATTTCGGATGATGTCGCAGATGTGATGTTTTGGGCTGAGAATGTTGATGCTCTTGGGTCGCTGGTGTGGATGAGCCTAGCCTTTATGCGCTTCACGAGGCAGGAGTCATTGGTGAGTAGCTAACTGCACAAACTCAACCCAAAGAGCATTATATTCACCACCTGATAAATTATTAATATCATGCATAAACGTATAGATTAGTTCTAACACACCCGAGGGCAACCTAAGTAGCTATTGAACTACTAATAAGTTACCCTAGCTTAGTGTTCCGTAACGTCAACATATAACCTAACTTACCCGGTACCTAGCTTAGACCCGAACGTCACATTAGGCCTCAAAGGGGACTCGAGTCACTAGTCAAGGCCTTTACACGCATATAACATTACTACTGCCTCTGTCAATCAATAAGAATTGTTGTCCGAAATTTCAGGGCAGATTTTTAGCATCAAATGTTTTTGTTATGCGCCATATCTATGGGACTAAGCTCGTTCCTTGACAAACTATGATGATTGGTTGTATCCAGTCACATGTTTTTAACTAATTCCTTGTATAGAGGCTCAGGAAATTGTTAAAGACTGGCCCCGTTCTTGGTCAATTCTAGGGGTGCTCTACTATTCTCTGCAAAGCCAAAGAAGAAGAGAACTAGGGACAGAAAGCTCGGTTCTCAGCTACGGACGTAGCTGTGGTATTGCCGGTAGATTGTTGGCGGTCAGAGTGTCCCAATCTGACCTTACTGATCCGTTCCCGACACGGCATCACATTTACGGGTATGTTCGTCTAGTCCGTGACAGAAGGCGGTGATATGGCCTGCGTGAACCCTTGCTTAGTTTAAGCCTGGCATATCGGCTAGTCCGACCTTCATCTCCTCAAAGTCAAACAGCACGACCTTGTCCTTGGCAAAAGTGTCGCCAAAGTTTCCAATCACGAAATCGCCGTCCGCTAGCGTGCGAACATTGAGGACGCACACGGGCTCGCTCGCGTTGGCCGGGGAGATCCTGTCCACGTAGTTCTGTGGGATGACCTCCCAAACGTGATCGTGGCCCTCGAACTGAAACTTGACGCTAGGGAACGAGTCGACGCGGCTGCAGTCGACGGACGCAAAGGACTGGTTACCGTTGTTGGGCTTGTCCACCTCGTCGAGGATGATGGGCTGTGCCTCGGTTAGATGAATGAGCCGGTGGTAGCTGTTCACCGACATGGGGAGCCCGCGGCCGTAGCTAGCGTGGTCCCAGATGGCGGCTGGGTTGCCGCCGTACGTCTTGTTGAGGGTCTGCTCCTCGTCACCGATGAGGTGCTTGGTGACGCGGGTGGCCCAGTAGTTGTACAGGGGCGGGTCGTACTCAAAGTCGACGTCGTTGACGAGTGGGAAGAAAATGTTGTCGTACCATAAGATGGCTTCCTGCGCCTCGGTGTCGCCGAGCTCCGTCAACGCCGGAGACAGGCCGCCCAGTGTCTGGAGGCCATCGTTGTCGTTGCAGCGCGAGCGGTCCGGGACCGGGTTGCCAAACGTGCTGTTGTAGCAGTACTGGAACGAGGTGATGGGCTCGGGATAACCGCCCTGCCGCCAGGTTTGGTAGAAGGGGGACTGGGTGGAAGCGTTGTCGTAGCCGGCGAAAACGGGAGAGAGGCCGTAGACGCCACCAAACGGGTAGGCAGAGTCGAGCTTGAAGCGCATGTCGGCCATCTGAAGCGTGACGCGGGACTTTGTGTTGCCCACCCGGAGCATGTCGGAGCCGAAGCCTATGGAGAGATCATCGTGGAAGTAGAAGTGGTTCGGGTTCCAGTGGCGGTCTGGGTACAGGTGCGACTGGTTGACAAAGGTTCTCGACTCCCTCTGGTCAAAGAGCATCTGGTCAGGCTGGAGACACTCGGATGTCCTGGATAGGTCGCCATGGCAGCGCGGAGTGAAGACGTACTGGCCGATCCAGGTCCAGTCGACGAACGAGTCCATGCTTTGGGCCGGTGTGCCCACCGAGATGGTGTTGGTCGCGAAACCATATGGCGTCCACTGCAACGGCATGTCAAAAGCGCCGCGGTCAATTGGCGTGCAAGGGGCTGGGGCGGCGAAGGCCCCGCCGAGTAAGCCGAGAGCGAGCAAGAAGTCCATGGCAAAGGCGCAATGCGACGTGAAAGGAACGCGTTTGAACAAAGGCTGTTGAGGCCTTTGCTGGCTGTCTCGGTTGGGACACGGCATCTCTGGCGTGGAAGCCGGCGTAGTATATATGGACGACCGAGCCCGCAGGCCAGTCACCCAGCCAAATCGGCCGGGTCGGCCGTCGGACGGTGCTCAGGGGACTCTGACCCGCCGGTGGCTCCGCCGCTCCCCCATTGTTTCGGTCCCGGCCCCCGAACCACCAGTCACGGCCCGCGGAGGACCCGTGGAGTTACGGACCTCGTCAAGTGTCCGTGGAAGCACGGAACCGTGGCAAGTCGTGGTTGTCGATAAAGAGAGGCCACAGGCAAGAGGCGGCAAGGGAGAAGGTAACATCGTGGAGATGGGGCGCGTATTCTATGGGAGCACCTGCACCCGCGTGTTATCGAGATTCATCCATTCCCATGCCGTTGTGTCATGGACACAATACTGCACATCCAGGGCGACCTCAAGTCGCCCAAGGCACCACTGATCCTCATCCACGCCATCTCGGGCCTGGCACTGCCTTACCTCAACCTCGGCCCGCTGGACGGACGTCCAGTATACGGCATATCCGCCCCCCTCTACGAGCAAGGGTCGGCGGCCCCCTTGCCAGAGAGCCTGACCGAGGTGGGCTCTCTTTACGTTGGCATTGTCCGCCGCCACATTCAGCCCCACGGGCCCTATGTCCTTGGGGGCTGGTCCATGGGGGGCATGATTGCCACGGAGATGGCCAAGATCCTCACAGCCCAGGGCGAGAGCGTCCCGCACGTCATCATGATTGATTCCTTGAACCCCGAAAAGTACCCGCCCTTTCACGATGCGCGCGAGCACCACCTTCTGGCCACGCTCACCTACAACGCCATTGCGCGGCGCATCAACGGGCCCGAGGAGCCCTTAGGTTTCGCGGGACAGGGCGTGGACACCATCCCCAGCGGGCCGAGCAGCGCTCACGCAAGTCGGGACAATTCGGACGGGGAGTTGGACAGCGACGACGAACAGGTCCTCGCCGACCGATTCTACCACCAGATGCGGCAACATGTCCACCATGGGCTCCGCATGCTGGCGTCGCATCGCTCCTCGCTGTCCCAGGGCGAGGCGAGGCGGCTGCCTGAGACGGACGCGACGCTGGTCAAGTGCAAGACCCTGGACTCCACGGCGCCGCTCCTCAGCGAGAAGCGACGCGAATTTGCTAGGCGCATCCACCAGGACATCCGGAGCGGATGGGCGGACGGACAGTTCAGAACGCTGGTCACGGCGCCGTTCCGGGCGTCGCACGATAGCTGTCTGGACCACGAGTTTGCGGACGAGCTCACGGTGATCTTGCAAAGCATTCTGCGGTGAGAGTCTACAATAGGGGCGGGGCATCTAGGCCTGGAGTCTGGACGGACGGCCTCGCATATTCGGCGGACGATAGCTATATGTAGGGTATGTAAATTGAAGGTACAAAAACGTAAAAGTCCTCTGGAAATCTACCCATGGAATATAATCATTAATTCTAAGGTATGTCCTCGAAAAAAATCTATTCTCGAATAATATTCTTATTTTTATATTATCTAGTATTATTAAATTTATAGCTTACTATTTCATTCCCTCCTTTTCATTTTCTGCTCGATATATTACATCTTTATAAGTCAGTATTTTTTAAACTCTAAACACACTACCGTGAAGCGGTTTTAATCTTCTCACTAAGGCGCAGTTAAAATAAGAATCCTTTCTATTACATAAATTAGTTAATATAACTCAAGTATATATTACATATGTTAAATAAAACTTAATTCTTATCTAAGATATGAGCGATAATTAGATATAATAGTCAATCTACTAAAACATATATAACGTAAATTACGGATATTTTACACCACAAAGGAGCGTTTTGTTTCGTACTTGGAATGAGACTTGTGTGTAGAAAAAACGGGTTGATTCTAAATAATCTCTACGCCGAAGAAAAATCCCCGTGCCGCGAAAATACTCCGCGGACCTTTCCTTGCCGCTCTGCGCGGCCCGTCTCCGCGACGAACCGGCAGCCACCCAGCATCGCGTCCTAACGGGGGCCACGCAGTCGTCAGGGATCAGGACCCAGGAGCCCCCATACTGCCGAATGTACGGAATAGAGGAGAATCCACCCACTGGCCAGCGCATCCGGCCGGCCGCCCTTGTCGACATGCTGCTGCACCACACGTGCATGTTTAAATGACCTAGAGGAGACGTCTTTCCAAGAGACTGCCTCGACTGGTGACAAGTCACAGAGCAGGCCGAGAAAGTAGACGCAAACGAGCCTCCCAGGAGAACAACGTGGGGACAAGACTGAGCCCTCTTGTGCAGTACAGTACAGTCACCCAGACCACCATGAGCGCGCCTCAGGAAGCATCGTCCCCGATGCCGACGGAGCACGTCCCCGTGGTCATTGTCGGGGGCGGCATCGGAGGCCTGACCCTTGGCGCGCTCCTGCGCCGGCTCGACATTTCCTTTGTCATCCTCGAGCGCACGCCGGTCGTGACGCCGCAGGGCGCTGGCATCTCCCTAGCCCCAAACTGTCTTGCGGTACTCGAGCAGCTAGGCCTGTGGCCAGCCATCCAGGCCAACTCCCAGGAGCTGCAGGGCATACGGGTCTATCGCGAGCGGGCCTGCTGGGGCACCATCGACTTTGGGCTGGCCAAGCGGTGGTTCGGGTACAACGTCCACTCGATTGAGCGCCACGAGTTCCACCGCTACCTGCACGAAGCAGCCGGGGGCGACGACAGGGTCCGGCTGCAGTGGGACGTGGTCGACATTGACGATGCTCCTGATCGCAGATCGCCCGTCCGCGTCGTCGCCAAGGACGGCAGGGTGCTCACCGCGGATGTGGTGGTAGGGGCGGACGGGATCCGCAGCGCCACCCGTCGCATCGTATGTGTCGCCCCAACACCGCACAGGACCCGAAGGAGAATTTTATGTCTCTGGGCTGACACAAGTCCCGCAGCTGGCCGCCACGAGCGGTCTCCAAGGCCACAACACCATCCGCTTCACCGGCCGCGTCCACATGTCGGGCTATACCAAGCCCCTCGAGAACCTGGGCCCAGACGACCTGGGGTTCGGCCACTGGATGCTGTACTCTGACTCCATCCTGACAACCTGGCCCTGTCGCGACAATCGGCAATGGTTCATAGGTGTCAAGCACGCCGACTTGGCCCCAGGGGAGACTCCCGATCGATCAGTCTGGAAGGGCGCGACCCCGGGCACGGTCAATAGCGTGTACGGTGCCAAGTTTCATCCGTCTGGACCCGATGGAACAATCAAATCGAGTAAGTCGTCTTCACGTTCTTCCTTCCCGGCGTCCCCACGTACCCTGCTGCTGAACACCCTTCCTGCATGCAGTTGTCGATCAATCGGAGCGTGTCGTGGCCAGCAACGTCTTTGCCGAAGTCGACTTTCCCGGCATGACCAAGGGCCGCGTTGCGCTGCTAGGCGACGGTAGGTTCTTGCACACCTGCTGCTAGCTTACCGCGTATTCTGACGTGGACCATGCAATGTAGCGGCTCACTCCATGACCTCCTTCTTCGGGCAAGGAGCGTGCCAAGCGATCGAAGATGCGGCGGTCCTGGCCGACGCTATTGTCGCCCTCCTCGAGGGAGACACCACAGCGCTGCAGGCGTACGCGCACGTGCGCGAGCGTCGTGCCCAGGAGGTGGCCGACTTCTCCGCACGGTACGCACAGGTCCACACGGCCAAGCTACCGCTGGGGACCGGCCCCCTGCTCCGGTACCTGATCTACAGGTGGGTACCGAGCAGCGTGTGGATGTGGTACTTGCAGTGGCTTTACGGACACCAGCCCATCTCGAACGCGGTACGTCCAGTCGTCTCAGCTCCTTCTGACCGCGTTGAGGCTAATGCAGAGTAAGCTGGACCGTCAATGTCGCGCCGATGCGGACAGGAAGAAGATGATAGCATGAAAGAGGATTAAGAAAGCGAGCGCATTGGTGTCAGGTCGAGCCGCGTTTCCTGGAAACATGGTCTTCGCCGTGTTGGATCTTCCGAAGATGAAGCCCTAAACCCGCACTATATCACGTTGCCCGCCTGGCTTATAGTTGTAAATAAAACAGAGACAGATAGTGAGACTGAGATTACGAATTACCGATGTAAGAGTCTTACCCGCTAAGGAATGAACGGGTTAGAGGAGACTTCAAAGCCAAGGGCTAAAGCTACCGCTCCTAGACGCATATTAAACTAGCTATGGCAAAAGATATAAACAATCGAACAAAGACTTTGCAAGCGGTTTTTCACAACACTAGGAGCATAGTCAGCCGCGACATGTAGGAAGACGGCCCTCGTTATAGCGGCCACACACATTAGACTAGAATAAGTTGTCTGCCCCGTCGAGAGTCGCATCCATGGGCTGTCCCTGCCATGGCAAGCCGAAGATCCATGAAGGACAGAGTCCCGGCGCCGCTGGGGCGCCTGGCCGCACGGCCTTTTCGCTCGTGGGTGTGTTTGACCCGTGGGCGTCGGGTGAGCCCTGCCTGCTCGACGGGCAGGCTGGCCAATGATGGCGAGGAGCGAGATGCGCGTCATGCGGCGGTGGTTCCCAGCGGGCGTCAGCGTCGATCACTCGGCGCGAGCCACCGTCGGACGTCAGTTGGGTGTCCATGGGAAAGCGCTTGGCTCCGGTTCGGGCTCGGGGAGGACGGAAAGCAGGGGCCAGGGTGTGATAGGGGCCATCCTCGTCGGAGGCTTGGGTGTTGCTCCTCGGGGGCACACTCGAGGGGGCGCTCGCTTGCCACGTACGAAATTCGCCCATCTCGAAGAGGGACCCGAGATCTACATCCGGATCCCCGAGAGGGAAGTAGAATGAGGTGTCCAGTGCATCCCGCCCACAATCAAACAGGCATGCGGAGGCGCCGGCTGTTGGTGCTGCCAGAGGCGGAGGGGGCACGTCGTCTGTCAGATCCATCGGGATGGACGTGTACGCGGGGTCCTGGCTCTGTTCTTGGCTCTGGGGCGAGGCAGGGAATGGGGCCATGGTCGGCTCGCCAAAGGCAGCCTCGTCCATGGTCGCCGCAGGGGGCGACCTCAGCGGCAGTGCCGTCAACGATCGATGGAGCTGCTTCAAGCGCTTCTTGACGGGCTGGATGGCCGAGCCGCACTGCATGAGGTAGTCCGTCTTGCACAGCTGGTGCATCGCCCGGGCGTGCTCCACGAGCTGGCAAAGTGCCGCAGAGGAGGCGTCACCCTCGGTGGACCACGTGTGGAATTGCGCCTGGATCTCGGCGAGTGCGCGGCTGCAAATGTCCAGACCGAGGGCGAGCGTGCGCGCTCCGTCGGCCCTGCCGGCGCCCATGAGGCCGAGCAGGGACACGGGGTCGCTCGGCTCGGGAGGGTAGCGCTGCGCGACGGCCCGCAGCGCGGCGGCCGACTCGTTAAAGGCCTGGACGGTCGACAGCGTGAGCACTCGCGTAGCTCCGCCGCACCGCCGGGGCCGGGAGAAGAGCATGTGGATGGCGATGGTGTGGTAGGCGGCCTGGAGGAAAGACTGAGACGTGACGTCTGTGACCTCGCGCTCGACGTCCTCGATGGACTGGAGGACGATGCGACGAATCTGGCGGTAGAGCACGCCGGAGTCAAAGCAGGCCCGGGGCAGATGGTGAAGCTTGTGAATGTGCTGCGTCTGCCAGGAGGACATGCCGGGGCGAGGCGCCCGATTGTGTTGGTGGTGGAGGAGGTCGTCGTCGTCGTCGTCGTCGCTCTCGGCGGCGTGGAGGAACAGGCTGTAGGTGTACGCCACGGTGCTGGTGATGTGGGTTAGGGCCCAGAGCCACTGCATATTGCGGACCTGCGCCTGGATGGTGGATGTGTTGTCGGACGCCTGGTCCAGGCGGATGGTCGGCGACAGCGACTCGTCTGTGCTGGGGAAGTCGGGGATCTCGTGGGGCAGCAGGAGGGAGAAGGAATCCTGGATCTGCATAAACGACCACGTGGTCGTCGACAGGCACAGCCAGTAGAGGTTGCAGAGGATCTCCCGCTCCACCTCGCGGACGTCGATGCCGTTGAGGCGGACGCCGTCCAACCGTCCCGGCTCCTCGGCCGCCCAGCTCTTGTGCAGCCGGGACACGATGCGGCATGTATAGCCGAGGTAGCACGTCGCGCGGCGGACGCACCCCCGGCACATCTCTCTCCAGCCCAGGAGGGCCAAGGCCTGCGCGACGGACAGGCGCTGGTCGTCCTCGAGAGGCAGGGCGCGCAGGCGCAGCTGGTCGGCGGCGAGCTGGGCGAGCGCGTCCGGGCCTTGGAGCCCTAGCCCGGCGGCACTGGTGTCGGCCAGGATGATGGCGAGCAGCGCCGGATCCACGGTCTCGTCCTTGATGCTGCTGACGAGCAGTGTCTTGGAGAGGAGCGGCGAGAGCGGGTGCATGAGGAACCACAGATCCACCAGCTGGAGGACACTGTGCTTGCCCAGCGTCGTCAGCAGGGACGGGAGCGCCGGGCGGCCTGCGTCGAACATGGTAGGCGTCGTGTCCGAGGCGAGGTGGGTCACGTAAAAGTTGCGGTTCTGCCCCCTCGGCAGGAACTCGTCGCCGCCGCCGTCGCCGCCGCCCAGCTGGCCGAATCGGAGCAGCATCTCAACCATGTCGTGCGCCAGGAAGGAGAGGAGCCCGTCGTAGGTCAAGCGTGGGGCGTGCGCGTGCGCAGCCGGCGTAGAGGAGGAGGTGTCGTCCTCGGGGGGGCCACGGCCCAGCTGCTGCTCCTGGAACAGCGCAATCGAGTTCTGGAAGAGGTTCGAGCGCGACCCGCGGCGGTCGACAAAGTACCCGTGGAACATGTGCTCTAGATCCTGGCCCAGCGTGCTCCCACCGCCCGCGGCCGTGGGAGCCCCCCGCGAGCTACCGGCGCCGCGTCCGGGTGGGGCCTTGGCGCGGCCGGCGGCCGGCGGCACGGGATCCACGCCGTCATCGGCCGGCTGTGACTGCGATTGTGACTGTGACTGTGACTGCGACTGCGACTGTGACTGCGACTGCGACTGCGACTGCGACTGTGGCGGCGGTGTAGCGGTGGCGCCCTCGGCCCGCTCGCCAGAGGACGGCTTGGTGTTGCGTCGTGGTCGACCTTTGCGTGACTCGGGCCCGTAGATGCAGTTGATGTGGCGCTCGCGGCACGCGCTGCAGACGTGGCCGCCCGAGCAGCGAATCTTGCGTGCGCGGCAGAAGATGCAGCTCCGGCGCTGGTTCGTGGCGGTGGCCGGGGTGGTGCCGCTGTTGTTGTTGTTGTTGTTGGCTGGTGCTGCCGAGTCAGGGCCTGAACTGCGTGAGTGAAACCGTCCCATTCTAGGTTTTCCTGCCTAGAGGCTAGCATACCGACTCGTGTCGTGCTCATGTTGGCAACCGCTGGTCTGTTGGTTCATTCGTTATGGGCCTGGAACTGTACACGAGGCATTTGCACGAGGCATTACCACGGCCACGACCTCCCCTCGAGGTTGCGCGGGGGGCAAGGCCTCGACATTTAACGTCGCGAGCGACGCATCACGCTCTCGCCCGGTCTGTCAGTGTTTCCCTTGTTGTTCGTGTGGATACCTAGTCAGGTACCTAAGCGCCCTCGCCCTGCTAGCGGCTTCTGCCCGTTCCGCCGTGGGGCCGTGGCTTGCTGCCTTGCCTTAGCTGAGCATATCGATCCAGGGGTCGTCGTCCTTGGAGGGAACGGCCAGTTCCGTGTCTTCCGATCGGCGGCCCGCGCCCTGTGGCGCCTGTGGAATCGGTACATGCACTTAGTACTGTCTCAATTCGGGCCAGCACTGCGAATTCTCCCGGCGGGGTGTGCATCGCTACGGCATGCGAGCCACAAGGTCTAGTTCGACTCCAAGGAGACGAGCCTCATGATATGACTGGTCCAGGAACCGACCTCGGACGCACCCTCGGATCCGCGTGGCTGCTGACAGGCGTGAGAAGGGGGGAGGGAGAGATTAACATAGTCACAATGACCCCTGCCTCACAGAGCGAGTGTAACGTAAATCCTCCCACCACGACGTACCAGCTAGTTAGTGCATCCCTTTACTCTTTTCATGATCTCCATTTCCGAGGTCATGACGAGATCCGGTCACTGTCATGCAATTCTAGGCAATGAGGCAAGGTTGTATTCTCGGTTATATACCTGCACGTACAAGTACTGTATGGTTATTCCACGCATTGTTTGTTGTTGCATTTAGCTTACCCTGCACATTTCGTGGCGTGCCCTCTGATCGCTAAAGGGAGTATTGAATACGACACGAGCAAGGTTCGAAATCCAAAGACACCTCGAGGGCACCGCCTAACTGTATCACCGCCTGCTCCAGCAGACCTGCACGTCGCCTTTGAGCCAGGGGCTTCCGACCTTGGAGAAGTCGAGGGCCGTCGTGTTCTGAGCATCGCCGCCCACGCCCCAGCGCAGGTCACACTGCTGGACAACTGTGGCGACAACCGTCTTGGAGAGAAGCGTCGCCATTTTCTCGCCCGGACAGCGGTGCCGCCCGCCGCCAAAGGGGATATAGCGCAGCTGCGTGCCGTCGTTCATCCTGCGCGCCAGGTCGGGCTGCTCGATCCACCGCTCCGGGCGGTACGTGTCCGGGTGCGCCCAGACGTCCGGGTCGTGGTGCGTCAGGTATGGCGAGATGGAGACGACGGTGCCTGCGGGCACGGTGACAACGTCCTCGTCGTCGGACGCATGGGGAATGCGCAGCGTTTTGGGCTGGCGCGCCCAGCGTACGTCATTGTGTCCAGCGTAGTGCCGGCCGGTCTCCTTGACGAGGGCGTCCAGCAGGGGGGACTCGTTCACGTCGCCATGGGCCCGGAGCTCCTGGCGCAACGTGGCCAGGCGGTCTGGTGACTTGAGGAGCTGCCCACAGGAAAACACAGGGTTAGCGTAGCAAGTGCAAAGGGGGGAACGCCCGAACACAGTACCTCGAGAAGCGTCCACGCGACGCTGGCGACGGTGCTGGTGTGTGCAGCAAACATCAGCAAGGAGTGGTGGGCGGCGTAGAACTTTGTGAGGTGCGCCGTCGAGGCGTCCTGCAGCGTGTAGGAGATGTAGTCGAGCGCGTCTTGGTGCTGCCACTGCTTGGGGTTGGCCTCGCGCGCGCGCAGGCGGCGCGCGAAGATGTCGCGCATGCGGTCGCGGGCGGCCCAGAGGCGGCGCGCGGGCGCATGAGGCACCCACGCGGGCAGGAGGGTGTGCAGCAGGCTGCCGACATTGTCCTCCATGTCGTGGAGGAGCTCGTATAGCTCGTCGACGTGGTGGTCGTAAAAGTCGGGGCCCATGAGGCACCGCACAATGATCTTGTGCACGAGAAGGGAGACCTCTTCAAAGAGGGGCGTGGACGGGCTCTCGGGCAGGGACACGTCGTCGAGGAACTTGCACGTCTCCTCCCGGGCGAGGTGGCCGTAGTGCTCGAGGGTGGCCTGCCGCGAGATGCCCCTGCTCAGCGAGCCCACAAACGCCTTGAGGTGGTCAAAGTAGCCGGGCCCGACGATCTTGTTGAGAAACATGCCCATGCCGTCGCCAAACGACCACACGTCCTGTCCCGGAGGGGGATGGTCAGCAGGAGCCGATGCAGACAAGTATGGACAAGGCGCTTGCTCACCTCTGGGGTCTCCAGATACTTCTTGTTGAGCTGGGGGCTCCTGAGCCAGATGGTGCGGCCCAGCAGCATGGGCACTGCAAAGAAGGCACCATGGCGACGCGTCGCCGAATCGATGAATCGCACAGGATCCTCGCAGTACCGGCGGAGGTTGCCGAGGATGGGCAGCCCAACGGCCACAGAGGGGATTGTGTTCTTGTTCTTGTTCTTGTTCCTGGTGGTGGTGGTGACGGGCAGGGACCAGGCCAGGGCAGACACCGCCCCCACGACGCACAGGCTGGTGATCATCATGGCCGCTGGTGGGGACGAGACGTGTTCGAGGACGAGGGTCAGCATGGTTGCGAGTGGCGACTTGTTGGGGAGCGAGTGTGCCTCAGGGTTTGCTGGCTAGGCCGTGCGGTCTACGGTCTGGGATCTGGGGTCTGCGGCCTGTGGCCTGCGGCACAACTACGTACTCCTCCATCATTAAGTACCGATGGTCCCGGCAACGGTGCCTGGCCAGCTCGCCGCTGGGGCTGGGGGGTCCTGGTGCCCTCCGCGGAGCTTTTTGGCGGCCCGCCGGTCCAAGGAGGATTGATTGTGCGTGGCCGTCCCCCGCAGGAGGGCGTCTCTGCTCTCTAAAAGCAGCGGTCGGCCACCATCTCTGATGCTACTTGCCGCCGCTTGCCAGCTCTACTACGAACACCAGTGGTACCACAATGGCCACCCCCTCGCGCACGAAAGAGGCGGCAACATCCTCGCTGGCGCTGCGACATGGCGTGGAGGAGGAGGCGGCGGCGGAGGGACAAGGGCCTCCTGATGGAGGCCTCAAGGCGTGGATGGTGGTCGCGGGTGGTTTCCTCACGTACTTTGTGACTTTTGGTACGTATGACCTTGGGGAGAGACGGGGAGAGCGGAAGAGCGAGAGAGAGAGAGAAAAGAGTAGCATCAAAGCAAGGACATGGGTCGCTGAACAGTGTCTATCCACCAGGGCTCCTCAACTCCTTCGGCACGTTCCAAGCCTACTACGGGACGCATGTCCTCCCCGAGCGCAGCGCCAGCGCCATCTCGTGGATCGGGTCCGTCCAGCTCTTCCTGCTCTTCATCGGGGGCCTGGTCTTTGGGCCCCTATTCGACACCAAGGGCGCCCGGGTGCTCCTCGTCCCCGGGACCGTCGCGCTCGCGCTCGCGCTGATGCTCATGAGCGTCTGCCGGCAATACTACCAGTTCATCCTGACGCAGAGCCTCCTGCTGGGCGTGGGCGTGGCCATGCTCTTCTACCCAACCATCTCGGCCATCCCGCACTGGTTCCACCGGCGTCGTGGGCTGGCCATGGGCGTCGTTGTCTCGGGGTCGTCCCTCGGTGGCATGGCCTGGCCGCTGCTCCTCGACCGTCTCTTTGGGGCCGTCGGGTTCGGCTGGACGCTGCGCATTGTGGGGTTCATATCGCTGGCCCTGCTGGCGCCGGCCTGCGTGTTCATCGTGCCCCGACTGCCCCCAAGACGCCGCGGCGACGTGCCCAAGGCGGAGATGCGCGCCGTCCTCCAGGACACCACGTTCTGGCTCCTCGTCACCGGCATGCTCCTCGTCATGTGGGGCATGTTCATCCCGCTCTACTACCTGCCGCTGTACGGAATGCACCTCGGGCTGGGGGCCACCTTTTCCAACGACCTGCTCACCATCCTCAACGCCGGCTCGCTCGTGGGCCGCGTCCTGTCGGGCGCGCTCGCAGACAAGATTGGCAGGTATGTAGAACGACGCACCCAAGTCATGCGCCTCGGACGGACGGACGGACGGGCGGACGGACTGCTGCTGATCGCCATCTCTCTAGCTTCAACACGGCCATACTCTGCTCGCTCCTGTCGGGCATCGTCCTGCTCTGTCTGCACGCCATGCGCACCAAGGCCGCCGTCCTCGCCTTTGCCGTGCTGTACGGCCTGTTCTCGGGCGGCCTCATCTCCCTCCAGACGGCCTGCGTCGCCCAGATCACGGACAACATGCAGCTGATCGGCGTCAAGATTGGCCTCATGATGGCCGTGTGCTCCATCGGGGCCCTGACCGGCAGCCCCATTGGCGGCGCGCTGGTGGCGGCCAACGGGGGCGAGTTCTACGGCCTCATCAGCTTTGCGGGCGGCATCCTGCTCGCAGGGACCGCCATCCTGGGCTCGTCAAGATGGACCATGGGCCGCCGGCTACGTGAGAAGGCCTGACGGGCCGCGGGCGGACGGGCGCAGAGCATCGACACGACAGGCCCCGTGTCTGTCAGCCATGGGCGCGGGAGCCACGAAGGGTCCCTGCCGACGAGTCTCAGTAGTCTATAGCTCATGTCCAGAATAAACAGTTTTCAGCTCAGTGTATCTTCATGGTGACTCCCACGACACCCCGCGGAGCCCATGCGTGCCTGCTGGCATGCCCAAAGCCCGCGACCTTGCATGCACCCCAGCCGTATACGCCACGACACGCAAGACGGTAGACTCGAGCCAGGCCAAGCGCCAACTAGGCCTGTGCCAGCGTCCACGCCGAATGGCCCGCGGAAGAACGGAACTGGTGCGCAGCCGTGCGGCTCGTGCTGCATGCACGCGGATGGGACGTTTGTATAATAGGCGAGATATGCAGGTCCAGTCCCCCCCCGCCCGCCCCCCTCCCTCTTGTTCTCGACCTGTCCATTAGTCCATCTTGTCAGTCAGTGCCCATCGTCCTGATCATGCGAGCTCTTTTGGCCCTCCTCCCTTTAGCCGGCGCCGTCGCAGCGGACGGGCTGTACGACTGTGTCGCCGGGGTCCTCGGGGACACTGCGTCGCAGCGCATCGTCCGCCCCCAGGATGCCACGTACCTTGACGCACGCCTGGGCGAGGCCATTCAGTACGACGAGTTACCCCTTTTGATCAGCTACGCAGAGAGCGCCTCCGAGGTCGGTTCCCTCGTGCAGTGCGCGCAGGCGGCGGGTGTCAAGGCCGTGCCGCGCTCGGGGGGCCACAGCTTCACGGCCTTTTCGGCCCTCAACGGGACGCTCGTCGTCGACATTGCGCACTTGAACGACGTGGTCGTCTCGGACGACGGCCAGTCGGCGAGGGTGGGCGCGGGCATCCGTCTGGGCGCCCTCTACACCGCGCTCGCGATGGAGGAAGAGCACGACGTGTCCTTTGTCGGCGGCATCTGTCCCACCGTCGGCCTGGCCGGCTTCCTGGGCTCGGGCGGGTTCAACATGCAGCAGCGATCGCAGGGGCTCGCCGTCGACCACGTCCTGGCGGCGCGCGTCGTGCTGGCCGACGGGCGCACCGTCGTGGCCTCGTCGTGCTCGCACCCCGACCTGTTCTGGGCCCTCCGCGGCGGCGGCGGCGGCACGTTTGGCATCGTCGTCGAGTTCACCCTCGCCCTCACCAGGATCCCCCGCTCCGCCATGCTGCTCATGACCTGGAGCAACGACACGGCCTCCCGCTTCCCCGTGGCCAGGCGGTTCCTCGACTGGGCGCCCCGGCAGGAGCCGTCCTTTATGGCGCAGCTCAACATCTACCGCGACACGGTCTCGTTGCAGGCCATGCACTACGGCGCGTCCCGGGCGGCGCTCCAGGACCTCGTGGACCGCTCGGGGCTCGCCGACATGGGCAGGCCCGAGGTCATCGTGGCGGGCGGCTGCAGCGCCCACAACGCGCGCCTCTTTGGGTACACGGTCTTTGACTGCGTCCCCGACAACGAGTTGGACGCATCCATCCTCAACGTCGCGCCCGACCCCTTTAGCCCGGTGGGCGACCACCCCTGGTTCCAATACGACGAGGCGCCCAAGTCGGATGCCATCCCGCCGGCGGCCCCCTGGGAGCGCTTCCACCGGCTGAGCAAGTCCTTCTTTGTGGACAAGGAGGCACCCTTGCCGGACGATGTTGTCCAGGGCCTCGTCGACCGCGTGGCGGCCGCCGACGAGGCGAGCGAGGTCTGGGCCGAGTGGCATGCGTGGAACATCTCCGACGCGGCCGCGTCCTCCCCCAACGCCTTCCCCTGGCGGGACCGGGCCTACGCCCACCTCGAGTTCCAGATGCACGGGTCCGAGGACGAGGCGCGACAAGCCACCTACGAGGCCTGGTTCGCCGAGCTCGAGTCGTACCTGCGTCCGTCCGTGGGCCCGGCCAGCTACTCAGGCTACATGGACGCGGACATTTCGACGGAGCCGCTGACCTCGTACTACGGAGACAGCGTCTGCCGGCTGATAGAGGTCAAGAAGGCATACGACCCGGACGAGTTCTTTACCAATCCCTTTTCGATCCCGGCGTCCCCGCCCGAGGGCATGTACTGCTGAGCTAGATGGGCCAGCATAGGATGGGCCAGCATTCGTGGATCTCGTCCATCTTCATGTCTATCTATATTGTTGGTCCGGCATGCCTGCTTTGCTTCATCAGGCTGCGCATTTCGGCCCCTGTCGCTGCACACTCTGCATGATCTTCCTACTATACATCTACACACACCAAGTAGAACAATTCCAGCAGACTCTTTATTAGTACCTGTGCCAGATTCTGTATAGAACGCTCTACGCAGTAGGCCTTGAGATCTTGACTTGATGGTGATTCACGTGCTCAGGCGACTCAAGTCCAGCGTCATGCCCAGAGTAGGGCTGGCCAGATGGCCTCGCGGGATGTAGCCCCATCACCACGGCGTCTAGGGCCCAAGAGTACGCCAGTGTGTCTGCTCCATGCCGGTACAGAGTAGCTGCATGCAAGAGCCCTAGTTGCCGTCACGGAGGACGGACCCTGCCAAGCCGGGAATTATTCTGCAGGGTTCACAGTCATCTACGCTCCGTTCGGAGACGGAAGGGTTCAAGACAGCAGCAACTACGTACAATCTACTAGTACGCTGCCGGGCGGCCCAGGCAGAATGGCAAAGGCGATACACACCAGACCTCACTGTCCACGGGCATGACCCTACCTACACGCGGGATGCCGTGGAGCTCCGGTGCTTTTACAGCCGTTGCCCAGGCGCGCGCAAGACTCGGGAGGCCGCGGTGCACCCTTGGGATCAAGAGACACGAGGCGACATGGACCGGACCACGATGGAGGTCCCGGCCATGTATGTACTTGTTGCACCAGCATTCGTCGTTCGTCTCGCTGCTTGCTGATGAACAATCAAACCTTTCTCTCTTCTCTGCACAGTGAACCAAGTCGACAGAGGACTGGATAACCCCTGCGCCCCGACCAACGTCTCAGCCATCCGCAGTGCACACACACACACACACACACACACACACACACACACACACACACACACACACACACACACACACACACACACACACGCAATGTCGCGAACCACAGGTGTTGACGACGACGATCACCCGTGCGTGGTGGGTGTGGCATGCAGGGTGCCTGGCGCATCGTCGCCCTCCAAGCTGTGGGACAATGTCATGAACAAGGTGGACGTCCAGGGCAAGATGCCGGCCGATCGTTTCAACGTCGATGCCTTCTATCACCCGGATGGGACGCACAAGGGCTCGGTGCGTCATCGCCATGCATGCATGCATGCATCCAGAGGAACTCGTCCGTGCTGATCGCAGTCCTAGACCAATGCCAGATATGGCTACTTTCTCGACCAGGACATTGGGCTGTTTGACGCGGGCTTCTTCAACGTGTCGGGCAAGGAGGCCGCCGCCATGGATCCCCAGCAGCGTCTGCTGCTCGAGGTCGTCTACGAGGCGCTCGAGGATGGCGGCATCACGCTGGAGCAGGTCCGGGGCTCGCAGACGTCCGTGTACTGCGGCAGCTTCACCAACGACTACAACGCCATGACGACCAAGGACCTGGAGCACTACCCCAAGTACACGGTGACGGGGACGGGCAACTCGATCCTGGCGAACCGCATCTCGTACTTTTACGACCTGCACGGCCCGAGCGCGACGGTCGACACGGCGTGCTCGTCGTCGCTCGTGTGCTTCCACATGGGCGCCCAGTCGCTGCGCGCGGGCGAGGCCGACCTGGCCATTGTCGTCGGCTCCGCGCTGCACTTCGACCCCAACATCTTCATCACCATGACGGACCTCGGCATGCTGTCGACCGACGGGCGGTGCCGCCACGGCGACGCGGCGGCCAGCGGCTACGTGCGCGGCGAGGGCGTCGTCGCCGTCGTCCTCCGGCGTCGCGCCCAGGCCGAGGCCCAGGGCGACGACATTCGCGCCGTCGTCCGCGGCACCGGCGTCAACCACGACGGCCGCAAGCAGGGCATCACGCTGCCGTCCGCCGAGGCCCAGGCGGCCCTGATCCGGAGCACGTACCGCCAGGCCGGGCTGGCGCCCGCCGACACGTCCTACGTCGAGTGCCACGGGACGGGCACCAAGGCGGGCGACCCCCGCGAGCTCCGGGCCATCGGCGACGTCTTTTGCGCCCACCGGAGGGAGAGGCGCCTGCTCGTCGGCTCCGTCAAGACCAACATTGGCCACCTCGAGGGCGCCTCGGGCCTCGCGGGCATCCTCAAGGCCACGCTGGCCCTGCAGCGCGCCACCATCCCCCCCAACATGCACTTCCACTCGCCCAACCCGGACATTGACTTTGACGCGCTGCAGCTGCGCATCCCCACCGAGCCCGTCGCCTGGGTGCAGGACGATCCCACCGTGCCGCGTCGCGCGTCCATCAACTCCTTTGGGTACGGCGGCACCAATGCCCACGCCATCCTCGAGGAGTACACGCCCCCGTCCTCGTCCTCGTCCTCGTCCTCGTCCTCGTCCTCGGGGGACAGAAGGCCGATCCCCCCGCACCTGGTGGACATGACGCGCAACAGACCCTACCTCGTCGCGCTCTCGTCGCACTCGGACAGGGCGGGCAAGCTGATGGCGGCCAAGCTGTGTGCCTACCTCCGGAGCGCCACGGGGGCCCATGTGCAGCCGAGCGAGCTGGCCACGGCCCTCGCGGCGCGGCGCACGATGCATCGCTTTCGATCCTTTGCCCTGGGCGTCGACCGGACGTCCCTGCTCGCGAGTCTCGAGGCGCCCCCGCCGGCGGCGCAGTGGAGGAGCAAGCTGGACAGCGCGCGGCCGCGCCTCGGCTTCGTCTTCACGGGGCAGGGGGCGCAGTGGCACGGCATGGGCCGGGCGCTCCTCGAGCAGTGTCCGCTGTACCGGCAGACGCTCGAGCGGTGCGATGCGGTCCTGCAGGCCCTGGGCGACACGGAGCGGCCGATGTGGCGCATCGTGGACGAGCTGCGGCGCGGCCAGGACGACACGAGGCTGGGGCGGACCGAATTCTCGCAGCCCATCTGCACGGCCGTCCAGCTGGCGCTCGTCGACGTGCTGGCCGCCTGGGGGATCCGACCCGCCGGCGTCGTGGGCCACAGCAGCGGCGAGCTGGCGGCCGCCTACGCCGCCGGCCTCCTCTCCTTCGAGAACGCCCTCGTGGCCGCCTACTACCGAGGCGTCCACATGGGCAGCGGCGCGGCGGCCCCCGGCAGCACGCCCGGCGCCATGATGGCCGTGGGCATGACCGAGGCCGAGGCCGACGCGCTCCTGGCGCCCTACGAGGGACGCGTGGCCGTGGCCGCCATGAACAGCCCCTCGAGCTTCACCCTGTCGGGCGACGAGGATGCCATTGTCGAGCTGCAGGAGGCGCTCGGTGCGAAAAAGGTGTTTGCCAGGCGTCTGCAGGTGGCGCAGGCGTTCCACAGCCATCACATGGTGCCCCTGGCGTCCGGCTACGAGGCCGCCCTCGCCGCGCATCCGGGCTTCAAGGCAGCCAGACGGCCGGCCGCCGCCGCCGCCTCCATCATGATGGTGTCCAGTGTCACGGGCCGGGACGCGGATCCGGCCACCATGGGCCCGGGCTACTTTGCCGCCAACATGACGGGCATGGTCCGCTTCTCGGACGCGCTGACGGGCATGGTCCTCGACGAGGAGGACCAGCCGCGCATCGATGTGTTGGTCGAGGTGGGCGCGCACCCGGCGCTCAAGGGGCCCTCGAACCAGACCCTGAGCCAGCTCAAGCTCAACCTGCCCTACCTGGGCACGCTGGACCGCAAGCTCGACGCCTACGAGAGCCTCCTGACCACCGCGGGCGCGCTCTTTGCTCTCGGCTACCCCGTGGATCTGGCGAGCGTCAACCGGGACTACTGCGTCCTTGATGCGGGACATGAACGCACGACGATGCCTCCTCCTCGGTCCACGCGCAGGCTGGAGCTGCCCACCTACGCCTGGGACCACCACGAGAGATACTGGGGCGAGACGCGGGTCATCCGGGAGCACCGGCTGCGCCCGTTCCGCCATGGCCTCCTGGGCTCGCCTGTGCCGGGTGCCCTGGCCAGCCGTCCGCGCTGGAGAAAGCACCTCCGCGTGGCGGAGATGCCCTGGCTCGCGGACCACGCCATCGAGGGCAAGGTCATCTTTCCCGCCGCGGGCTATCTCGCCATGGCCATGGAGGCGGCGGCGCGGCTGGTGCCCGAGTGGTCCGCCGACTGGTCTGCCGGCCACATCCAGTCCCTGGCGCTGGCCGACGTCTCGGTCAAGTCGCCCATTGTCGTGAGCGAGCAGGACGTGGGCACCGAGGTCCTGCTCGAGCTGTCCCCCGTCGTCGAGTCGGCCAAGACGACGTCGTCGGCGTGGAGCCACTTTGCCGTCTTCTCCATCGATGAGGCGGGCCACCAGCGTGAGCACTGCACCGGCACGGTCAAGGTGGACGTGGGGAGCCCACGACCCGTCCGGGAGAGGGAGGAGGAAGAGCGAGGGGCGGCCACCACCTTTCGCTCCGTCCCCAGCGAGCAGTACTACCATGGCCTGCACGCCATGGGGCTGCACTACGGCCACACCTTTCGCCTTGTCGCCGGACACGTCGAGAGCGGGCCGAGCAACGCCGTGGCCTCGCTCGCCTGGCAGCCCTCGCTCTTCTCCCAGGAGGAGAATGACCGCTGCATCGCCCACCCAGCCTTCCTCGACGCGGCCCTGCACCCCGTCTTCGCCTCCATCGAGGGTCACCTGGGCAGGACCCTGTCAGAGCCCTACGTCCCGACCTTTGTGCGGTCCATCGAGGTCTCGGGCCTGCTGGGCGCGTGCATGGCCTCGCCCACGGGCTTTGCGGCGCGCGTCTCGGCCAGGACGAGCGTGGCCGGGCCCCGGACGGCGACGAACCAGGTCCAGATTCGAGGGCCCGAGGGCGAGATGCTCGTCGACATGCAGGGTCTCGAGCTGACCAGCATTGGAGGCGGCCACCGATCGCTTGACACCGCGGGCCGCTCTCTCTTCTTCGGCACGCGGTGGCAGGCCATGTTCAGCGCCGTGGGCGGCGTCCGGCACGACCTCCATGTCGACACGGTGGCCGCGCTGGTCCAGCTGTACGTCCACCAGTTCCCCAACAAGCGCATCCTACACCGGAGCGCGTCCGCCTCGTCGACCGCCGAGCTCCTCACGTCGCTGCGCGGCGGCGAGGGTCAGCGCCGCAACTTTGCCCGCCTTGTCATCGCGCCCGTGGCCCCCGCGACGGCCAGCACGTTTAGTGGCATGGCCCGCGACTGGGGCCATCTCGTCCACGTGGCTGTCGACCCCCAGGAGCTCGAGGCGGACACGTTCGACTTGGTGGTCGCGAGTGGTGGTCTCGACACGCAAGACCACCTGGGCGACGAGGGTTACCTCGTCGTCCAAGGCGCCCACGATGACTCCATCATGCCCCCCGGGTACACCTCTCTCCTGTCGATGAACAATATCCGTCTCTGGGAGAAGAAGAAGAAGAGGGAGAAGCGGCCCAGCACCAACGGGAAGCACGCGCGCCCCCTGACGCTGGTCATGCCGAGCCGCGTCACGCGCGAGGTGGAGGAACTCGCCTCGGCTCTCGAAGCTCGAGTCCAGGACCAGGACCAGGACCAGGAGACATGCCACCCTGTCGAGCGCCAGAGCTTCACTGCTCTCAAGGACATGGACACCCTGGGCGGCCGCGACGTCATCATTCTCGCGAGCCTAGGGGACGACCTCTTCTGGGACCAGGCCCGGGCCCCGGCCGAGTTTGAGGCGGCGCAGGCGCTGCTGACCCAGAGCCAGACCCAGACCCAAACCCAAACCGACGGGGCGCGCAACATTGTCTGGCTCACGCGCGGCGCCCTTGTGGACGTGACGTGCGCCGAGCCCGCCCTGGTCCTGGGGCTGGCTCGCTCGGCGCGCAGCGAGAACCCGGACCTGCGCCTCGTCCTCGTCGACGTGGGCCCCGACGCGACGGCGGCGCGCTCGAGCGAGGTGGCCCTGGCCCTGCTGCGGGACACGGACGTCCGGGAGAACGAGGTGGCGGATCGGCACGGTCTCCTCCACATCCCTCGCGTCGTGGCCAACGACGAGCTCAACGCCAAGCTACCCAACGGCGTCGGCGCAGGGCCCACGATGCAGCCGCTGTACCAGGCGGGGGACCGTCCGCTCGCCCTGCGCATCGGCCAGCCGGGCCTGCTCGAGACGCTGGTCTTTGCCGAAGACGACGACGACGACGACGACGACGACGAGGGGGGGGAGGAGGAGCAGCAGCGGTCGCCGACGCTGGGCGAGGACGAGCTCGAGCTCGAGGTCAAGGCGTCGGCCATCAACTTTCGCGACGTGGCCGCCAGCATGGGCATGATTGACGACTTTCGGCTGGGCGACGAGTGCGCGGGCGTCGTCGTCCGCAAGGGCGCCGGCGTGCCCGACGACGCCTTTGCCCTGGGCGACCGCGTCGTCGCCTGGCGTCCCGGTCAGGGGGCGCATCGCACGCGGGTCCGCAACCCGGCGTCGCTCTGCTACCGGCTGACGGGAGCGATGCCCTGGAGCGTCGCGGCCGCCATCCCCCTGGTGCTCACGACGGCGCGCTACGCCCTCGTCGACACGGCGCGCCTCCAGCCCGGCGAGACGGTGCTCATCCACGCGGCGGCCGGGGGCGTCGGCCAGATGGCCGTCCAGCTCGCGCAGCGCGTGGGCGCGCACATCATCGCCACCGTGGGCTCGCCCGCCAAGCGCGCGCTGCTCGTGGACCGGTACGGGCTCGACGACGCCCGCATCCTGTCGTCCCGCGACGACTCGTTCGTCCGGGGCGTCGGGCGGCTCACGGGCGGGCGCGGCGTCGACGTCGTCCTCAACTCCCTCGCGGGGCCCCTGATGCAGGCCACCTGGCAGTGCCTCGCGCCCTTTGGCCGCTTCGTCGAGATTGGCAAGCGGGACATTCACCAGAACAGCCGGCTCCCCATGGACCCCTTTCGGCGCAACGTGTCCTTTGCCAGCGTCGACATGATCACCGTCTTTGAGAGGAACAAGCCCCTGGGCGCGCGCGTCCTCCGCGAGTGCTGCGCCCTCGTCCACGACGGCGCCATCCAGCCCCCGTTCCCCATCCTCGAGCTGTCCTACGCCGAGGCGCAGAGGGGGTTCCGCATGATGCAGATGGGCACCACCATGGGCAAGATTGTGCTGGTCCCCGGGCCCGACGACCAGGTCCCCGTCGAGCGCAGGAAGTTGGGGAGCCGCCTCGTGCGCCTCTTCCGCCCCGAGGCCACGTACCTCCTCGTCGGAGGGCTGGGCGGCCTCGGGCGGCGCCTCTGCGAGTGGCTCGTCCAGCGGGGCGCGCGCCGCCTCGCGTTCCTGTCTCGCTCGGGCGCCGACCGGCCGGACGCGCGCGAGACGGTCGAGTGGCTGCGCGCGCGCGCCGTCGAGGTGGCCGTCTTCCAGGGCGACGTGACGGACGCCGCGTTTGTGCGCCGCTCCGTGCAAACCCTGACCAGGGACGGACGCCTCGCCGGCGTCTTCCAGGCCGCCATGGTCCTCCAGGACGCGCCTCTCGACCGCATGGCCTTTGCGCAGTGGCAGCGCGGCCTCGACCCCAAGGTCCGTGGCACGCTCAACCTCCACAGGGCGACCGAGGACCTCGAGGGCCTCGATTTCTTCGTCTGCTTCTCCTCCGTCTCGGCCGTGCTCGGGTCCAAGGGCCAGGCCAACTACGCGGCCGCCAACACGTACATGGACGCCCTCTGCCGCTACCGCCGGGGCGTCGGCCTGCCGGGCACGACCATGAACGTCGGCATGATCACGGGCATCGGCGCCGTGTCCGAGGACGCCAAGCTGCAGACCTTGATGGAGCGCATCGGCTACGACGCCGTCCACGAGCGGGAGCTGTTTGCGCAGCTCGAGGCGGCCGTCGCGGGCGGTGTGTCCGCGGCGACGACCCTGGACACGTCCGCCGACGGCCTCGACGCGCACCAGACCATCACGGGCGTCAACCTGCGACGGCCCGACTACTACTGGGCCACGGAGCCGCGCTTCGCCAACCTCTACGCCAACCACGACTTCTCCGCCGTGGGGTCCGGCCCCGGACAAGGTACGAGCAAGAGCCTGCTGGCGCAGCTGCGGGAGGCGCCAGACGAGGCGGCGCGCAACGACATGCTCACCCGGGCGTTTCTGGACAAGATGGCCGCCGTCCTCTCGGTCGAGCCGTCGACGCTGCAGCCCAGCCGGGGGCTCGCCGACTACGGCCTCGACAGCATCGTCGCCATCGAGGTCCGCCAGTGGGTGTTCCAGACCGTCGGCGTCGAGATTGCCATGTTCGACGTCCTGAACAGCCGCAGCATCCAGGCCCTTGTGGACAAGATGGCCGGCATGCTGGTCCTGGGGGCGTCGAGCTCGTCCGCAGGCCCGTCGACCTCGACCTCAACCTCGACCTCGACCTCGGACACGGACACGGAAACGCGCCAGGCGGACACGACCAGCCACGCGGGCAAGGCCAGCCCCGTCACACTCCTGCCAGGCATCACCACCGCAGCCGAGGACGTGCCCATGTCCACGTTCCAGCAGCGCCTGTGGTTCATGCACAACATGGCCCACGACCCGTCCCTGCTCAACCTGCCTACCGTCCTCCACCTCCGGGGCCGACCGGACGCCGGCCGCGTCAGGCACGCCCTCGAGGAGATGAGGCGCCGCAACGACATTCTGCGCACGGCGTACCTCGAGGGCGACATCATGTCCCAGCAGGTTGTCATGGACGACAGTCAGCTCTCACTCCCTCTCCTGGACGTCTCGGCCGCCGAGGACCCCCGCCAGGCCCTCGACGACCTGGTCCGCACCATGAGGAGCCAGCCCCTGGCCATCGAGGGCGGCCAGGTCATGCGAGCGTCCCTCGTCACCCTGGCCGACACGGAGCACGCCCTCGTCCTCATCTTCCACCACATCTGCATCGACAGGGGCAGCACGTCGTCCTTTATGGAGCAGTTTACCCGTCTCTGCAGCAGCAGCAGCGACCACGACCTCGACGCCGTGCCGCGCCCGGCCGTCACGTACGGCCAGTTCAGCCGCTGGCACAATGAGCGCCTGGCGTCGGCCGAGATGCAGCCGAGCCTCGACTTTTGGAAGCGCCAGTTCCCCAGGCCTCCCGCGCCCATGAAGCTGCTCCCCTTTGCGCGCGTGGCCTCTCGTCCCGCGCACGACGACTACAGGCGCCAGGTCCATCGCGCCGCGCTGCCCGTCACGCGGCTGGGTCGCATGAAGCGCATCTGCGCGCGCGTCGGCGTGACACCCGCACAGTTCCTCATGGCCGCCTTGCAGGCGTTCCTCTCGCGGTACATGGACGACGGGCAGGAGGAGGACGGCCTGACCTTGCTCATGGTGGACGGCAACCGGCCACACCCCGCCGTCAACGACACGCTGGGCTTCTTTGTCAACGTCGTGCCCGTTCGGTGCGCGTCCGCTGACATGGACCTCGAGAGCCCCTTTGACGCCGTCCTGCAGCAGACAAGGGCGCGGGTGCTGGCGGCGCTCGCGCACGCGGCCCTCCCCTTTGACGCCATTGTCGACGCCGTCGGGGTCGAGCGCACGTCGGCGCACTTCCCGCTCGGCCAGGTCATTGTCAACTACCAGATCCACGGCACCATGCCCACCTATCCGGCGGGCGACTTTGACGTGACCGAGGTTCGGGGCGACGACATGCCCACGGCGTGCGAGCTGGGCCTCGAGGCCCTCGAGGATCCCGCGACGGGCCTGCAGCTGCGACTCGAGTCGTCGAGCACCCTCTACCGGCCCGAGGACATGGAGAGGTTCCTCGACAACCTTGTCGCCTTTCTGGGCAGCGCCATCCGCGATCACCGCCAGCCCGTGGCCGAGATGGACCTCGTCGGCCCCAAGGAGCTCGCCCACCTCAGGGAGACCATGTTCCACCTGGAGCACACCCCCAACCGCTGGCACCACCAGTCGGTCGCCGCGCGCATCGTCGACGTGGCCCGCCGGCAGCCCTCGGCCGTGGCCGTCCAAGCCTCGGACTCGCCCGACGCCCTCACGTACGAGGAGCTGGTCACCTCCGCCGGCCACGTGGCGGCTGCCATCCAGAGCGCCGGCGTCTCGCGGGGCGCGCGCGTCGGCATCCTCAGCCGCCCGGGCGTCGAGGCCGTCTGCGCCATGGTCGGCGTCCTCCTCGCCGGCTGCGGCTTCGTGGCGCTGGATCCCGAGTTCGCCCCCCAGCGTCTCGCGTTCATGCTGTCCGACTCGGGGGCCGCCCTCGTCCTCGCCGGCTCGGGCATGCAGGACGAGGCGCGGCAGCTCGCGGCCGCCGTCCCCGTCCCCGTCCCCGTCAGGCATCTCGACTCTCTGGCCCCCGTGGCCGACCACGCGCCCGAGGTGCCGCCCACGGCCGACGACGGGCCCTTTTACGTGATCTACACGTCCGGCAGCACCGGGGCCCCCAAGGGCGTCGTGCTGAGCCAGTCCAACACGCAGCAGATGCTGTGCACGCTACACCACGACTTTGCCCTGGGCCCGGGCGATCGCTTCCTCCACCACTCGTCCATCGCCTTTGACCTCTGCATTGTGCAGATCTTCTCGGCCCTGACGGCCGGCGCCCGCGTCTGCGTGGCGTCCAGCGCCCTCCGCAGAGACCCCGTCGCCCTGGCCGAGTACATGGCGGCGTCCCAGGTCTCGGTGACCTACTTCACGCCCACGCAGTTCGCCCTCCTCATGGAGCACGCCCCCGCGACGCTGCGGCGCCTCGACAGCCTCCGCGTCGCCTACTTTGCGGGCGAGCGGCTCCCCGTGCGCGTCGCCCGGGCCTTTTACGACCTCGGCACGCCCGCCGTCGCCTACAACACGTGGAGTCCCAGCGAGCTCGTCGTGCAGACCACCATCCAGCGGGTGGACGAGTCTACGTTGGATGACACCGAGAACATCCCCATCGGCCTCCCCATGGCCAACACGCGCCACTACATCCTCGACCGGCGGGCCAAGCCGCTCCCTGCCGGCCTCGTCGGCGAGATTGTCGTCGGCGGCGCCCAGGTCGCCCGCGAGCAGTACATCAACCGGCCCGACCTCAACGAGGCCGTCTTCCTCCCGGACCCCTTCTGCTCCGACGAGGACAGGCAGCAGCGCGGCTGGGCGACCATGTTCCGCACCGGCGACCGGGGGCGCTTCCTCCCCGGCGGGCGGCTCGAGTTCCACGGCCGCATCGCCGGCGACAAGCAGATCAAGCTGCGCGGGTACCGCGTCGACCTGGGCGAGATTGAGCACCGCCTCTTTGTCGAGGCCAACAAGGATCCGGCCGGCCCCGGCCTCGTCGACGTGGCGGTCGTGGCTCGTTTGATCGCTGGGGGAGACAAGCCCAACCACCACCACCATCACCACCACCATGGCAGCGAGGACGCCGGTGACGCTCGTCAGCTCGTTGCCTTTGTCGCGCCAAAACAGCCGCTGCCTCTGGACCCCCAAGCCCAGTCCCGCTTGGCCGTCCGCCTCCATCAGTACGGACAGGCGTTTCTCAACCCGTACATGCTCCCCAGTGCCTACCAGCTTGTCACCGCGCTCCCCGTCACGCACGGCGGCAAGGTCGACCGGCAGCAGCTCCTGTACGGACGCGTCGACTTGACGTACCCGACGACGGTGACCCCGGAAGAAGCAGCGCCAGCCAAGGACACGCTGGTCGACGTTGTCACCGACGGCTTCCGCGCCGTGCTCAAGCTCGCGCCCGACCAGCCCATTAGGCCTACCGACAGCTTCTTCGCGCTCGGCGGCAACAGCGTCATGCTCATCCGTCTCCAGGCTCGTCTCAAGCGCGCCCTCAAGCGCTCCGTCGCGCTCCATCCCATGTTCAAGTCGCCCACACCCCATGGCATCGCGCTCATCATCCGGGGGGAATATAGAGAGGCCGACAGCCCGCTCACCACCACCACCCTCCAGTGGGACCAAGAGACGGCCCTCGACGGGACACTGCATCCCGCCGCTGTGCCCCCCATCCAGGCCGCCGACGTCAGCTCCATCCTGCTCACCGGCGCGGACAGCTTCATCGGCGCCCACATGCTCGCCACCATCCTCCGGGACCCCGGAATCTCCACCGTCCATGTCCTCGGGGCGCAAAAGGTGCTCGACCACGTCGACCTGGAGACCGCCTTGACCCACTACCGTCTCTGGCCCCTGGTGCCCGGCGGTGGCGCCCAGACGGGCCTCGAGGGGCGCGTCGTCTGCGTCCCGGGGTCCCTGATGCGGCCACGCTTCGGGCTCTCGCCGCCCCAGTTCCGTCGTCTCGGCGCGCGCGTCCAGGCCATCTACCACCTCGGCAGCCACGTCTCGCTGCTCCAGCCCTACGAGGCCCTCCGCCCGCTCAACGTCGACCCCGTGCGCGACGTGGTCGACCTCGCTCGCCTGGGCACCGTCCAGACGCACATCCACCACCTGTCCACCTGGTCCGTCCCCCACCTCCAGACATGGTCCACCACGCACCGCACGCGGCCGCGCGAGACCCTCGCCGCCGAGGGCAGTGCGCGCCACTTCACGCCAGAGACCAGCAGCCGCTTCGGCTACTTCAAGTCGCGGTGGGTGGCCGAGCGTCTCATGGAGGTGGCCGCCCAGCGGGGGTTCCCCGTCGCCATCTACCGCGCCTCGGCGGCGACGGGGAGCACGGCCACGGGGGTGCCCGAGCCCAAGGACGACCTGATCCGCACCATGATCCTCAGCATGGTGCGAGCGGGCGCCATCCCGTCACTCTCTTCCTCTTCGCTCACTACGGACGCCGGGCCGCCGTTTGTCGCCGATTTCGTGCCCGTCGACCATCTCACGCAGAGCTTCCACGCGCTGGCCATGGCGAACGATCCGACGCCACCCCAGCACAGGAGCACAGAGGCCGCCTTTTATCACCTGAATAACACGTCCCCATTGCCCATTGCGGAGCTGCCGCGTCTCGTGGGCGAGATTCGCGGCCAGCCAGACCTTGCCGGCAAGGTCCTCCCCGTGTCCGAGTGGCTGGACGCCGTCGCCCGCACGGATGAGTCTCCTGACGCACGGGTCCGATGGGAGGCGTTGAGAGAATACTTTGGCCTCGGCCATTCCATGTTTGCGCTGGACGCGAGCCGGACGCGCGACAGGCTGGTCTCCTTGGGCGTGGCCGACTGTCCACCGGTCGACGTCGAGTACCTGCGCGCGATGCTCGAGAGCTCATAGTGGCAAGAGAAGCAAGCGCCCAACGGATGGTTTGACGGGACGAGCAAGAAAATGATTCTACCATTATAGAGAAATAGAAAAAATTAATGAAGAAGAGTGTGCCACTGTGTATAGGGTCGTTCGTACTTGACCACACTGGACGGGCGGACTCTTGATGCGAGAGATGGATTCTGATGCAAGGCAAGGTGATGGGGAGACAGGAAGCACGACTGACGAAGGAGGAATTGCGAATTTGTGTGAGAAGCTGCTGCCCGTGGAGAGGAGAGGGCATGGAGAAGCCTGCAACGAACAAGGCAAAGCAGCCGTAGCAGTGGGTGCCCCCAAGGGTAGCATCCAGCTGGCGGCGAACAACACACCTTGGTCAAGTGTTTTGTGAGACTCATCGTCTTGGCTTCCACAAGCGCGGTGATGCCCTTGGCTCGGCTGACAAAGGGGGCTTTGACGACAACGACAACGACCAGTCGGCAGCATGTTTTATGGACCAGAGGGAGAGGCAGAGGATCCTTGCGAGAGCTGTATTTGCTGTCCCAACGAGGGGCCTGATGCCGATTCGAGGAACAACGGGGCAAAGAGATGATATAGCCAGCACCAAGAACAGTGGATTGAATACGTCGATCCAAGTCTTTCATGTGAGGCTGAAGCGGAACCCTGCGTGCTGTCCCAGAAAAACGTCATATACGCCCTTCTTCTCAGGGCCTGATCTACCTGCTTCTCGTGGAACCCGATTTTGTGGTGATGGAAGATTGTCTGATGACAGCTCGCGACTGGCAACCGAGCAAGAGCTGCTCGGAATTGGACTTTTCGAGTGCCAGTACACCCACGGTTCCATCTCACCGGGGATAGTGTCATCATCCTCCTCCGGACCGCCTGAGTCCAAGCACCTCGTTGACTTCACTTGGAGCCTGCCACATGCGCTCCTGGCGGTAATTACTCAATATCCCCGTCACGGCTCGCAGAAAGACCCAGACGGCCGAGCTCGAGCATAGTAGTCCGTCCGTCCGTGTCTGTGGGGCTGGGACCTCGTTTGAGAATATTGTCTTCAATGTATGCAGGGAGAACTACATGCCCAACCTGATCCTATGCAAAAGAAAAAATTAATAATACAAAATAAAACACATGCCAACGCCGTGCTCGCTTTTGCCTGTCCAACACCCTCACCTCCCCACCTCCGCGTCCTCGGCGTGCCCCGACGGCCCCATGGCCTCATAGTCCGTAGTCACAAACGCGCGGTCGACCTCGCCCAGCCCCTCGGCGCAGTACTGCAAAGTCTCGGCGATATCATGAGAGCGGCTCAGCTTCGTGTTCTCGTCGAGCAAAATGTCAAACTCGACCCAGATGCCGTCGCCGTTGTGGTAGGCCGTAATGTTCTTGACGCCGTCGACGACGGGCGCGAAGCGGTAGGCGAGGTAGGTCAGCTTGCGCATCATGTCAAATTCGACGGCCTCGCCCGAGAGCCGGACCACGTTGGCGAACGAGGTGTGGCCCCAGTCGTAGATGATGAACAGGGACAGCAGGCCGGCGCCGACGGGGTCGAGCCACCAGACGTTGGCGGCGTGTCCGATGAGAGGAAAAAGCAGGGAGAGAAGGTTGAAGTAGACGTCCGTCTTGCAGTCCTGCACGAGGGCCTGGACTTGCGTCGTCCGGATGGGCCGGCAGCCGAGGCCGATGGCGCCCTTGAGGACAATGGTGGCGACGAGGGAGCCCGTGGCGGCCTTGCCGAGGGGCTCGGCCTCGGCGTGCGGCGGCATGATGCGCGAGACGGATTCCTGGAGGATCTGGGCAAACGAGAGCACCATGATGACGGAGAAGACGAGGATGCCTAGCGGCTCGAGGCGGCGGCGGCCGACGGGAAAGCGCTTGCGAAGGGCGTTCAGCCGCCAGAGAACCAGCTTGTTGGTCGACCAGACGATGAGGGTGCACAGCAGATCGAGGGCCGAGTCGACGAGACTCGCCATGAGGGACAGACTGCCCGTGGTGAAGGCGGCAAAGGCCTTGCCGATGAGGAGGGCGACGTTGGCGAGGACGTTGATATTGATGGCCCAGCGCGCCTTGCGTGCGGCGCGGGCGCGTCTGTCGCGCTCGTCCTCGGGCAGCAGCTCGCCAATGTTGCCCTCGTGGTGCTGCAGGCCGCCACCGCGCTCCTGGTCGCCGTCGTGGTCCGGGTCCGGGTCCATGGACTCGAGAACGTCGTCGGCGACGGCCATGACGACGGCGTCCACCTCGAGCCACTCGTTGAGCCGCTGATTCTGGGCCTCGTAAAAGGCGCGGACCTTCTTGTTCTCGATAGCCTTGAGATCCTCCTCGCTCTTGCGGTACTTGTCGAGCGCGGAGCGGTCAATGCCTTCTAAGATGGTCTTTTTGAGCGCCTCGCGGCGCGCGTCTTCGAGGGCGGTCCGCGCGGCGTCTTGGAAGCGGAGGATGCGTGGTGGCACGTTGCTCCTGGTCGAGGTGCGTCGGTTGTGCACATGGTGCGCGTGGCCGAGCGGCTTCCAGCTGCCGTCTTGTTCCTGTTGCTGCGGTCCGGCCTCGACGTCGTGGTACTGGTACGCGCTGTGCTGCGCGCGGACGCGCTCCTGGAGCTGGTCGTCGCGATAGTAGTAGCTGTTGCCGTTGCGGTTGAGGTTGCGTTTGCCGACCATAGTGGCGGCAATGGAGGGTGGGCGAGGGAGAGAAGATGGTGTGGTGGAAAGTGCGGCTCAAGTGAAGATCAGTTCAAATACGTGTATTCCTCCCCTGGACCTGGAGAGGCTAAGTAGAGCTGGGATCAAGGTCAAGTCCATTCAAGTCGCGTCGTCGTCGATGATCGGCTGCATCGCGATGACGTAGGACGACCCGGCCTTGGCCCTCGGACAGCCTTGGACTTGCCCGGGGAGGGATGGGACAGAGCAAGGAATGACGACACCACGCACTATGATTCATCCATCAGGGAAATGCTCAATTGGCAACCAATCCACGTGGACGCAGTTCCCCATACCAATAGGCCTTGATCAAATAAATGGTAGCTGTCGGATGGTCGGCTCGCCTTGGAACAGCCAGCAAGGCACGCCCGCCTTGGCTAGTCTCAGTATCCCTGGTGCGCGCATGATGAATCCATCACTTTTCGAGCGTCATCATCCAGAGAGAGGATCATTCTTCAATAAATCTATCTAATCCCCATAGCCAACTCCTAACCGTCTAATGCCCCTCCAACGCCCGCTTGAAATCAAACGAATCAGTCCCCCCCCCCCCCCCTACTCATCACTACCCAAACCTCGTAGAACTAAAGATCCGGCTGCGCGCACTGTCCTTTGTCCTCTCGGGCTTGGCAGAGCCGGCATCCTCCTCAAACCCAACCTTGGACGGGCGAGGCGGCGGGGGAGGCGCGTGGGCTGGTGCCTGCCCCGTGCCAGACGATGCTGCCATGTACTCAGAGTGCTCCCAGCTCTCAGGGCGGCGGCTGCCGTTCGTGTGCGTCTCCTGAGGCGTTGTCGCCGTGTGCGGGCTGTCGGCGCGGACAGGTCGTCGGCTGGGCGGTTCGTGCTGTGCCTGTTGTTGTTTTTGCTGCTGCTGCTGCTGCTGTTGCTGTTGCTGAGCGGCAGGCGGGCCCTGCTGGTGATACGTCCTCGACTGTCGCTGAGGCATAAAGGTCGGCGCTGGCTGCGACCCATCCTCCTCATCCGTCACCTCGTCGTCCGGCTCGTCGTCGTGGGCCCTCAACTCGCTGCGCATCGCGAGGCTAGCGCAGATGTTGCGCGCTTCCTCGATAGCCTCCTTCTGTGCCTTGAGCGCGAGCCGGCGGTCGCGCGTCTCCTTGTTCTCCGCCGCAATGGCCTCGACAGTCTCATTGGGCATGCGCAGAATCTCAATCGGGTTGAAGAGACGGAGCATGCCCAGAAGCAGATGTCGCTCCACAACTTGCGTGATGACGTTGCGCACAAAGATGCGCGCGGTGAGATCGTAGTAAATAAGCATCTTCTCCAGCACCTCCTCGGCTTCGCTGTAGGTGCCACCGTCCACGGTCGCAGCAGCGCGCCAGGCGCGAAGCCGCTCCTCGTACTCGGGGTCGAATGGCTGCACCTCGAGCTCCATGTCGTCCGACAGGCGGCCCAGCTCCGTCGTCGCCTTCTCCATGCACTCCTTCATCTTCAACTCCAGGAAACGGAAGCGCAGGGGGTCGCGCATGCGCATCGGCCAAACGTGGTCAATGACATCGGCGAGAAACTCGTGACAGATCACACCGAGATTCTCCTTGTACTCCTGCGCGAGAAGGGGCCAGTTCCTGGAGTAGTCCTGGAACAGGATGTAGGGGGCACGAGGGTTCGAGTCCAGGGGCAACTCGTTACCGCGGATCTGTCGAAGCAGGGGCTCGACCTCGTTCTGCGCAAAGGCCTGCTTGGCAGGGTCGCCAACAGTGCCGGCAGCGAACGAGTGCCCATCAGGCCCCGTGCCAAAGTTGACCTTGCGACCGTGCTGGCGGAAGCGGCGGGCGAAGCGATCGCTCTCCTCGCGGACACGCGCCCGTAGCTTCTGCGACGGGGTGCCCTTGGGACTGGATTGCCGGGAAAAGAACTTTTCCCCAAACGGATTCTTGTAGTTACCATTGACGGCGGGCGTGACAAGGTTGTTGGAGGCCGTGAACAGCTCGCCCATCTCGAAGCGCATCTCCTCCACCGTGTCCTTGCCAGCCCCCATGGCCCTGAGCTGCGTCTCGCATCGCTCCAGCGACTGCTGGATCTGTCGGCGCAGCGTCTTGACGTGCTTGCCGATGTGTCGCTGCAGCTGCGAGCTCAGCTTCGTCCGGAGCGAGCCCACACCCCACGTGGTGGGTGGGAGCCCTGCCCATTTGCCGCGGCTAAAGAACTCGGCCTCGCGCTGCAGTCGCTGCTCGGGCGTGAACCACGTCTCGTTGGGGCCCGGGTTCAGCAGCACGTACCAGCCCAGCTTGAAGTGGTTCTCCGGGTCCTTGTTCATGACGAGGTCGATGAACTTGTCCTCGATCCCGATGCGCTCCGTCATGTCGGGTTTGGTGAGGACGCCAATCGTGCGCGCGCCCGTCGGGTCAAAGTGGCGCGCCTTTTTGAGAATCGGCGCCTGCACGTAGTCGTTGTTCCCGCCAATGACGGCCAGGATGATGGTGCGCGAGCTCTTCATGTACCGGTCCGAGAGCGCGTCAATGGTCGAAATGTCCGTGTCCGACTGATCTCGGTTGGCCACACGGACGAGGCCGGGCAGGTCGACCATGGTCAGCAGCGGCATGTCGGGCCCGCACTTTTCCACAACGAGAATGTCCCTGGCCGCGAACCGACCGGGAATCTCCCTGGGTGCGATGAGCTCAGTCGCCTGGCGCATCATGGCCTCGAACGAGGCGTCGGGCCCGACACTCGCGCCCCACTCCTTCATCCGCTGCTGGTCGTTGAAGGGTCTTTTCTTGTCCGGGATGATGGACACCTTGAGGCTCGTCTCCTTGGCGCGACGTAGTCGGATCTCTGTCGCGAAGCGGGTGCAGGCGCCCGCATCGCGAGGAAAGGGTGTTCCGCTCAGCGCCTCGAGGACGGACGACTTGCCGGCCGACTGGTCGCCCACGACGACGATCTGCGGGAGTTTGACATTATCGAGCTGCGCGAATTGCAGCTTGTCGATCAGGTCGAGAAGTCCGCGCTGCTCGTCGGCGAGACCTTGCGTCGCGAGCGACGAGTCGAGCGACTGATGCATGCTGCTGTTGTTGTGGTAGTCTTGTCTGGGTCGGGGGTCAGCGCCAGTGTGAGCGGGAGATGATGGAGGAACTGACGTGGAGCCCATGCGATGAGAGTCTAGCATTCTTCTCTCGATGGGTACCTGAAGGGAAGTGCGTTAGATGAAAGGCGAGAACCAGTTAAGGCAGCTACGTCAGGCAGCCAGCTGGGTTGCGCTGCCTCTTATAGCAGCCCAACGTTCAAGCAAGGACGGATTCGCCATCATGTGCGCGGCCGCGACTCGCAACGCGTGGCACGCCGAAGTAGCGTAAGGCTGCGATTTCCTGGGTCCGCATTGTTGCCTGCGCCACAGTCCATGGTGCGCTGTGATTGCTGCAGAGAACGGTCAGTCCGCTCTCGACCTGTCAGGGCTTTTGCATGAGGCGAATCTGGGCCAAGTTGTCGCTAGGCTAGCTCAGGCATCGAGAGGCGAAACGTCATGCGCCAATGACGGGTGTGTGGCGCAGCTGTGGCTGTGGCTGTGCTGGCGGGGCGGCCTCAGCTGGCTGCCAGGAGAATGCTGCAGGATGCTGCGGAGAGGTGTCGGACACGTGACCGCTTTGGTGGAGGCACGGCCCGAGTTAGTGTGTATGTGCGCAAGTGTTCATAATCGAGGAAATAGTAGATTTTTGGGGCCTAGAAAAGGCTATTTGAATTGATGATCAAGAGGCTGATTTTTAAGGCCTTCAACTGTGTGTTCGTTGTTCATCGTCCTGTGTGCTGATTCCTTCATTCCAGCCATCTCATGACCCCTCTTTGCTTAGTCACCGCGGTCCGACCCTTTTCGGTCTGACAAGAGGAAACCGCACGTGACTGGATTTTGGAATTGGCATGTGAAGCAATGTTCTAGGAACGGGAATGCTTACGTATACCACAGTGGATAAGTGCACGTAAATGCGGTCCTTACTTTCACCGGCGTCGCGATCCTGAGTGATCAAGCCACGCTCAGCAGCCTACCCTGCAGCATAGCTTAGCGATGCAGGCCTGGCTCCTAGCCGTTTGAGAAGTATCTTACTCGAGGCTTGGCTTGTTGAAATATTAGTATTCAATTGAGATTCATGGCCTTGTTTTTATTTTTTTATTTTTCCCCCCCCAAGCTCACGATAGTGCGCTCGGGAATGTTGTGCAAATGAGAATGGGTCGTACGTGCCTTTGATGGGATATTTTTCCGTCAGCTGCACCATGGCGCTTAGAGTTAAATGACATAGAATACAAAATGTCACGCTCTAATACTACCAGCCCTATTTCAAGTACGCAATCAAAGATATGAATGAGAGAGACTTGTCATAAAAGCAACTGCTTCGTGCGGCAAACAAGAAGCTTCCTCGCTAAAGCTGACAGGCATCGTCTAGAACAGAAGGCCTCATAGACTTAATACCAAGTGCAGTTAGTTGCTGTTCCTGTAGCGGAGTGGTTACCGCGTGACTCTTATAGGTCAAGCATTTTTCTTGGTTATATGTCAAGGTCGAGGGTTCGACCCCCTCCAGGAACAGACTTTTTGTCAGATGGGCCACCAACGTGCAGCGTCCAGGGTCACATACTTTTTGCCAATCCATGCGGACTCATTGACATGTCTTTTGTTCAACTCTGTCTCATTCCTTCTGTAGATGCTTAAACGCCTTTCAATTCATGAACCCGTCAATCCTCACCATCCCCGCTTCGCCAGCTTCTCCTCGCCCCGCAAACCATCGCAGTTGATGCCGACCATGGCCTCGCCCAGCCCCGTGCTGCACTCGGCCAGCACCTTGGCATCCTTGTAGTGCGTGACAGCCTGCACAATCGCCTTGGCCCTCTTGGCGGGGTCGCCGCTCTTGAAGATGCCGCTGCCGACAAAGACACCGTCGCAGCCGAGCTGCATCATAAACGCCGCGTCGGCGGGCGTCGCGACACCACCGGCCGCAAAGTTGACCACCGGCAGACGACCCAGCTCGGCCGTCTGGCGCAGCAGCTCGGCGTCGACCTCGAGCTTGCGCGCCAACTCGCGGACGCGCACAACGCCACCCTCGGCCAGCGCGGCCTTGGCCTGGGCAATCTGCTTGTTGACCGTCTTGATGTGGCGCACCGCCTCGACGACATCGCCCGTGCCGGCCTCGCCCTTTGTCCGGATCATGGCTGCGCCCTCGGCGATGCGGCGGAGGGCCTCGCCTAGGTCGCGGCACCCGCACACAAAGGGGACCGAGAAGACGCTCTTCTCCACGTGGCTCTCGTCGTCGGCAGGTGTGAGCACCTCGCTCTCGTCAATGTAGTCCACGCCCAGCGCCTCGAGGATCTGGCACTCGACGTCGTGCCCAATGCGGGCCTTGGCCATGACGGGGATGGTGACCGCCGCCTGGATGTCCTTGATGATGTTGGGGTCCGACATGCGCGCCACGCCGCCCTGGGCTCGGATATCGGCCGGCACCCGCTCGAGGGCCATGACCGCGCACGCACCGGCGTCCTCTGCGATGCGGGCCTGCTCGGGGTTGATCACGTCCATGATGACACCGCCCTTGAGCATCTGCGCGAGCCCGGCTTTGAGGGCAAAGGTCGACGTCGGCTTGGCGTCGGTGGTGGTGTTGGTGGGGGCGCCCGAAGCGCCGACGGAAATGTCGTTTGTCATTTTGATGGTCGTGTTGGTGGTGTGTCTTGGGACGAAGATCTCAATGTATCTGCCCTGGTGAGTAAAGCAGAGGAGGAATGGACGAGAAGAAATAAATCACGCTCGAGAATCAAGGGTCTGGCGCTGACTAGCAGGGTCAAACTTTAAATACCAACCCTAATCATCCCCCAAGCCGGCACAGGACCGGAGGCCTGGACGACGGGACGCCTTGCTCCAATTAGTGACTCCTCCACCACGAAAAAGCCGGGCGGCAACCATCGGATGCCCAGCCGACAGCAACCAACGACGCGGATAGCGCTGACTGGGGGGTGTCAAAGTGTCATAGAAACTCCATGCAGAGACCATTGTGCTGCCTCTTTCGGCAAGTCCGCGCGACTAGCTGCGCGCATAGTCTGCAGTCATCTCCGCTCCACGTCTGCAGCAAGTAGGAACATGATTCGTCCATCGGTGGCATTGGCAGGCGGAGAGCTGCATGATCCGCGGCTTCGTTCTAGTCTAGGTTGGCCGCTGCCCGAGGGTACCGCCATTGCCACATGTGCAAAGGGTCCGTTCCGATGTCGCCAGTTGGAGGTGGTGGCTTGAAGCGGCCTAACTCTGAAAGTTTATCTCTGTGTGATTTGGGGTCTGATTCATCGACGACAATTTTTTTGCCCTTTGTATCCCTTCGACCAGAATGACCATGACTGTCACCATTACGGTCGGCGTCCTCGCCCTCCAAGGCGGCTTCCACGAGCACCTCACCCTCCTCCGACGCGCCGTGTCGCTGCTGGCCACGACCCAATTCGAGCTCGTCGAGGTCCGCACGTCGCAGCAGCTCGCGCAATGCGACGCGCTCATCATCCCCGGCGGCGAGAGCACCACCATGTCCCTGGTCGCCGGGCAGACTGACCTACTCGCGAAACTACGAGACTTTGTCAAGTGCGTATCTTCTGCCTCTCTAAATTGACTCTGCTGACGCTGTGCCCCACCAGAGTACAGAAGAAACCCACCTGGGGTACCTGCGCCGGCCTCATCATGCTCTCCAACGAGGCCAACTCGACAAAGGTCGGCGGACAAGAGCTCATTGGCGGCCTGTCCGTCCGCGTGCACCGCAACCACTTTGGCCGGCAGATTGAGAGCTTCGAGGCGAACCTTGACCTCCCCTTCTTGTCCGAAACCACCAATCGCTCGCCGTTCCACGCTGTCTTTATCCGTGCGCCCGTCGTGGAAGACGTCCTCGCGCCGCAGGCTGTGCAGGTCCTCGCCAAACTACCCGGCCGGATCGACAGGATGAAGACGGGTGTGTCGCAGGCGGCCACCAAGGGCGACTCTGGCGATATCGTGGCTGTGCGGGAGGGCAACGTCCTGGGCATGAGTTTCCACCCGGAGCTCACGGCCGATGCGAGGATACACGTGTGGTGGTTGAGTGAGCTGCTCAAGGGTGGAGCATCGTAGACGTAGAATTCGTGCATCACACTAGCATCAGCGAGAATTGATTTCATCTCCACATGTCTTTGCCAGTGTGCACGGCGCTGCTCAGCGGTGGAGAGTGTGCTCGTGGGCTGGACGAAGACGGCTTCAGGCCCACGAGCTCCATGACATCGGCGCGGCCTAGCGACAGGGCAAATGCTCGCGCCGAACCACTGGGGAGATCCGTGTCGGCGCCGTGCGCAATCAGCAAGCGCGCCATGTCCAGGTTGTCGCCCTTCATCAGGGACTGGAGCAGCGGCGTCTTGGCATGCTTGTCCGCGGCGTCTGGATCCGCGCCGTGCTCGAGCAGCTCTCGCACCCAATCTGTCCAGTCGCGCGCAATGGCGTAGGTGAGGGGCGTCTCGCCGTCGCCAATGCGCCTGGTGACGTCCGCCCCGGCCTCCAGTATGAGACGACCGATGCGAGACGAGGCGCCCTTGGTGAGGGCCAGTTCGAGGAGGTGTGCCTGATGCCATACCAGATCTGACGCTGTCGTCTTGGCCCCGTTCTTGAGCAGGGCGCGCACGAGCGCACACTTGTCCTCCTCTCCCAGCTTCTGGTCCTTGATCACGGACACAATGACCTTCTGCCCCATCAGATCCTCCGAATTGCCGTCGGCGCCGTTTTCAAGCATGCGCAGCGCGAACGGCACGTTGCGCCTCGCCACGGCAGCGGCCAGCACCCTGTCGCCCGACGTGGTCCTTCCGCCCAGCATGGCGCCGCGCTCGAGCAGCAGGTCGAGCAGCTCCAGGTTGTCCTTGTCCAGGGCGATGCCCACCATGGAGTTGCCCGACAGGTCGTCCGAGGTCACCTTGGCGCCAAAGTTGAGCAGCAGCCGGACCATCTCGATGTTACACTTGCGCGCGGCGATGACCACGGCAGGGCGGCCCGAGTTGCTCTGCGCCCGCGCGTTGGCGCCCTTTTCGAGCAGGAAGCGCACGCCCGCCAGGTTGCCCGAGCTGACCACGTCGACAAAGTACGACTGGCCAGACATGCTGAACTTCTTCACGTCGGCCGCCGATCCGCCGCGCTGGTAGATCATCTGCGCCACGTCGAGGTTGCCCAGGGACGCGGCGAGGAACATGGGCGGCATCTTGGACCAGATGTTGTCCGACGCGCCCAGCGTAAAGAGGAGCCGGGCGGCTTTCGCATGGTTCTCGACAATCGCGCAGTGGAGGGCCGTCTCGCCCCGGTCATTCTTGCCGTCGATGTTGGTGCCCTGCTGGAGGAGAGCCGCCATCTGGGCCGTGTCCCCTCGGCGGCTGGCTTCGCAGAGGGCATTGACGAGCGGATCGGGCTTGGCCCAGATCCCGGCTGTCAGGGCCTTGAAGGATTTGGTGATGGGTAGAACCCAGCTGTTGGAGCGGGAGTTGGACCCTGAAGCTTGTCCTGGTCGGATAGGCAGCACAGGGCCAGCAAACGAGGAGGACCGTCGACCTAGGGAGTGGGAGCTCTCGGCGATGGAGGCGGATCGGCTCGTTGTCAGAGGCGTGTCTACTGGCGAGGTGGCCCCTGAAGAGGCGGCTGCGTTGGTGCCAAGGTATGGGGTCGTGGAGGTGGCAGCTTCGTAAGGGGGAGGCAGATCCGTCAGATCGGGGGCTGGACGGTGCGAGGGCGCCGCGGGCTCTGGCAACATTGCTTGCTTACCCTCCAAGACTGTCATGGGCTGAAGAGGAGGCGGATCGGCGTAGGCGGGCGCCTCGTCCTCTGCAGAATTGACGATGATTTCACCCGCTTTGGCGAGCATCTTTCCAGCGTCCCCAGCTTGCTCGATGATTCTCCTCCCCGCAGGTCCATCGAGGACTGCGTCTTGATCGTCTCGCTCTGGCCTACGCACATTAGCTCGTCTGTGCCTACCCTGGAACAGATGAGACCCGCTCACTCACATGGCCAGAACCTCCTCGTAAAAACCCAGCAGTTGCGCATACGTGACCAGCAAGTCCATGTGCACTGTGAGGAACATTGTGTTCATCATCGGCACCGTCGGCGCGTCAAGTCTCATGACCTGCTTCCCAATGGGCGCGATCTTGATGTGACATTCCTGCAGCGAGCCATCGAGCAGCTGCTGCAGCCTCGGCGAGAGTGTCGTGGCGCGTTGGAGGGCCCCCTCGAACTGACCCGCGCTGGTGCTGAATGCGAAGAGCGCCTCGGACAGGGCGGCGAGCTGCTGCGCGTGTTGGCCGTCGGGAATGGTGCGCAGTAGATCCGCGAGCTCCGACGCGGATGAGTTGGCGCTGTGCGCAATGGCCGAGCAGTGAGCGCCCAAGGCGGAGAGAGAGAAGCCGTTCATGATGGGTGGTGATGGGCCGTCATGGAGTGACGAGAGAGAGTGCGCGCGGGACAGACGGAGGTCCAGCCGTAGATTCTTGTATGTATCCCGCAGAACTTTTTGATTTTTCCGGCCTGACCTGACCGCGCGTTGTTGGAGTTGGACCCCTGCGACTGCAGCAATGAGCACCGGCGCAAAGTATCAAAAGTTACGTTCACGATTCCTACCCCACTTCGGTTTGCCAATTGGGGCTGAGGGCATCCGCTGCGGAGTTATTCCTGGCGATACACTGCAAAAAGCATGTCTAGGAGCAATTGGAGCGGTGGTTCTCGCGTGTGTCGGTTCTGTGAGGCTGAATGGGACAATGGGACGCGTCGTCATCGGGAAGGCGAGCCGAAGAATGGTGTCGCGTCTGATGACGTGGGCTGCAGCATGCTGCGATGATATTTGTAGATACGTAGGGCTGCGTACAGGGCTGCCAACATTTGACGCGGATTATCGACGTGGCATCTTGGTGATGCGGTGCGCAGAGGCAGCGTGATTCTTTTCGTGTCTGGCAATACGCGCCGCCTTTGGACAGGCGCTGAGCCCACGACAAGTGGAAGGAACGACCTGACAGCAAGCATCAGGAACGGAAGGAGAGCTCCAGGCCACCTGCAGCTCAGAACGTGCGCACTGCCTCCGTTCCAGCGCCCTGAGACTGGCTTTGCGCACCAACCAAGGACATGGCAACATGGAAAGAAATCGATTGATAGCATAAGCGCGACTGCGCTTTGATGCGACGAGGTGCGTTTTGAACTTACCACCTGAGCCTCGTATTCCCAAGCAGTGGATGCGCCGAGCCACCGCCCCCCTCGATAAAAAAGCGTCCGGTTTGCGTCCTGAACCCAGATGTCCGAGATGGATGATGGCCACATTCTCACTGCAGATTCGCTCAGAGCGGGTCTGCCCAGGCGGATGGCGGGGACGACCACGGAAGGTTAAATGCTAAAAGGCTCCGGGAGACTCATCGTGGTCTATAACTTACAAGTACAAGTACTCGCGGCAAGGAGCATTGTCAATCCTCTCACGCATCGCCCAAATCCACAGGCTCCCAAGTCCCAACATGGTCACCATCAACCTCGCCTACACGGCCCCCATCAACCCCGCGGGTGTATCGCCCGTCCTCACCGAGAGCCAAGTGTGGACTGGTCTCAAGCGCAAGGTGCGTCGCGCCCACGAATTTGTCCCCGTCATCGTCGCCTGCGAGGTCCTCAGCGAACAAGGCAACACGGTCGTGCGCAAGGCGACCTTTTTGGCTGAGGGCAGCCCCAAGGACACAAACGAGCCCGTGCGCGAGGTCTGCGTGCACTTTCCGCCGTCCCGGGTCGACTTCAAGCAGGAGGATGGCAGCACCATCTCCAACATTGTGAGCAGGGGTCCCGAGGGCGAGCTGCTCATGACGTATGCGTTCGAGTGGAGGCACGACCACATCCAAGAGGGAAGCGACGAGGCGACGGCGGCCAGGGAGAAGTACTTCAAGGTGCGTCCTCGACTAGTGGTTTTTTTTTCTTCGTCTCGCTAACATGTTGCAGATGGCGAAGATGGCCGTCGAGGGGTCTATCACCACCATCCGCAAGTTCGTCCAGGAGGGCGAGATTACGTAGAGGCTCGGCGGGCTTTGTGTCTCCAAGACAGTGCAGTCTCTCATGGTCAGATTGACTTTTGTCTGCAAATCGTTGTATCAATCTTCTTGTGAAGCTTGGGAGTCGAAATCCGTCGCGGACCTGACAACCTTTCTTGGAGGCGAGTGCACTGTTGCTACTTTCTGATAGATCCCTACGTGGATACAGAGAACGGCGACCATCTCCATCGCCTCATTGATATATATATCTTTCCTTTTGAACATGCGCATGAGTACTCATACCTGTTGGACAAGTGGCCAATGCGTACAGACGCACCACATTCATTCTGTACGCGTGCTGATTCCGCATTCAAGACTTGCGAGGGAGATTTGATAGCATAGCAACACACAATCCGTTCCTCGTCGGTGGCATTGAACGCGGCGATACCTAGTGTCCCAGCCTTCTCGAGCGTGTCAGGAACGTTGAGCAACGGGGACTGCTTATTCGCTGCGCGCTGATGTAGACTCTGGCCCCTGAGGCCGAGAGGCCGGCTATCCGCTCTGGTACCGACCCCTCTACCTCTTCCTAGGCTACGGCCTCCTAGGGCCGGGAAGTCTCGTCCGCGGCTTCCTCTGGTACTATGCCCGCCTGCGCTCGGACCGCTTCCTAACTAGCTTCGCCGCGTGCCTGTCACCGGGCCCGACGCCGACGCACTAGGATAAGGACGGGGCGTTCCCCGAGTGGCGCGACGTCTTATCGTCTCGCGCTGCCGGCGGTGACCCCGACGGCCTCGAATACTAGCCTATCTTCACCGGCCTAGACCCGGCGGCTGGGTCATTGTCGTCTCGGCATGAATAGTACCTGGGCTCTAAGATGCTCGACCGCAGAGCCAATCTCTTACACTACCATATCCCCACCGACGCGGCCTTTAGCGTGCCCGTGGTGCGGTACGCCTTTCTCCGCGTAAAGTAGCTAGTCGCCTAGCCGGATCTAGCCGGGGCCGGCTACCTCCACTCCGTTGCCGGAAACAGCGCCGTCGAGGTATTCGGCGACTTAAAGAGCTTCCTACGCGCGGCCGGACCGGGCGGCGATAGGGGCGTGGGCTAGGTGGACGCGCTGGTGGCTCGTACCGTGTCCTCTATCTAGGAGACGTAGGAGCTAGAGCAGCTGCCTCCAGAGCTCGAGTTCATTTTGGCCAGAGACGATGACATAGCCCGCTCTGTCTTTGCCGAATTTTTAGAGGACGTAGCTTATATTTGGGGAAACGTGCGTACCGCCATATAGGGTCTTTCAAGTGCAAAACCAAGCTTCTCAAGGTGTCGGGGCGTCCCCATTCAGAGATTCGCAGAATCCTGGCAAAACCCAAGGCCAGTCGGAGAAGGAAGAATCTCATTCACAAGAGACTGGGGGCTACCTCAAGCGGCTGCAGGCGATCCCGACCCTCCAAGCCAGATACCGCAGCGCAAGCGAGGATCAGCTATTCGAGCCGACATATCAGCACAAGGGCCCCGGCGGGTCCTACGAGGAGTGTGGCTGCAACGGCCCCATCGTCTCTTTATGACACCCTTCTCGAGGAAGACGAGCCTCTTCCCGAGGTTCATTACGGCTTAATCGCGTCAGGGGAGAGACATGGTCATGAAGCCGGGCCAAGATCGCGACATGCTCGCCGTCTGCACTTAAAGGATACGATCAGCACGTCCCTTCTCATATAACTCTTCAGTTAGCTAAATCAACCGACCCGATCCAGAAACACCAACGACATTTTACAAGTGCCCAAGGTGCGCTTCAACCTAGGTTGCAAACTATTTCTGATGGCCTACTTCTCTAGCACGGGTATTCCCTGGGAAGTTTTTTCCGTTGGTACTTGGAGAGGAAATGTGCCAAAGCATCGAATACGAGGGATCTTATTGTAAGCCTAGGGGTTCTGAAGAGTGTCTCCGTTATCAAGGAAGCCGAAAATGGCACTATTAGCATAGACCCGCGGGTCTATAGGAAGGCCGTGCTAATGAAATCCGCTATTATGCCCTCTAGGTGGTTCTCTAGGGTCCCGAGTCCTTATATATCTATATACAAACTAGGTGTTATGCTAGGAGTGGGTACTATATACGCAAGCTGTCACCACTAAAGTTTCAGAGCGCTCTATCTCCGCGGACCTTTTACGATCAGCCACACAAACGTGCAACATGTCAGCTAGTCCCGTGCAATAGGCTGACCCCACAGCAATACGGGCGCTGCACTCTGTCAAGTCTATGCTCAGGGACGGATCAGCGGCAAGAAGCAGATCGATGCTAACGTCTACGCTGATGCAGATGGTAGCAAAGCTGTCTCCGTACTCGGCGGCACGACAACGGCTGCACTATGTGCGGCGGTCTTGGAGCCCTTGTAGCACTAACAGAATCTCAGAAATTGTTTCAGTGCTGTTGATAGTAGGGTGGAAGGCATTATAATGGAGGGGGTAATATATTAAAAGTCGTATGCTGATTAAGCCGAAACGTCCTTAACTTGGAAGCTATAAATGCCGTTCATATCTAAATCATGCCTTCATATTATAATACTTTGATCAATTGTCTTCACTATGTCTTCGCTAACTGTGAAAATGAGCGAGAATCCGCAGGCCGTAATGCTAGAACCTATTACTCGACGAAGACTAAATGTTGTAGTAAACTCCAAGAACTAATTACGATCAATATTCATATTGACTCAGCTGAGTCTCATCATCCATGGCGGCCGTGTGGCGTACCTTTCCACCTCGGCAACAGTTTCGTTCCAGAGAGACTGCTGAACCTTTTTTCCATCTTTAGACTGTACAAATGGGGATACCGGCACGACTTCGGAATCCTCTAGCAAAGCACCATGTGTTTCTCGCCCAGCTACTAAAGCTGCATTCAATGCCAATGTTGCAGCTTCGTTTGGACTTTTACCCGAGATCTTCATCAATACCATGGCAGGAACTCGAATGTAGAATGGCATCAACCTGGCCATGCCACTTTCGACAGTATGGGGACAGAAGCTGTTGATGATAACCTTGTCGTGATCATAGTGACTTGCCAGTTCGCGGAGAAACAATAGACCCAAAAGCTTACTGTCGGCGTATCTGTTGAACAAAGCAACCTTCTCGGCGTGGTCAAAATGCTTGAGTACACCCTTGGAGACTTGCGGGAGAGTCTTCGTGGTCAGACTGGTCTGTCGATAGGCGCGGCTACCTGTCCACGTCACACGCGAAGGCTTCCCACTCGTAGCCGCTGTGTTTTCCAAAGTTGGAAGCAACTCCATTTGGAGTATGACATTGGAGAGGTAATTGACTTGGACTGTTTTCTCGTGACCAGTGGACGCCATTTCACGCTGAGGGAGCATGCCGCCGGCGTTGAGAAATAGAAGATGAAGATCCTGAAAATGCTCTCTGAAGCTTGATGCAAAGGCTAGAGGACTGGCGTATGTTTCCAGATCAAGATGGATGACACGGATATTTGCTTGTGGGTTCGTTGACCGGATATCGGAATCCTCCAACAAAGAAGCTTTCACTGTCTCTCCCTTTGAGACATCTCGTACAGCAAGAATGATGTTGGACACCTTCAATGCGAGTAAACGACGAGCGATGGCGAGCCCGATGCCCGACGTTGCCCCGGTGACTATTGCTGTTTGGCCACTTAGCTCTAGGCCAGGCGGTAAAGGAGGGCTTGCGGAATGTAATAAACCCATTGTTTCAGAGTCCGGTGGGGGTAAGTCGAAGAGGCTTGTTATGCAATGTCTGGCCTGAAAGAGTAAAGGTTGAAGCAGTACGAAGAAGAGCCAATGACAGGATCGCCTTCTGTTATATACACCTTTTACTCTGCTTGTCGATATCACTGGTGTTTTAATAACTTCTATCCCTAGGAGCGAGCGGACTTGATAGCGGAGTTTGAAAACACGCTAGTGAGCCGGAGCGGAGCTACCCGTCGGGTGAAGATGGGACGCTCATGCTGCACTAAGTTAATCAACGACTTCGACCCACCTTTAAGTAGTAGGAAGGACATTAAGGCGTACGTTTTCGGCCGTAGGTCACGTGTAAGGGCGGGGCAGCCACGTGAGACCACGTGATTAGGAACGCCGTTTTGAAACACAACTTACAGCCTAGCTGAGGGTGACGAGGCAGGAGAAATGGGGCATTCTGAGTGATGATCCTTTTTCGCATAAGTGAACGGATAGCCTTTCGAAGATGATTTGGTTCCCTGCTCTTCTGACACTGCATTCTGAAGAGGGTTCCAATACTAGGATGCAGTCTTCTTCTGCCATATCGGCGGTCATCTGAGCGCAAAACGGCGTCGTCGAAGTGTTACGAGTTACGACCCAACATGCGTGCGCGCCGTCATACGGCGCGCACGTGACATGACGCATGGCCCATAATTTTTACCAATCACGGAGGGATCATCTTCGTACCAAACACCATGAACCAAGGGGGTCATTCACCAAACACAATGATCCCCATACTATATAGGAAGCCCAGCTTCACTATAGTCAGTCACTGCCTAGCCCCCCAGCTATCAATACAACTGTCAACGCATAGGTTACTTCTTGTTGTGTGTCAGGTCCAGTGACTGTCAGACCAGTCACTGCCCTGATTGGTCAGACTGCGCATTCGGCCTATAGGCTATAGCTGCCCTCAAAAGGCAGCATCTTCGCGCTATTGCGTTCTTCCTCTTTTGAGAGCATCAGCATCTTCTTCAGATAGAGAATTCATCTTCTTCCTTCTCTTCTGATCTATTGATCATCATACTTCTACTGCACTCGACTGTGACTACAATCGCTCGATTAACGATACTCTACGTAGTGTACTTTACATACGTTCACTCAAACTGACTTTTGATCTACCTACCCGGTAGCTGGACCAAGTTTGAACGTCACATGAAGGCGCCTTGGTGACAATGCCATAACCAGGGCTCGACGGACCCGTGTCATTACTCCCTGAGGATCAGATACCATTTAGACAGTTCTATACTATGAAACAATGTAAAAGAAATCCAACTACTTAAGCCTGCAGCTCAATGGCAAAATGCTTGAGCAGGTGCCCAACTGTAGGACATTTCCAGGCAAGCGTGGGCCCCATCTTGACCTTCAGCATCTTCTGCACGCGCGTCCGGAACGACACAGTCAAGACAGAATCCATGCCCATCTCCGACAGGGCCACGGCCGCATCTACATCCTCGGCACTCATGCCCAAAGTATCCGCCACCGCCCACTTCAGCTGCGCGTCGAGCCAGCTCTCGAGCTCCGGGCCCGACGCCGGCCTGCTGGGCACCGTACCGAACGCTGCTCCCTCACCCGCCGCCGCAACGGCAGCAGGGGCCGGCCTCCGCGGAGCGACATGCTCGAGAATCGGGTGCGCGACCTCCTCGTCGTGGTCGATGGGCAGGGCCCGCAGCACAGCCGCTAGCCCGTCGGTGTCGGCGGCGTCGGCGCTTGCAATGCGGTCCCAAGCAAGGAACGCCTCTTCCTCGGTCACATCGCTGATGCCGCGGGCCTCGAGCTCGGCATTGATGTACTCGGTGCTGGCGGCCATGCCCATGCCGCGCCAGCTAGTCCAGAGAATTGCCTGGGTGCCCTTGTCGCCCCGCGCGCGCCGGCGCTGCGCCATGGCGTCCAGGCACGCGTTGGCAGCCGCGTACGAGGCCTGGCCCGGGAAGCCCAGAATCTGGCCGCAGGATGAGAAGAGCGTGAAGAAGGCGAGAGTGCCGGGCGGGAAGAGTTCGTCGAGGGCCAGCGCGCCGTTGAGCTTGGGCGCGAGGACATTGTCAAAGGACGCGCGGTCGACGTCCTGCACCATCTGGTCGGCGAGGACGCCGGCGGCGTGGACGACGCCTGTTACACGGGGCAGAGACAGGGAGTCAATGGCCAATCTCAATGAATTTGCTGCGTCGGGGGCGCTGATGTCCACGGGCAGTACATGAACAGTGGCGCCCGCCGCCTCCATTTCCACGACGGCATCGACCATTCTGCGGTACGGCGACGCGGCGTCGATAGCGGCCCATTCCGAGCGCAGGGGAAGGCTGCGGCGCGAGACCAGTAAAAGGCGGCGCGCACCGCGCTTGACCATCCATTTGGCGACCACCAGACCCAGCGCGCCAAGCCCGCCCGTGATGAGGTACGTGTCGGCGGGTGAGAAGCGCAGCTGCTTCGGTGTTTGGTCTGCGTCTTTACCATCTGCCACAAAGGGCCGCAGGCGGCCCACACGAGCGACACCGTCGTCGTCCTGCTTCACTATGTTCTCGCCCTCTACGTATCGGATAGCGGCCAGGGGCAGCTTCCCGTCGTACGTCTCGAAGAGACCACCAAACAGATCCGGGTGCTCCGACTTGATGATGCGCGCGAGGCCGTATAGCGACGCACTGGCGAGATCAATATCCTCGGCTTCGGCTTGGTGGTGCTGGGGAACGATGGAGAACAGCTTGGCCTTGCAGTCTGGCGAGGCCGCCATGGCCTGCGCAGCCGAGACGAGGCTGTTGCACGACCCCGAGGCGGCATCCAGAACGGAGGCGTAGGAGCCGCTGCTGTGCGCGAGGTCAAGGACGATGGTGTCGTCGCTAAGCGAGGCGAGCTCCTTGACGTCGCGCGCAGTAGAGACGGTATGGCCGCGCTTGATCAGCTGGCGGGTGTACCGGCACTTGGCCTCGGTTTCTTTCCCATCGTGCTCGGTTGAGAACAACACCACGTGGCTGAAGTTGATGGGCGTCTCAGCCATCTTGGCGGGCGGCCATGCGAGCCGGTGCACCAGGCCCCGCGCGCTCTTGCGCGAGACGGCGTCGTTCTCGAGCCCGGCAAAGGACATGGCGACGAACTCGATGAGAACATTGCCGGCCACGTCGCTGACGACAACGTTGACGGCAAAGGGCTTGTTTTTGTCTTGAGAACGCTTGCAGTAGATCCAGCCCTGTGCGAGGGTCTCGAGTTGGCCGTACTTGATGATGCGGTCAACCGCGGTGGGCATGCGAAGGAGCGGGTCCTTGAAGAAGATGGTTGATGCAATCGAGGTTGCGGCGTCCATGATGGAGGCACCTAGGTCGTTAAGACCTTGGGACTCGGCCTGGTTGGGGTTTGTCTCGACGCATACGAGGAACTCGTCGTCTCCGAACGCCCTGTGCGTCGTAACCGCCCAGGGGAATCCCATTTCGGGCACGCCGACCTTGCTCATGTAATTGATGGAGAAGGTCTCGGCAAGCTTCTCTGGTAGACGCGTCTGAAGCTTCTCCAGGTCGAGGCGCTCAGGGCGAGCATCTCCCACGGTCGAAATGACGCGACCGGTAGTGTTGACGAGCCAGGCTCCCCCGGACTCCGCAAGCCTCGACGTCAGCGAGATCTGCTGCTGGTCGGACACCAGGATCTGGATCTGCCGGGGCGGTGAGACGATGACGGGCACCTTGAGCGACAGGCTCTCGAGGCAGTTCGTCTCCGTGTCGATGGTGTGTAGGAACGTGTTGATGAGGACCGCAGCCGGGACGATCTCGGAGCCGTGGAGCGGATGACGGCCGGGATAAGGACGGCTCTCCTCGTCCAGCTGTGTCTGGTACAGGACGTTTTTGGTGCCCCATATGTCGGTGCGGGAGCCCAGAAGCGTGTTGTTCTCGGGTTTGTGGGCAGTGATCTCGTACAGAGGGACCTTGGCCACCGTGCGCCAGTAGGGCTCGTGGTTCCAGGTTGTGCGCGGCACGCCTTCGGACAGCCAGGGACGATTGGCGTCGTGCGATGTGTATACCGTCTTCTGGCCCGACACGTGCAGGCCGCCAACGGTGGTCAGGATTCGCTCCACGACGGGCTTGTTGCGCAGCATGGTCGGCAGCACGAGCACATCCGAGTCGAGATCCATGGCCTCGAGGGTCTCGGAGACAGAGTGGGCGACAATGGGATGCGCCGATACCTCGACGAACGTGCGGTGGCCGTCTTGGGCGAGTGCCTGCGTGGCCTCGCGCAGCCGCACAGGTGCTACCATGTTGTTGACCCAGTATTCCACATCGCGGGGGCCAGTAAAGCGCGCGTCTTGCGCCGAGGTTGAGTAGAGCTTGATATTGGGTGTCCAGGAGCGGAGGTCGGGGAGACACCGGCGCAGGGGATCCATCAAGTCGAGTAGCATCTGGCTGTGGAAGGCCATGTCGGACTTGACGGCGCGGACCTGTATGTCCTCGCTCTTCCACTGCTCCGACAGCTTTCCGACCAACTCGCTAGCTCCAGCCAACACACATGACCTTGGAGATGCATCGATGGCAATGTCAATGTCACCGTAATCGGTGCTCGCGTTGAGTTTCTTGCGCACCTCGTCGACGCCGAGCGAGACGAGCGCCATGGCCCCCTTGCCCATGTGACGACGGTACAACCTCGCGCGACGAGCGACGAGCCTGGCGCCGTCCTCCAAGTCGATGGCGCCGGCGACGACAGCCGCTGCCGTTTCCCCTAGAGAGTGGCCAACGATGGCTGACGGCGGACCTGCGGTCTCGCACAGCACATTGGCGAGACCCACGTGCATGGCAAAGGTCAGGACCTGGATCTCGTCCGAGGTCCAGCTCTCCTCCCCCTTCTCGAGGGCTTTGGAAAGGGAGAAGCCATCCAGCTCGGCTCGCACAACGGGCTCGAGCTTCTGGATCGTCCGCGCGAAAGCAGACTGTGTGGCCATGAGCTCCTGGCCCATGGTAGGCCACTGGGCCCCGTGGCCCGAGAAGATCCACACTGGACCGGCCGTGCTGGTGCCGACGCGGCCGCTGGTGATGAGCTTGTCACTCTGGCCGCTTGCGACTCTTCGCAGTAGTGAGACGGCCTCTTGTTTGCTTGTTGCCGTGATAGCAGTACGGAACCTGTGGTGACTTCGGTGGCGTGCAAGCGTGTTTGCGACGTGATGCAGCGGCGCAGAAGCACCGGCCGGCGAAGCGAGCCAGTCGGCGAGAGCCGCAGCCGCCTTGGGGATCCGGCTTTCCTGCGGCCCGGAAAGGAAGAGGAGCGCTGCGACACTGTCGGGTGTGTCAGGCGCAACCGACGGCGCTGCGTCCGGACTGGCCTCGAGGATAGCGTGAGAGACGGTACCGCTGTAACCATACGAGGCAACGGCAGCACGTCTCGGGCTGACAGGCGACCCTGCGATCTGCGTCGCGTCTTTGCTCACAATCATGCGGTTGTTTGCCCAATCGATCTTGGAGCTGAGAGTGTCCAAGTTTGCTTGACCGGGGACGACGCCGTGCTTCAGCACCATGGCCGCCTTGATCAGACCCATGACGCCAGCCGCGGCCTCGAGGTGTCCAATGTTGGACTTGATGGAGCCCACCTGGCAGGACGATAGCCGGGGCGCACCCTCCCCGTAAACCTTGGCCAGGCCTGCCATCTCGGTTGGGTCACCAAGCGGCGTCGAGGTAGCATGTGCCTCGATGTATGAGATGGTCTCGGCGGGGATCTTGGCCTCCCGCAGCGCCTTTACAGCGACAAGCTGCTGTGCGGCACTGTTGGGTGCCATGATGCCCACGGTCCGTCCGTCAGCAGCGACCGCGCTCCCCTTGAGGATGGCGTGCACGCGGTCCCCGTCCACCAATGCCTTGCTGAGCTTCTTGAGAACCACAGCCCCAGCGCCTTCGCCTCGCCCGTACCCATGCGCAGACTCGTCAAATGATCTGCATTTGCCGTCAGAGGCAATAGCACCAGCCTCGTCAAGCACACGCGTGAGCCCGGGGCCGATGAGAGCGTTCACGCCGCCCGCAATGGCGAGCTTCGTCTCGCCGGCCAGGATCGCCTGGCGCGCCTGGTGCACGGCAACGAGGGAGCTAGCGCACGCAGCGTCAACGGCGACGCTGGGACCGAAAAGGTCAAGGTGATACGACACGCGGCTAGGGATACCACAATAGGCAGTGCCGACGCCCATGTGTGCACCCACGCCCTCGAGGTCCTCTAGGACAAGCTTGCCATAGTCATCCGAGTTGACACCCATGTAGACGGATGTATCGGACCCGGACAGCGAGTCCGCCGGGATACCAGCGTCCTCGAGCGCCTCCCAAGCCACCTCGAGCGTGATCCGCTGCTGCGGGTCAATCTGCTCGGCCTCGCGGGGCGAGACAGCAAAGAAGGAGGCGTCAAAGTCCTCGATCCGGTCTAGAAAGTAGCCGGTCGAGGTGGTCCTTGACAGGATGCCTGCGTTTTTCGGGTGGCGGTGGTTATAGGGCTCCCAACGCATTGCCGGCATGGTGCCCGAGGCGTCGCCCTTGTTGAGCAGGTACTGCCACAGCTCGGCGGGAGAGTTGTTGGATCCAGGCACGCGGCAGGCCATGCCAACGATGGCGATATCATCGTCGTTGGCCTGTGGTGCCGCACTGTCGTGGTCGACACTTGTATCTACCGAGGCCGCCGAGTACACTGGTGTAAACACCTGCGGTGATCGGCTGGCGGACGGCGGCGCAGTATCATCGCAAAAAGAGATCATTGTAGTGGTATTGTTGCTGCTGGACGGCTAGGAAAGCAAGTTTTCCAGAGCAAGGCTTTGCTGCCTTAATATAGAGAGAGAGGATCAGACTGGACTCGTCTTTGCCACCGGCATCCGAGATACGGTAGGTAATGCACAGTCAGAGTAGGCCAGGGCAGTGAACGGACTCTTGTGACCCCGTCGTACTAGTCAAGATGGCGAATGCTGACGGCGGGAATGGTCGAGACTCTCATGATCTGAGGGCAGATGGCGATGTTCGGTAGGCTTGCTTGATGTGCTTGGTCTTGCCACGTCTCTGCTTGCATATAATTGACCGATCAGGTAGGCCGTAGATAACCACGGCCGGCTTCGTCTTACACCGCATGCTGTAGCCACACCCTTTTGACAGAGATAATGTGCCGAAGACTATCCGTTTCCGGGGTTGTTACGGATGTAATCCTGTCTTGCTCTCAGAATGGGCATCGTTTCTCTACCGGCCGGGAGGGCCCCATGGAAAGGCACCGTCGTTGAAGGGAGGCGGCGATTGGGTACCGGGACTTTGGTCTCGAACCCCGGGGTTCGGACATGGCAAGTCTCGGTCGGGCTGATACTGCCATGGACCTATGCGAACGTTGCATTGATGCATAATCATGGTTTATGGTGGTGGATCTAGAGCTCCTTTGGGACAGGCGGGAGGTTTGGTATCACTTATCCGAACCCACGTCGTTCATTGTCCGTATTCCCCGGACCGCCGTGGATGAAGAATCACGACATTTCCTACCCCTACAAACCTCCAGCCTGCCGTTTGTGAAGTCATTTCTTTTGAGGACACCAGCCAGGCCCAACACAGCCAAATCTCGTAGGGCTAGGAAGAGCCCCTGAATCAAATTCGCAAACAACCTTTGAGAGCAGGCCGTGGATTACTTCCCAGCAGCCACACCATCTATCCCATCAGACAATCAAATACATCACATACATCATGTCTTCCAAAACGGGGCAACGCGATGTCTTCCGCGGCGTCTGGGAACTGGCGCGACTGCACACTCGCGAGGCTTGGGTGTGCTGGTCGCCCGCCATCTGGGGAGCGTGCGTGGCGGCCGGCACTCAGGACGTCTACATGGACCTGCACAAGCTTGCCAGCGTCTTGTTCGGCATCTGGGCCAGCATCACAGCAACGCACTGCACCTTCTGCACTTTCAACGACATCTGCGACCGTAACCTCGATGCCTACGTCGACCGCTGCAAGACGCGCCCGTTACCCGCGGGGATGCTGTCCTTGCCCGAGGCCGTCGTCGCCTTCATCGCCTGGATGGCTGTGGCATATTACATGACGCTCTTCACGCTCGGCCAGCCGGCCGTGATGGCCATGGTGCCGGTCTGGGTCCTCAGCGCCGTTTACCCCTTTATGAAGCGCGTCATCCCGTTCCCACAGCTCGTCCTGGGCGTCGTCATTGGCGCCGCCGTGTTCCCCGGGTGGGCCGCCATCACGGAGACGCCGCTCGACACGTGGGGAGGCTTGGTGGCTAAGGACGCCCTGCCGCTGTTCGGCGCCGGCTTCTGCTGGGTCGTCTACTTTGACACCTTCTACGCGACACAGGACGCGCCTGACGACAAGGCCATAGGGGTCTTGTCAATGGCCGTGCTGTTGGGGGAGAACGTGAAGCTGTTTCTTGGCGGCTTGGGCGTCCTGCAGATCTTGTTCTGGGCTCTCGCGGCCCATGCGGCGCGCTTGAGCATCTTCTTTTGGATCGCTGGCGTGGGTGTTTGGGCCATGAATATTCCGTGGCACTTGGTGAAGCTGAACCTTGCCGACCGCCACAGTGGTGGCAAGGTGTTCAAGGCGAACATTCTGCTTGGTCTCTACATGTCGGCCTTGACCGTCGTGGAGATGACGCTTACACGGGTTTGATTGGCAAGAATTGCAAGCATGGGGGGAGAAGGGGTTGTCTCCAACAGGTTGTTGAAGGAGCTATCAGGGGGTATATTATGTGGTGCGCTGGGCGATGATGGTTGCAGTTGTCGAACGTGGACTGGCAAGGCATGACTGCATACCTGGGATGTGTAAACGCAAACACTAGGTGGCACCTGGTGACGGATGGATGAATATGAAAAATAAAGAAACCATTCCCGGCATTGGCAATTATATGTTGACGTCCGCTGATCGAACATATCGAACATCTGCCTCCTGGGTGTCAGACCGAGAGAGAAGCTTCACCTCACCGGCGGTTGAACCTGGCAGTAAAGGGTAGTGTAAAGTACCTTGACCATGGAAGAATCCCATATTGTTGCAGGCCGCAGACTGCTCTCATTCACGTGCGCAATAGCGAAGCCCGACTCCATGATAGATTCCCGACTACGACCTCAGATTCCCACCCAATCTCTGCCGAACCCTACCCTAGCACTTTCTTCTTGGCATTGAACTTGGCTACTCCTCTACCTTCAGGGGATCGCCAATACCACTTCTCGGCCATTTATGTGGTCATGCCTCCTCGATACCAAGCATGTGGCAATCAATTAATCCTCTCGGCCGGCTCCACTTAATCGACAGCTCACTCTCGGCCGCCCTTAATAGCCCAATCCGAGTAATTTCAGGGACGAACAATCTTACTTCGCCACGTGTGCCTGAATCCCGTTGTATTATCGGGGGCACGGTGGGATACTAGATCAAGAACTGCTAACCGTACTAACTACCATTTGCGTACACACTATCGTCTATGCAGCCTCATATTAACGGCTACCCTTGCTGCGTAATTAATTTATAGGGTCGATTGATTAATTCTCTTATTCTAAAGATATTAAACTTTTTAGTAGTCATATTTATTATATCTGGAGAGTATATAAAAATTAGAGTCAATGAGCGGAAGTATTTAATATACGACTTAATTTATAATTATAATCGCTACGTCGGGGAGGTTAGCCTCGTTCCTTATTAAAGATATCGCGATTGCATCAATTTATTAATATTAGCCTTTATAAAGGCCCTTAGACTGTTTTTTGGCTAGTTAATTAATCAATACTTAGGGTTCTTTGCGATAGTATACTAAGCTTTTTCTAGTACCTTATGAGTATCTACTAGGGTAATTACTATCATTACTACGAGGTTAGCTTTTTGAGAAGCTTTAGAAAGTTATTGTGATGCACTAGAAAAGGGTGTCTTATGTTAAGCTTCTAGCGCTAGATTTTATAAGAAGGCTCTGAGATCAGTTGACTTGAAAGATATTTTATTCAAAGCGGGGTTTATTCGAATCAACGCTTTTATCAATATCATTAGCGATAGATTGGCTAGCGCTACAAGCTTAGCTTTTAATGAAAACATGAATTATTAAGGAGGACGCTACTACAAGCTATTCTTAATATATTAAAGCTCATACTCTAAGCTCTGGACTTAAAATTACTGAGGGTTCAGATGTAGGGTAGGCAAATTGATAAACAAGTGAACTACAATAAAAACATATTTGATATAGAGCGAAAGGCTTGCGTTTATAGGCGTGAGGCTGCTATAACTAGGCCTCTCACATGATCCTTGCAGGGGCCCTTAGAGCACTTATAGGGATCTTTCAGGGGCCTGTTACAAGGGTCCAAAACTCTTACGAATACAGGTCTTCATTCACTACTAGATAGTTCTGAATCTAGCCATTCTTTTACCTTTTCGCCTACCCTACAGATCATTGAATTAGTCGCGATCTTCTTCCCTACACCTATAAGAGCACTACTCTTTAATAAGTCTATTGGAAAGCCTTTTTATTTAACTTTAAGAGCGTGAAGAAAGATAATGTTTTTATAACTAGAATTAAAGGCTTACTGTAGCGGTAGAAAGGTTAGGCTTTCCGATAGTAGTTAATAATTGAGATTAATAACTTCCTTACCTAGCGTTAAGTAACAATAGTTATAACTAGAAACAGTTTTTCTTTCCTAGGTAGAAATATTTTGAGATATTTCGTAATAGTTTCTTAAAATAATAGTTAGAAATAACTTATACTATGTCTTAGAAACCTTATCTCGCGGCGAAAATAGTCAACGTAATATTAGGGGCGGGATTTCCTACATCGAGTGACGGAATATATATAGCTATATCTTAATAAGCATATATATAGTATATATAAATAGAAAATACATAGGGTAGTGATAACAAAGCGCATTATTTAAAAAGGTATCTACCCCTTAGTATTCACTGAAAGATTCTAGCGAATTTCTAAAGTGCTAATTTCAAGGTCACTATTCTCCGCCGTACCCTACCCTAGTCGGATTCCGGGAAGCCTATGTTGTGAGCGCGCCGATCCGGATCACTTGGTAGAGGACTTTTGCAAATCTCGGTCTTAGAAACCTGCCATTTTGTCCCACTGAAGACCTTACATAATGGAAGAGGTGCCCGTCCTACCGGTACATTCTTCGCACACTTATCATTCACTCGGTGTTCCATAGTACCTCGACGCATCTTGTTGTCCAATACTACTTTTCTCCGTTCTCGACTCGACCATGCGCACATCATCCCTCCTAGCCGTCGCGGCCGCGTCGATCCAGCATGTCTATGCTGCTCCGTACGACGCGGAGATTGCCAGCGCCTTGCAGGGACGCCTCCGAATCGGAGATGCTGGCTTTACTTGTCGCGTGCTCGAGGCTGTTCTAGGCAGTGAAGTCGTCGTCACCTCTCAGGACTTGGAGTATACCGCACAAGAACAGGCAAACTAGTGAGTTCCAAATCCGAACTCCAATCATCTGTATTCTAACCCAGCGCTTTTTCAGCTCCCCGACGTGCTGGTTGTCCGCGGCCTGCTTTGTTAGTCCCGAGGACATTGACCAAGTCTCTGCGGCCGTTCGCATTATCGGTGCATTGCAGACTCCCTTCTCGATTCGTAGCGGTGGAAAGAACCTCAACCCAGGATTCGCCAGTGTTGACGAATCGGGCGTGTTGCTCAGCCTGGCCAAGCTCACCCGATTGGAGTTGGCCGAGGACGAGGGCTCCCTCAACATCGGACCAGGAGTGTTGTGGGACGAGGTGTATGATTTTGTCGTCCCCAAGGGCCTGGTTGTTGTCGGCAGTCGCTACAACAAAGTCGGCGTCCCGGGCTTCCTCCTCGGTGGCGGTATCAGCTTCTACACCAACCAATACGGTGTCGCCATCGATAACATCAAGAGTTTCACAGTCGTCCTCGCGAGCGGCAAAGTGGCCGTGGCTAGCTCCTCCAAGCATTGCGACTTGTACAGGGCTCTAAAGGGAGGCAACTCCAACTTCGGTACGTCAGAGTCACTTCTATGATATCTCACCTCGAATCAAGTGCTAAGCCTTGGCATGCGCAACAGGAGTCGTCGTCAACTTCGAACTCTACACCTACCCCCATGAAACCCTCCACTGGCAGACCAGAGGATACAACCCTGAAGATGCCGGTGCGATCCTGGAAGCCTACGCCGAATTCCAACTCACCGGAATGTCCGATCCTCTTGCGCGCGTCGACATGAACATTTTCGGCGACCGACCCATCATCATCATGATCTACAACGGCGGCGCGCCCCCGCCTGGTACCTTTGATGCCTTCCTTCACCTCACGGTCCCCTTTGAAGAGCTCGTCCCACCCACCAGCGGCACTTACCTCGAGCTGCAAGCGATCCAAGCAATCCGCTTCGTCAAAGAGCACCCTCACAACTACGGCGAGACATTCAGCCACACGATCGACGGGACCTACATGGCCGAGATTGAGCAGCTGTTCTTGGAGCTCATGGTCGAGCCCTCTAACACCTACGAAAACTTCTCGTTTCTCTGGGTACCCGTCGCCATGCCGGCTTCCGTCGCCAGAGACGACAACGTACTGGGCATTGAGCCCGTGGAGCAGCAGTGGCACGAGTGGATGATTGAGTGGGACAACGACGAGTACAACGACGCCATGCTGGAACTGGGGCACAACATCACGGCCGTGCTGACGGCTGCGACCGAGGAGGCGGGCACGCTGCTGCCGTACCTCTTCATGAACACGGCCGGCGGTTCGCAGCCGGTGCTCCAGAGCTACGGAGAGGAGAATGTCGCCTTCATGAAGGCTGTGGCCAAGAGGTATGACCCGACCGCGGTGTTCCAGAGGCAGTTCGGTGGTTGGTTGCTCCGAGATCTTTAGATGTACACTACAACGCCTGGATTGTGTTCCACGGGGGTGGTGACTACATACAACATTGTTTCTTCTTCCTCTAGGCTTGGTTTTATCATGGAAGGAAAGAGGGCAAAAGGATATGTTCACTTTCTAGAAAAGACGACGCCTTTTTCTCTTCACCTGTGGGTTGGATACATGCTCTGTGTGAAATGTGTTGATGAAATATGGCCGTGCGTTTATTTACGCCATGTGGTTGGCTATCAGTTCTCACAATGTCGACCTGCTTGACGAAGTTTAGGTAGCTGAGGGTATTCTACAGACGAAGCGAGCCATCCGCATTGTGTACCTTGATGTATGAATATGTTCGATTGAAGTCAAAATCTACCTACGTCAATTGCATGTATTGGCCATGGTTCACTTGCGTTTCTGTCACACTGAATATTCTAGGTTGCCGCAACCCATGTCATTCCATAGCCCGGCCACTTTTGGCTGGGAGTGATATAGCCATCAAAAGTCAACTACTCACCACCACCGCCAATACGTCCATGACCTTGGTGGTATAGCTTATGTGTGTCAGTCACATCAATGACTTATTTGGTCTTCTTCGCCGTCCAACTCTCATATCCCCCATGCTCATCATACAGCGCCTCGTTCCCAATGTCCGCGCCACGCTCCAGATAGCTGGCCCGGATCTTCTCCTGGGCATTCGGCTGGGAAAACTTCTTCTGCGTCGAATATTGATTCATCTGTCGGCACGCGGCCGCCCAATCCGTCGTCCACTCCGGGTAGAAGGGCGCATAGCCCAGCATACCGCCGATCCAACGTCCCACGACAACACCCATGAACTTGCCAATGTGGTGGCGCAGTGGCTCGGGCACCCAGGCGGGGGGGCTTAGATACGAGTCACCAGCATCGAACATGGCCATGACCTGGATGGGGTCGGGCTCGACGCCGTGCAGCAAAATGTCCTCCTGGTAGCCGTACCAGTTCTCGAAGAAGGCCTGGTCCAGCTCAGCCATGCTGTTTGAGGGCGTGGCGCCGAGCCAGAACTCGACGACGGCACCCTTTGGCTGTCCCTCCGTCGGGTACAGGCAGTGGTGGGGCCCGGGCGGCAGCGCGTACTCGCCGTCCGATTCCACAAACTGGTGCGGCACGCCATTGATCTCTACCGTCAGGGACCCGCGGACCACGCGGAAGAACTCCCACTGCCGCGGGTGGAAGTGCGTCGGTGGCTTCTTGCCGCCCTTTAGCAGCTCAAGGAGCCGTGGGTGGTGCGGGTCGATGACCACGTGGAAGTGAATGTTGCGGCCTTTGGGAGCGGCATGTTTGGTCACGACAAAGGCGCCTTCGAACCTTGATAGCCTTGTTAGACATGGAGTGGAGGGGGCAGAAGCGAGGCGTGGTCGTACTTGCTCACAGGGTTGGAACCCGCCGTGTAGGACTTGGGCTTAGCAGGGGCCATGGTGTCTGGTTTTGGTATCCACGAGTTGAAAAGGCACGTCAGAAATTTGAACGACTCCAAGTCGGGTTTAGATCACTGTGGACGCACGTGCCAACCTACACTCACAACAAAAGGAATCTACGGTAGTATGATCCCATGTTGGTCTCCGTTCCAGAACGCAAAAGTCAGCTGACGTTGGATGCGAGCGGTCCGGTCTTCAACTCGAGCACTATGCATGTCCAGAATGGTGTTCTCGGCCGAGACATGTGGTCGACTTATCTCTTTTGAGGCACCAAGACATTGACAAAGTCACCGATAGGTATTCAGGAATGGAACGGCGCCTTACAGAAGCTGCATCGCGAGTCCTGCCATTATAATTGATGATAGAAGTAGCCCAAAGTTATGGTTAGCGAGCAGGGGTGTTGCCGAGTGATTGAACTTGCCAAGTCTTTGGAGTCTCAAAGGAGAATTGCAGCCGTGAGCCTTGTGCTGGTGATGTCGGTCCTCTGTGTGTCTTTTCAAAGGGATGCATTGCATTTCGGCTGCTCAGGAATACAAGTGCCACTGTAGCAAGCGCGGAGTGTCGAATGTATATTTCTACATCCTGTTCCGGACCAAGAACGGTATGAAACGAAAATACATCAATCTAGGAGAGTACTTGCCCTACATCACTTGTAGCGTACAAAGACATTCTTGCTCGCCTCCTCGAACTCCCTCAGAATCGTCGCCGTGCGCCTCTCTGACCTAGGTGTAATACTGCAATCAAAATCCTTGGGACAGACCAAGAAGCCCTCCGAGTACCCCGTCACCGGGTCCGTGTCGATCGGGATCATACCCCCCTTGCCATCGCGCGCCTGCTCCATGTTGAAGCCCCAGAGCAGCTTGGCCGTGCCAAGGAACATCTCCCGCTCGGCCAAGTGGATGCCAGGACAGATGCGTCGCCCCGCACCGAACACGTAGTGGTCCCGCAGCTCATACTCGGAGCTAGCCGCGTACTCGGCCGACGTCTTGGTCCGGCCGTCGTATCGGTCGGGATCGAAGCGGTCGGGATCCTCGCAATCGTGGTGGATGCCCCATACGTTGAGAAACACGGTCGTCCCCGGAGGCAGGTAGAAGCGGCCGTCAACAATATCACCTTCGCCGCCCTGCTCGGCCGACAGAAGGGCGTGCGGGAACGCCAGTGGCGTGACGGGCCGCCAGCGCATGGCCTCCTTGACAATCTGGGTGATGTAGGGGAGCTTGTCGTGGTGCTCCCAACGCGGCGTGCTGTCCTCGCCCACGACGGCGTCAATGTCCCGCCGGGCACGCTCGACAATGTCCGGGTTGAGACACAGAGCCTGCAGCACGACGAGCATCATGGTCGACACTGTATCGGATCCACCCTCCATCAGGACCCCGCCGAGGAAATCCTGTTGGTGGTTGGTCAGCTGTAGCTTGCCCTGCTGGTCGAGGACCTCATCCATCAGTGTAGCCGGCTGGTCGTTGGCGTGCCCCTTGAGCTGGGCGGCGCGCCGAGCAAGGACGAGACCCTTTTGCCCACTGTACAAGGTCTTCATGCGCTGGCCCACGTCCAGCCCGCGCTGCACCCAGTTGCCGAACCAGGACTCGGGCAGCGTCTTGAGGAAGGGGAAGATGTCGACCGGCGGCGTGGAGCCCGTCTCCATGACGGCCGACCAGCGTTCCATGAGGTTGTACAGGTCACGCATGTGAGACGTCGTGGCATCGGGCGATCGCACACCAAAGACGACGCTCATGATAATACTGTTGCTCGTACGCCTGGTGTGTGCCATGTGCTTGCCCGGCTCGTCTAAGAAGTCCTTGATCATGGCGATCTGCTCAGCCTCGACGAGCTCGAGGTGCACCTTGTCGATGGCGCTCTCCATAAAGTAGGGGTGCAGTACTCGTCTGAACTTGCGCCACAGATCCCCGTATTGCATGGTGAGCAGGTGGGCTCCCTTGGTGATGAGATCGTGGGAGACGTAGCTGTGCGGCCGCGCGCTGTAGATGGCGCTCTTGCGGTCCAACATCTCACGCACAAGGCGGCGGTCCGTGACCACCACGGCCAGCGCAGGGCCCATTCTGAGGCTGAAGATGCCACCGTAGGTCTTGGCCCATTCTGTGAAATGGCGATGGGCGCCGGTCTTGGGGATCTGGTGGATGTTTCCGATCACGGGCAAGCGAGGCGGACCGGGAGGTTCAGGGAGGGCCTTTTCATGCGCGGTCGCGCCCTGCTTGCTGCTGAGCAAAGAACTGCTCCTGATCAGAGCAAGATAGACGCCCACGCCTAGTAGGGCGACGACAGGCAGCAAGTACGCCATTGGGGATGGTGGAAGGTAGTCGCAGGCCAGGATAAAAAACCGCAGAACAATGGGAAAGGACCCGCAAGAATGGACGATGAGCGACAGCTCACAAGGGGTGTACTACTACTTGATAATCCAAGTGACCCAGGTTGTGCCGGGAGGAGCTGAGAGAACCATGGCCTCCTACCGGCACATGGACCTTGAAATCGATATCGATCTACGCCGGCCGGGGGGGGGGGGGGGGGGGGGGGTGACAACTACGGGGCCCACCGGCAAAGAAAAGGTTTTGGTTCATTTTTTAAGGGGCATTATACCGGTATTGTGTTTTGTAGTTTTGTGGAAA